AGAAAATAGTGAAGGAAAAAATAAGGGAAAAATTCACAAAGAAATGCAGAAAATAATGAAGGAATGGACATGAAAAATAAAGAAAAAAATGAAGAAAGTTTATTTTTTTTATTATTTATTCGTATATTTTTTTATTAAAATTCTCCATTCCCTGAAAAAATGCAGAAAAAAATAAAAAAAATTGCAGAAGGTTAATTTTTTATCATTTTTCTCTTTACTTTTCTATTAAAACTCACAAAGTCTACCGAGCATATCCATGATGCCAGTCGTGTCTGGTAGCGGGCCCACTTCTCCCAGCACATCAAAGACAGAATTGATGTCTGGCAGTGGACCCGCTTCTCCCAGCACATCAAAAACATAGATGATGTTCGGCAGTGGAAAACCAGCGGTGGAACATATTTTCGGTTTGTCAAACAATATTTTCTAAAGAAAAAAAAAATAGAATACACAAAAGTAAAATTTCAGATGTTGACAAAAAGAATTAATGAAAGAATTTGTCGATTATTATAGTTAATAATTATTACATTTCTGACTTAAGTAATTAAGTATTTAGTACTAATAACTATTTTTTGATACTATAAAACAAAGTAAATATTCACTTGGCTAAAAAAAACAAAAGAATAAGTAAAAACAAATAATTTTAAATATAAACCAACGAGCGTTAGAAAGTAACGATATGTCCGTAGCATTTTATTCATTGAATAAACAAATAATTGTGAATTGCATTATTTTGATGTCAAAATGTTAATCGGCGACTTAAAAATTGTGAATTTTTTTCCTTATTTTTTGTTCATTTTTTCTGAATTTTTTCTTCATTATTTTTTCACTTTTATCTTTATTTTTTACTGCATTTTTTCTGGATTCCTTCCATTCATTTTTTAAAAATAATTCCATAATTATAAATTGTAAACATAAATTTGTTATCAATTCTTTTGTAAAAAAATTAAATACGCATTTTTTTTACAACAAAATTGAATTTGCTTTTTTTGTAAAAACAAAATTCACTTTACAATTTCCTTTTGTAAACAGAATTAAATTTCCAATTCTTTTGTACACAAATTTAACTCGTAATTATTTTTACAAACAAAATTAAATTTGCAATTCTATTTTGCAAACATAAATGAATAATGTAATTATAATTTTTTTCTGTAAAAAAATTTAACTCGTAATAAAATTAAAATTTGAAATTTTACAAAATTGCATACATGCAAAAAAAATTCAATTTGTAATTTAATTTTTAAAACAGAATTGAATCTTCAATTATTAAAAAAAATTCAATTCGCAAGTATTGCAAAAAAAATTAAAATAGTAAATATAATCCGTAAACACAAATGATTTTCTATTTATTTTGTAAAAAAATCGAATTTGCAATTTTATTGTGTAAACAGAATTGAAATTTTAATTCCCTTGAAAGAAAATTAAATTTGTAATTTTCTTTTGTCAACAGAATATTACTTCTTTTGTAAGAAAAATTGAATTTGTAATTTTCTTTTGTCAACAGAATTTTAATTTTAATTTTAACTATAATAATCGTCGTATTCATTCATTCATTCTGTCCAGTCTGTCCACACCCGAAGTTAGTCATGATTATGCTTTTGTTTTTTTATGTTTTGACAGATAATATTATACTTCTTTATTGTTTCACTATTTTTTAATTTCATGATATTATTTTATTTTATTTAGAAATATTTTTATTTTTAAAATAATTCAATAATATTTGAAAAGAAACAAACATTTTAGACGTACTTAACAAATAATTCTCATTCTTCATGTAAAATATTTTCCTTTTTTCAATATGAAAAACTTAATTGCTTGACAAATTAAAATTATAAGTACAGCAATTTTTTCCAAAAAAAAAATTCTTGAGAATTTAAAATTAGAAAGTAGAAAATATTTTGCACATTTTTCGCTTCTCAATTACAATTTATAAACAAAGTACGTAAGTAGAAAAAAAGTTATAAATCAAATTCTGTTTAAGAAATTTTTAATTTATTTTGGAAAAAATATTTACAAAATTTTCTATTTGTTAAATCTAAATTATCGAAACAATAATAAAAAATAAATAAATAAAACAATTCCTATTTTATTAAATAAAAAAATAAATGAAAAAATTTAATTTTAAATCTGTAAAGTTCAATTATTGTTAAAAATAGGATTAGTTTGAAATAAGTAAAATCTTTTCAATGCTAAAGAATATAAGAATGAACGTAGGACAAAAAGTCCATTACAAAAAATCCACACTAAAATATCCAAGAAAAAGAATCCAAACTACAAAAAATCCTAAAGAGAAATTTTTTTTTAAATAATGTTGTTTGTTTATAATATTATAATTGAAAATTTGATTTTTCAATTTTATTTAAATTATATTGAAAATAATTGAATAATTAATTATTTCCTTAATACCTAAGCAATAAAAATTGAATTTTCTCAAGTACTAAAAATATATAATTTATTTGAACATTCAGAAATTTTAAATTATAAAAATTTCAGAGAAGTTTAATAATTATAATTATTAAATAATAATATAATTTTTAGATGCAAAACCTATGAAATTAATTATTTTTCATTAATTCAAATTTAGAGAACAGTATAATTCGACGTCTTCCGTTCATATACTGCTTATTGAAAAACAAATGCAAGATCATTCTTATTCAGTTTTTAGTGCAAGACAATTCTTATTCGATTTTCCGTGCAATAAAATGCTTATTCAAAATTGTATGCAAAACAATTGCCACTGACAGAACAATAAATGTAACCCTAAATCATCTTTTTAATATTAAATTGCAATTAAATATCTGAAAATTTCAGTTCGTATCTATTGTTATTAGAAAATTTAATACTTGATTATCTCTTACGTATTAAGAAATATTGTTTAAGCAATTGTAATTAAAAATTATATTTAATTGAAAATTTTATAAAACTTATAGTGTAAGCTAATTTCAGATTGTACTTTTTAGCATAGAATTTTGAATAAGCATTTTATTGCACGGAAAATCGAATAAGAATTGTCTTGCACTAAAAACTGAATAAGAATGATCTTGCATTTGTTTTTCAATAAGCATTATATGAACGGGAGGCGTCGAATTATCTATACAAATTGAAATAAAAAGCGATATTTTAAAAACAAGTGAAAATAATATAACTTTTTTTAATTTGGTGAAAAAATTCCCGGTTCTGCATAAAAATCCTGTCTAATAAGACTGTTTTTTCCGGTCAAATTAAATTTCCTATTATTTTATACTTTGTAAGTTTCACATTTTAAAATTAATATAGAACGATTAAAATATAAACATAAACTATTTTCTTTGGACTTCATTAACTTTGGACTTTATGTCTTGGACATTTTGGTTTGGAATTTTTTGTCCGCAGGTACCGAATAGAACATTCAGAATATTATTATGAATTTTTGAAATTGAATATTATTTTAGTACTTTTGACAAAATTTCCTGACTTTTTCCTGACTTTCCTGAATAAATTTAGAGAAATAATGATTACGTACGGGTAGAGGTGCTACTTCTTTAAAATTAATCTAAAATTCTATATCAATCAGGATGTTGTTCAGCAACACCTAAGCAACTACTCAGGTCATTGTCAGCCAATTAATTAATTAATTAAATTAAATTAATTAATTAAATTAAATATAATAATAATTGTCGTATTCATTCATTCTGTCCAGTCTGTCCACACCTGAATTTAGTCATGATTATGCTTTTGTTTTTTTAATGGTTGTATATTATGTATAGGGGAACATAGTCTAGGTCGGCCACCTTTTTGACTTTTGTTTATAACTTTTTTTTAAAAATGAATTTGGACAATTGAAGTATATGGTTGGAAAGTCCTGTTTAATAGGAACATTTTTTCTGTACAAAGTAAATTGACAGGTTTAAAAATGAAAAAGTTATAAAGATTTAAAAAAAAAAAAATTTGTAGTCCAGGTTGGCCATTACAGTCAAGGTCGGCCATGTTTAAAATTCAAAGGGCATTAATCGTTAAAAACTAAAATAACATGTTTGGAGTTACGGAAAATTGATTCTTTATTGTTTACAGTTTGTAACTTAATGAAATAACAAAATAATAACAATAAACAATATAAAAAAATAAATATAAATAAAAAAAAGTTTTGCACTAAAATATTAATAAAATTAAATAAAAATATTAATAAGATGATCAATTATATTATGAGTTATACAGAATTGCAGTTTTTGCAAATGAAGTAGCTCGTCCTCAACTTTGCGCATTTTAAACACATAGTGGCCGACCTTGACAGTAAGTAACATTACCGAATTGTTGTAACCATAAAGAAATACGTTTCGGGATTCGATTTTTTACTTTGTCTTCCTTTCAACCATGAGTCCCACAAATTTTCTGCATACTTGCCTTGACGATTCAATTTGTTTTTTATCTTTTATTAATGGTTTTTCACATTATGCACAAAACTTTTTTTGAGCTTTTTTTGTACCGACGTCACAGAAAACACAATTTTCGATTTTCCGAAAATGTAATTGAACAAAAAGTTAGGTTTCACTAAGACAAGCTTCGACAAAAATGCGCGTAGGTGGCGCTAGTGAACTTGACAAAAAAACGCGAGTGGCCTACCTAGACAGTAGGCCAACCTTGACTACATTCCCCTACTTCTTTATTTTTTCTTCTATTTTTTTAATTGAATAATATATTTTTATTTTTATATATTTAAGTATATTTTGTGTAGAATTTTTGTAAATAATTGAATTTCTCAATGATAATTTTTTTCAATCAAAATTGAATCAAAAATTTTTTTCAATCAAAATTAAATTAAACATTTTTTTTAAAACAAAATTGAATTTGCAATTTTTTTCTTGATACAGTACTGATGCTGATGATTAACATGAATGAAAACATTTTTATGCCACAAGATTGATGTTTTCAGTATACAGCCAGTTTCATGAAAAAGAAATAATAAAATTTCTCGTTTTATCTCATTCTCTCTATATCTATATATGTTTATACTCCTGTCCATCAATTTATTTCTTCATCAGTGTGAAATAATTCTTTGACAAGTTAACATCATGTTTCTTTTTTTACTAAGCATTGCGATCGGTTTAATTTTTTATCATTTTAAAACGCAATACAGTAGACGTGGGCGGATTTTAAATAAACTACCAGGTCCACCATGTTTACCATTAATAGGAAATTTACATTTGTTTATGAACTCATCCAGTAAGTAATTAAAAAAAATTTCATTATCCATTCCTGAAAATTTTAATTTTTTTGTGATACATTTTTTTCATTTATTATCAAAATTATATTTACATTATAATTTTTGTTAAAGTATGATTTTTATTATAATTATATTATATTTTTTCTTGTAATCAGGTTTTTGTTCAATTGTTTATAATATTCTTTTATTTATAATTGTTGTAATTTTTCTTATAATTATGGTTTTTACTGTAATTGTTTACATTTTTTAAAAATGTTTTTAAATTTCTTATACATATATTTAAATTATTTTTAACATTTTTTAATTTTAATTCATTTTTAACAATTTTTTCATTAATTATTTTGCATTAATTATTAAGTTTTTTTTAAAGAAATTTAATAAATAATAGACTAAATAATTAACTGTTGCGATAATAAATAGAAAATGTGAGAAGAATCGAACAACTGACTCGTATTGACAGAAGTAAAGCGCCTTACGCCTCTGGCTATCGTACATGTAACTAATACGATATTTTTTCTATATTTACCAAAGTATAAATGAATAATAAAAAATAAAATAATTATTTTAATTAATTTAATTAATAAAAAAAATGTATCAGAAAAGAGTAAGAATTTAAAAAATTGTAAAAATTTTTTTATTAAAACAATAATTAAAATTAAAAGAAATAATTTTAAAAAATGCAATTTTAGCTAAAATATGGAACACAGTGAGGCAAATCAACAAGAAATTTTATCCAGTCAGCAGAATTTGGGTTCTTCATCATTCCGTTGTTTATCTATCTCATCCAGACGATGCTGAGGCATAATAATTTTACATTTTATAATTAAATTGTTAATTAAAACAAACTCTTTTTCTTATTCAATTTTTTTTATTTCAATTAATTATTCGGGAAGAATAAATTTTTAATTCTCATAATTTTCAGTGTTTATTATCCAGTATGAAACATATTGAAAAAAGCAGATTGTACGAGTTTTTGCATCCTTGGCTCAAAACTGGTTTATTAACAAGTGCAGGTAAAATATTTATGATTTTTTTCACTTCTTTATGGTTAAAAAATTGTATTATCATTCGCTTTATATAAATCACCAGTAATTAAATTTTTTACTCTCAATATTTTTCCTTCCATATTTTTATTTTCAATATTTTTACTTTTAATTTCGGTTTTAATTTTAATTATTTCGCTTTTAATTTTTTGATTCAAATTCTTTTATTTTTAATATTCGAATTCCTTTAGTTTTAATTATTTCACTTTAAATTTGCATTAATTATAATAAATTTACTATCAATTTTTTTTCTTTTTTTTAAATTTCTCTTATTAAAAGTATTTTTCTGTTTCCAGGCAAAAAGTGGCAGCATCGTCGTAAAATGTTGACCCCCGCTTTTCATTTTAATGTATTACATCAATTTCTCGATATTTTCGTTGAGCAGGGAAATAATCTCGTGGAAAATTTAAAATCATTGGGCGATGAAACAGTTCAGGAACTTGTGCCACTTTTTACAAAATACACACTGAATACAATTTGCGGTGAAAGTTGCTTTTACTTTATTGACTATAATTTTACATTTAATATTTTCTTCAATTATTTGTCGAGTAAATGTGAAAATTTATTAAACTTATAAACGTGACTTGTCGATTTATTTTTAAAAAGGTTTTATAAAATGCTTTGGGTTCAAAATTTGGTTGAGTTAAATTTTTTTCAATATTTTAAAAATAATTCTTTTTTTTATATATAGAAACTGCAATGGGTACTGTACTTCATGAAGCGGATATTCAAAATTCTTACAGATCGGCTCTTAATAAATTAGTGGAACTCATGCTTTACAGGTAAAGATATAAAAATTAATTAAAAATAATATTGAACAGTAAAAATAGTGATTTTAATATTAATTAATTCTATATTTATTATTTATTTTTTCGTATAAATAGAAAAAAAAATGGTAAAATTAAAAATAAGAAGTTATATTTATTATAATTATATTTATTATTACTTACAGAGCATTTAGACCATGGTTGCATAATAAATGGATTTTTAGATTATTTTCCGATGGGGAGAAATATGATAAATATTTATCAGTACTCCATAATTTTTCCTCTAAGGTAATTTATTAAAATTAATAATAATTATTCAAGAGAAATAAATAAATTAAATGATTGAAAATAATGAATTTTCTTTTAAATTATTTTCAACGATACTTTTTGAGTGATTTATTTAAAATCTGTTCTCTATAGAGTTAAATTTTAAAACGCAGATAATAAAGGAGAGAAAAGAATATCATGAGAAAACGGAAAATAAATATTTGAAATCAATTATTGCGACTGATTCGGATTTAATTTATTCTAATGATGAAATAAAAGGTAAATAGTAAAAAAAAATTTAGTTTCAATATTTTTCATGAATTTTAATAAGTTTTATGGCATTTTTATTATCTAAAATTACAATATTAATATTTTTTTTTGTATCAACTTCCTTATTTTTAGGACAGAAGAAAAGAATGGCAATGTTGGATCATTTAATTGCTGCTCAAAAATTTGGTCAACAAATTGATGACGAAGGAATCAGAGAAGAAGTTGATACTTTTATATTTGAGGTCTCTTTATTATAATTCAAATTTTTCAAATTCATTTTATTTATAAAATAAGTATAATTATTTATATAAATAGTAGAATTAAATGAATAAAACTACTGTAATTTTTTCTAATGCAATAATTATATTTATTTTTTTCTATAATTATAAAAGTAATTAATTTTTATTGGGATTTTTTAGGGACACGATACGACAGCAATGGCAATGTGTTTTGCAGTATTAATGCTCGCTGAAAATAAAGATGTTCAGGTTATGAATAAATTTTTTTTAATTTTAATTCTGATATTTTTTTAAAATTATTACTATTTAATTATTATCATTATTATTAATTTTATTTATTAGGATCGAGCAAGAAAGGAAGTGGACGATGTGCTCGAGGGGAAGAATAGAAAAATTAGTTCAGCCGAAGTTCAAAATTTTAATTATCTTGAACAATGCATTAGAGAAACTTTACGTTTATATCCTAGTGTTCCATTTATAGCTCGTAAAGTTAACGAAGATCTTCAATTAAGTAATTTAGTCACTTCATTTATAACAAAAAAAGAAATTAAAATCATTAAAAATTAACGTTATTAGAAAGTAAAATTTGTCTAAACTAAAATTCTTCGAAACTAAAAATAAAATTACCAAAGATTAAAATTGCTAATTAGATACTTATTTATAAATTAAAATTTTTAATTTAGATTTTTTGAAAATAACAAAAGTTATTAACAATTAACATTTTGCCGAATTAACAATTATTAAAAATTAACAATAATAAATTAAGTTAACAATTAATACAATATAAATTAATTAATGTTTAGAGATTTAAATGAACAAAATAAATTTTAATTATGGAAAAATATAAATTTTTAAAGATTATAATTAGTAAGAAAAATATTTTAAATAGTATATTATGAAAATAAATTTTTAAATTTCTTCTAAAACATTTTAGAACACTGTTTCGTGCCTGCTGGTACAATTGTCGATTTACACATTTTTGATCTTCATCGTAATCCAGAATTTTGGCCAAATCCGGAAAAATTCGATCCCGACAGATTTTTACCTGAAAAAATGCTCAATCGTCATCCATTCAGTTATGTGCCATTTAGTGGTGGACCACGCAATTGTATAGGTAAATAAACAAATATTAAAATTCATACTAACATACTAATTAATTAATGAATTAGTTTTTATCATAATTAAATAATTAGTTATTAATTAGCTAATAAAATTTTAATCATCTAATTTCTATGTGTATAAAATATTTATTTATTTACATATTTATAAAATAGAGTGAAAATTGAAGTAAATTTTTTATTTACAGGACAAAGATTTGCCATGCTGGAACTCAAAACCCTTGTTGCACATTTGTTACATAATTTTATTTTAGAACCTATCGATCACTCGAGAGATATTAAATTTAGTGTTGATTTGGTTATCAGACCTGCGACACCAATTCGTGTCAAATTCACTCCTAGAATAAAATGACAAATTTAAACTGCAATGAGATTTAAATAAAAAGAAATTCTATTTTATTCTTTGCATTTTTACTAATTTTAAAAATTCTTAGAATGCTATTTACAATATAATAATAATATAATAATATAATATTACATTCTTGAAGTTAGTGACCGTTTATTAATTAAATATTTTTAAATAAAAGGCTTAACGGACACTTTTGCTAAATAAATTAATAAAAAAGACCGATAAGCCATTTATTCAAAAATATATAGTAAAATATTATAAATAATATATTGACACAATTATATATTAAAAAAATATCGTCGATAGCCGTAATCGTTAAGGTATTTGCAAAAGGCAATATTTGAAGTCAAGGGTTTGATTCTCGTTAAAGTCGTAAAAAAAATTATTATAATAAAATATTATTATAACTGTATTAATAATGAATTAATAGGTACTATAATACATTGATATAATAATATATAATTATCTATATTTATTTTAATTATAAATTTGTTTTTATTTTTATAATTGTGTTAAAAGAATAATTAATAAAAAAAAATTTTCTAAAGAAAAAATGTTTTCAAAACTGTTTCTAAATAATTATTTTCGAAACAAAATTTCATTCGAATAGATCTTTTTGTTTTCTTTTTAATAAAAACAATATAATCGTTTCGAAAATAAATAAAATTATCTTTTCTCAATACGGTTCCTGATAATTAATCTTGCGCAAGAAAAACACAATTTTTATCGTATATTTTAATGTGATTTAGTTACCAATTTACATTCAGTGAGAAAATAGAGATGCTGTAATTTATAGAAAGATTAGTGCTATTAATATTTTTCTTCTAAAAGAGAATTCTTCAAAATTTCAAATTTTGTTAAAAATTTTTTTAATAAACATTAAAAATTGTTTGTTGTTTTATTATCAAAATTATGTTTCTTTTTTTATTGATCATAGCGTTATGTTTGGGATTTTATCATTACTATACACGATACAGTAGAATTGGGAGAAAATTGAATAAGGTGCCTGGACCTTTTATATTTCCATTTATAGGAAATCTTAATTTATTTTTAGGAAGTCCGAGTGAGTATTGTATATTCTGCAATATTATTATTTAAATTTCAAATTTACACTACAGTTATAATTTCTGTAAAAAAATTAATTTTCTTTTAAATCCATGCGCTTTTCTTTGACTATTTCCCAAGTGTAAATTTGAATATTATTAAAGTAAATTTTAGTAAAAAAATATTAATAAAATTTTACTTCGGTAGTATGGTGAAATTTACTTTGAAAAAATATAGAAAAATTTACTTTCATGGGATGGTAAAATTTATGTTTGACACATAATAAAATTTACTATACTATTTATACTTTTTTATTATAATAGTAATAGATATTGAATATTATTCAATTGAGGAGAAATTTTGAAACTAATTGAAATTTTGCGAAGAATTTAATTATTTATAAAAATAATTGAATTTTTGCTAAGAATTTTATAAACGTTGTTTTAAATAATTATTTTTTTCGAATTATAATAAATATTCCGAAAATTTTATTTGAAAATATATATTTTAATTTAAGTTTAAATAATTACTCTGGACATGTATAGTAAAATTTTCTATGAAGTTTAGTAAAATATACTTTGAATGTATAGTAAAATTTACAATGAACGTTCGCAGTTAAATTCACTTTGATTGTATAGTAAAATTTACTTTGAACGTATAGTAAAATTTACTACGAAGTATAGTAAAATATACTTTGAAGGTATAGTAAAATTTACTATGAACTTTAGTAAAATTTACTTTGAACGTATAGTAAAATTTGCATCTAAAACAATTTTCTAATTTTAAAAAATTAATTGTAATAAATAATCATATATATGTATAAAGAATGTAATTAAACATAAGAATAAAAATATCTTTTTTAATTTAAAATAAAAACAACGAGTTCAAAATTTAGTTTTTTTTTTGTAGTTGAACTTTGGTATTTGGCTCGATGGCTTAACAAAAAATATAATCCAGTGAGTAGAATTTGGTTAGTGAATATTCCCGCAGTAAATCTTTCTCATCCAGACGATGCGGAGGTAATTTTTCCCCTAATTAATAAATTATAAAATTTAAATTTAAAAGTAAAATTAAACAGTAAATTTTGTTTTTGCAGATTCTATTATCGAGCATGAAACATATCGAAAAGAGTAGAATTTACAATTTTTTGCATCTTTGGCTAAAAACTGGTTTACTCACAAGTACAGGTGATTTACGAGAAAAATTATAATTTTATATATTTATGATTTTTTGTTTCGTTAAAATGGAATTTTTTTTTAATTCAAATGTAGATTTTGTTTCTCATTATATTAATTATAAATTATTTATTTACCTAGACAAATAAATATTATAAAAATAAAATTATGTTTTCAATTATTAAATTCCATTATAAAAATAAATGCCTGTATTAATTAATATTTATTTATTCTTTTGTTTATTTGAACATAACATTGAATATTAATATTTTATTAATATATTAATTCAATTAAATTGCAAAAATACGAAATATATTTAAAATTATAATTATAGGGAAAAAATGGCAACACCGACGCAAAATGTTGACACCTGCTTTTCATTTTCGTGTTCTTGAACAATTTCTCGATATTTTTATTGAAGAGGGAAATAAACTTGTGGAAAATTTAAAATTACAGGGAGATGATAATGTACAGGATGTTGTTCCACTTTTCACCAAACACACACTAAATGCAATCTGTGGTAAAATTAATTTTTTCGTAAATAAATATTGATTTCTATTATTTTTATTATATTCTTTCAATTTATTTTAGAATTTATCTTATTAAATCAATTATTTTTAGAGACTGCAATGGGAACTTCCTTGAATGAAGCGGATGAACAAAATGTGTACAGATCTGCCCTTAACAATATTATAGAAATTATCATTTACAGGTAATAATATTCATTTTTATACAGACAAAAAAATTACTACAAAAATATTCAGTTTATATACTAATTGGTACAAGTAATTATCATTTAAAAATTAGTATCAATAATTTATTACCAATAAATAATAATTAAGACATTTTTTTCAAACCATAAAATATAATATATAATATATATATTTAGTTTTATTTATATTTATTTTATATATTTTTTTTATTTACATATAACTTATTTATTTACAAAAATAAACGTGACAAATTGTAATTTAATATTGAAAAGTAAATACTTTGCCGATAAGTAATTAATTAACAATTAAATAATGATAATAATAATTGTTATTTATCTTTTCCTTAGATTATTTCGACCCTGGATTTATGATGATTTTATGTTTAAACTAATTCCAAGTGGGAGATTATTTATGAAATATTTACCAATTCTGCACAATTTTTCTAATAAAGTGAGAATTTTTTTTAAATAAAATAAAAAAAGAAAATATATTTAGTTTATAAATTAAAAGAAAAATTTTTACTGTCAGATAATCAGATAATGCATAATTTTTCTAATAAAGTGAGATTTTTTTTTAAATAAAATAAAAAACAAAATATATTTAGTTTATAAATTAAAAGACAAATTTTTACTGTCAGATAATCAAAGAAAGAAAAGAATATCACGAGCAAACTGAAAATCAACATTTAAAATCAATTATATCATCTGATGATTCATTAATTACGAGTACTAACGAATTACATGGTAATTCCACAATTATTTATAAAAATATTCTTTTAAATATTTAAAAATTATTTTCATTATTCAGAAAAATATTTTTTATATATTTAAAAATTATTTTCATTCACCTATTTAGAAAATTTTTTAATTTTTCAGTTCGAAAGAAAAGAATGGCAATGTTGGATCATTTAATTGCAGCACAAAAATTTGGAGAACAAATTGATGATGAGGGTATTCGAGAAGAAGTTGATACGTTTATTTTTGAGGTAATTTTTTTTTTGCAGAAAAAAATTCGTTACAAGTATTTTTATAATATTTAGTAAAAATATAAATTTATAACATTTTTTATTGCATTCTAGGGACACGATACAACTGCAATGGCTTTTTGTTTCTCAATGTTAATGCTCGCTGAATATAAAGACTGCCAGGTAAGATATTTTTTCCTAAAATTATTTCTTTTATGATTATGATTTTTATATTTTTTTATTAAATTTTATATTCTTTTAACAAATTATTTTTATTAATTTACAAGAAAATCGTAAAAAGTAAATAATTAAGCAAAGAAAATTTTCTGTTAGAATGGACGCTTTTCTATTTTTTTAAAGAATTATTATTCTAATAACAATTACAATAATAATAAAATAACAATATAAATAATAATAAAATATTTTTAAAATATATATTGAAATAAATATTAATGCAAATAAAATTTAAAATTATTATCATAATATTATTAAGATATTTATAAAATTATTTATTTATAAAATATGAACATGCTTCTAATAAAAAAGGAACGAGCGAGAAATGAAGTGGATGAAATTTTCAACGAAACAAGTGGAAAAATATGCATGGCAAAAATGCAACAATTAACATATCTGGAACAATGCATCAAGGAAGCATTACGTTTATATCCCAGTGTTCCGTTCATATCTCGAAAAATTAATGAAGACCTTCAACTAAGTTAGTTTTTCAGAGCCAATTAACTATCTTATTTATTAAATAAACAATAATTAAATAATTATGTAATTAGTTTTGTAAGACATGGATTTTATAACAAATATAGTAAATAATTAACTAATTAAAATTAATTAATCTAATTAATTATATCAATTAATTAATCTAATTTTTGTTTGTAGAAAATGTAATGGTCCCGGCTGGTTGCAGTGCTCATTTGCATATTTTTGATTTACACAGAAATCCGGAATTTTGGCCGGACCCAGAAAAATTCGATCCCGAAAGATTTTTATCAGAAAAAATACAAAATCGTCATCCCTTCAGTTATATACCGTTCAGCGGTGGTCCACGTAATTGTATAGGTAAACAAACAAGTTGTTAAACATTTTTATAAATTTTGTGTTTTAATTTTTAAATCTTAATTTATAATTTTTAATTACAATTTGTAACATACATTTATAATTCAGACCAATTTTACTTTCCCTGACTTTTCCCTGATCTCCCTGACCTGTGGCAACCCTGTTAATTTGCATATATGTATTTAATAATTTTCCGAATAAGTTGTCCAAATTTTTTTATAATTTGAATTTTGAATTATATTAAAAAATAGAATATTGATCAAATATATGACACTTTCTAAAAACATAATCATAATAATAATATGAAAATTTTAATTTTAGGTCAGAAATTTGCAATGCTGGAATTAAAAGTAATTTTGTCACACTTACTTCGTTATTTCATCTTCGAGCCCATTGATCATCCTCGAGATGTTATTTTCACATCGGATTTAGTTTTGAGACCTGATGGCCCTGTGCGAGTAAAATTCATCAGTCGGATAAAATGAAGTAAAATTTGTTTTTTTTTAAATCCAGAAATATATATTTTTAACATTATTATTACAATTTTTCAAAAACATAATTGTTTTAGAATTTCTATATTAAATTATTCAAAAATTCAATCATTTTTGTTAATCAAATATTTGAAAACTTATTGTTGTTTCTTCTAATTAAAATTTAAAATAATTGCAATGTAAAACCTTTTGAAATTTAATTATTTCTACAAATTACAACTGCAATAAAAACCTTTTTAAATTATTTCTTAAAATTCTTGTCTAAACGCTTTTAATATTCAATTATTCTTCAAAAATATAAATGAAATTTTCTAAGATAAATTTTTATTAAAATTTAAAGGTAATTCAATTATTTAATTACAAATTTTTATCGATTTTAATTACCTATTTTTCAAATTTGTAGTTACAATTCAAATAATAATTAAAACTAATTTTTTAAAGAGAGAGAATAAAATTATTTGCGGAAATTCAACTATTTTCAAAAAATTCAAATTCAAATTTTTAAATAATCTCATTTTTTTAGAATTTCTAAAAAAAATTCTTCGAATTTTATTAAAATTTGTTTAATAAATATTTGAATATTTATTGTTATTTATTTGCACACCAGAACCCAGAAATTAAAATTTCAAAATATTTTCTATATGAAACCTTTTTAAATTTAATTATTTCTTATAATAAGAACTGTATTATATTGTATATTGTTATATTGTATTATATTATTACTGTAATTTCTTCAAAATTATTTTCATTTCAATTCAATTCTTCATTTCTAGAATTTTAAACTAAAATTCTTTTTTAAAACAATTTCTTAAAATAATTTTGTAAAAGTTCTTCTTTGAGAATTTTTAAATCCATTTGTTTACAATTCAATTTTACCTAAACTTTCGATTATTCTGACATTCTTCAATTAAATAAATTAGAAATTAAAAACTTTAAATAATTAAAAAAATTCCATTAAACTTTTTGAGAAAAATTAATTCTAAATTTCCTTAAAAATCTTGTCAAGAATTTAATTATTTTTATAGATAATAAAATTATTCGCAGGAATTCAATTATTTTCAAAAATTAATAAAATTCTCCTCAAGAATTCAATTATTTTCAAAAATGATAAAATTCTTCGTAAATATTCAATTATTTTCAATATTAATTTTTACGTAATTTTGATTATTTTTCAATTAAATATATATTAAAAAATAAAAACTTCAAGAATTAAAGAAAAATTCAATTTAACTTTTTTAAAAAATAAATTCTACAGAATTGTTAATTAAAATTATGAAAAGTTCAAATCTAAAAGATTTTGATTTGAAACGTTTTCAAAATTCAATTATTTCTAAAAATTTACGCTATATTGTTTTTAATATTCAATAATAATCTTAAATTTTAACTGAAATTCATTTTTAAATCAATAATTACTAGAAAAATCTACGAGAATTCAATTATTTAAATACAAAAATAAATATTTTATTAAATAATTAAATGTTTATTAAAATTATTGAATTTTTATAAAGACTTTTATTAACAAATTTTTAAATAATTGAATTCTCTTGACAAATTTAAATAAAATTTTTAAAAATAAGTTTAGTTATCGGAAATTTGATTAAAATTTTATAAAAAATAATTGAATTTCTCCAAAAAGAAAAGAGTTTTTGAAACTTTTTTTTATAAGAGTTTTTGAAAATAATTGAAATTTCGCCAAGAATTTTATTAAAGGTTTTGAAAATATTTGAATTTCGGAGAAAAATTTATAAAGATTATTGAAATTTTGACGTGAATTTTTGTAAATTGTTGAACACAATTAAATTTCTGCAAAGAATTATATTACTTTTGAAAATAATTGAATTCTTGAGACGAATTTAATTAAAATATCTTTTCAAATAATTGAATTTCTTTGATGCATTTCAATAAAAATTTTTAAGAATAATTTCATTTTTCGAGGAATTTCATTAAAATTGTATTAAAAATAATTGAAAGTCTGAGACGAGTTTTATTATTTATGAAAATAATGAAATGTTTGCGTAGAATTAAAAAATTTTTTTTTTCAAATAATTGAATTCTTTCGAAAAATTTTATTAAAGTAGTAGATTTATTAAAAATCATTGAATTGAGAAAAGTTTTTGGAAAATAATTGGAATTTTGCTATGAATTTTATTAAAACTGTTGGAAATAATTGAATTTCAAAGAAGAATTTTACTAATTTGGAAAATAATTGAATTTATGCAATCATTTGTAATTGCTTCAAAATTCAATTTCTTTTAGTGTTTTTAATTAAAAATTCTTCTATAAATCCATTATTTTTAATAATCAATTAAAAATATATATTAAAAAATTTAACTAATTTCAGAAGAATTGGAATAATTAAAATTTCTCAAAAATCTACGTTCTTTAAGACAATTTCTATGTTAAATTCATTCAAAATTGAAATTAAAAAAAATTTTAAATTAAAATCTTTTGAAATTCATCTGTACTTATGAAAATTGTAAACGCAACTTTTTTAAAATTTAATTAATTTTGAAATATTTATGTAAAATTAGATTTCAAGGATAAACTTTAGAAAATAACAATTTTCCAGGATTTCGATCAAAATTTCCTTGACTTTTCCAGGTTTTTTCAAGGTTTATAAAATTCCCTGACATTTCCAGGTTTTCCAAATTTTAATTTTAATTAAAATTAAATTAAATTTTTAATTTAATTAAAATTATGAAAAAAAAACATTATTTTCAAAAAAAATTTAAAGAAACCATTTGTAGATTTATTTATGTTCGAAATCAAATAAATTTAAATTTGATGAGAAAGCGTGAGAAAGAAAACTGGGAAAAATTAGGACAAAGCCGAGAATTTTGTTGAACGAAAATCGAAAATAGTAGACGCTCTGATAAATTATAGAAAAAAGAAGATAGAAGTTTGAAAGAAAATTTTAATATTCTAATAAACACATTATAATTTTGACTGTGTACTATTATTTTCACAAGGTCGGTCCTGAATAGATATAGAATAATATACTGTTGTCATTTGAATTTGATTCAATAAGAGAGACATACATGACGGTGCAGAAATTTTAATCTTTTGAAAGTGAATTTTTGTTAATCAAGTTCTAAGTGATTTAGTACTTTGTTCTAATAGAGAAACGATTGTGGGGGGTAATGAGCCTATCGCAGACTTCAAAATGAAAATCAAGAAAGAAGGGTGGTGGGGGTTGATGTCATAAACAAGACTTGTTGCATTACATTTATAACATAACGTGAGAGAAATAATTGGAACTTTCAAACAGTTCATATTGAAACTTTGCGCTATACACATTTAACTACCTGCACATTTATTATTTAATAATAAATTTGAAATTAGATTAAGTTTGAAATTAGAAAAAAAGTTATTTAAATTTCATTTTATACATTTTTTTCAATTTTTATTTTTTTTTTATTACATTTTTGAGAAAATTTCTAAAAAAGAATTGTAATTATTCAAATTTTCAAAAATGATGGTAATTTTGGTGTTTTTTGTGATAGCTTTATGTGTTTTTCATTTTATGGTTCATTATGATAAGAAGGGAATTATTATCAATAAAATACCAGGACCAAAAGCTGTACCAATTTTTGGGAATATTTTGAGTTTCATGGTGCCGCAAAGTAATAATATTAAACATTAATTATTAATTAATTAGAAAAATAAAGATTTTAAAATTCAACAATATAATTAAATGTTATAATAATAGAATAATAAATTATTACCAACTAAAAATTATTATTTGACAAAATACTATATTGTTAGCTTGGTAAATTTTTATTAAATTACTTTAAATATAAAGTATTTACAAAAATAAAAAAATTAAAGGAATTTTTCATGTAAAAAACTCTAAAATAGGAAAATTTGGAAAAAAAATCAATTTTGAAAAATTGCAGATAAATTATGGAACGTAAAGAGAAAAATAAACAACGAATTTTATCCAATAAATAGAACCTGGAATTTTGGAAGACCATTCGTTAATATTTATCATCCTGACGATGCAGAGGTAAAAAAGAACTTAAATTTTATCATTTTTTTATCTAACTAAAAGAATATTTTAAAGAACAAAGTATCGAAAATTAAGAGAATATTTTCTTTAAAAAGTAGTGAAAAGTATTGAAAAGTATTTAAATAGTATTTATTTTTAATTTCAAGTCACAAAAAATTTTGAATTAATTTTAAAAAAAAATAATTCATAAATTCTTTTATTACAAAATAAATAATTATATATAGCAGTTATTCGACTTTTATTATAATGACTTCATTTAAAAATATAATAAAAGAAATAATGAATAAAATACAAGTCATCGAATAAAATAGTGAATGAATTTTATTTGCCTAATGTAAGGAGCAAAGAAAATTGAAGCCGATACAGTAGAATTTAAATTTACTGCCAATAAAAAAATTATGAATTTTCTAAATTGTTTTTCAGTATTTTTAATTATTCTACTTTTTCGTTTTAAAATATTATACAGTAGAAAAAGAATGTTTATAATTTTGACAATTAAAAAAGTGAATAATAAATGAATAATAATGGAAAATAAAAATTAGTAACAAATTAGAAGAAATTTGTTTATTAATGTTTTAATGTTGAGTTTTGATTTCTTAATCAAATCAAAATATATTCTTATATTAATTGTTGAAAATATAAATAATGCTTTTATTAATCACATTAATCCTTAAATATAAAAAATGGTTTTTTATTGTAAACTATTTGTAAACAAATAATAATAGTAATAATATTAATTAATAATTATAATAATAATAATAATAATAATAATAATAATAATAATAATAATAATAATAATAATAATAATAATAATTTAAAAGAAAAAAAATTTTTTTTCTTACACAAAAATTATTACTTAACTTGAGTAACAATTTTTGTATAAACAAACTAGAAAAATATTTAATAATAATATTAATGAACGAAGAGAAATGTGTTTGTAAAAAAAATCATTAGCTAAAAAGTCACAGTTAAAATATTTACTAAATTTAGTAAAATATTTATCTAATACAGTAAAATTTACAAATTTTTCTATTTCTGTAGAATTTCTTTAGAATTATCTTTTTTACTAAATACTTCAGCTGTTTTAGTAATAAATTATTTTTCGAATTTTAAATTCAAAAATGAACAAAAAAATTTATTTATGAACAAAAATTATTACTAGAAAAATATTTAAACAATTATGAAAATTTATTTCTAAAATAGAAAAATAATTTATAATTATCTGAAACATAAATATTTACTGAATGAACAGAATCTGAAATTGAAGATAAAAATATTTGTAAATTTGACTGCATTAGATAAATATTTCTTTAATATTAGTCAATATTTTAGCTAATTAGTTTATCAAATAAATTTTATTTTGATCCAATAATTTAAAAAATTTCAAACAATTTCAAAAACTTTAAATAATTTCAAATACTTTAAATAATTTCGAAAACTTTAAATAATTTTAAGTCAATACACATTAAATTGCGAATTAGAAAAAATTATTTGATATAAAATACAAATAAAATATTTGTTCAACATTTTAATTCTTAATTTCATTAATTTTTAATTAATTAAAATTCTTTATAATTACATACTATATAGTTAACCACATTTAATTTTCGAATATTAATTGCTAATTAATTAAAATTCTTTAAAATTATTAACTAATTTTTATTGTTTGAATTCAAATGCTTATTAGAATTCTTAAAAATTAGAAGCTTTCAATTAGAATCTTTAAAAATCTTTAAAACTAATAATTAACTGATTTATATTCTTTGATTTCAATTTATAACTAATTAAGGAGAGGGTACACACCGATATTTTTAACTATATCAAGAAAATAATTTAAATATTTCATAATATTTATTTCATAAAAAAATAAATTTCATAAAATTTTTTATACTGTATTTTTTTGTTCTTGTTTTTGAATTTTTATTTATCTTAAAAATTGATAGATTTTGAAATCTATGCGTAATTTTGAAAAAAATATGTTTTTGAATCCACAAAAAAATTGACAAATGAAAAAATTGATTTTCCCAATTTTATTTTGTAAGCATTTTTTGAAAAATTACTTTCTTTTTAGGCTGAAAATGCTAAAAAAATACCATTATTAATTATTAAAAAAAAATTGAATAAATAAATTATTATTTAATTCTTTTGATAGAAAATTCATTTTTTTTATTTTTCCAAATAATTTCAGACCCTAATTTTTATATAAAAATTATTATTTGAATAACTAAATAACCATTTACTTAGTTAGAAAACTAAATAAATGGATTTTTTTGATTAAAAAATTGAATAACAATTTTATTTTTTAGTATTTTCAGTCTAAAAACAATTTTTTTTTTTAAATTGCATCAAAATAAGTTAAAATCAATTTTTTTATTCGGAATTTTTTTGTGAATAAAAAACATATTTTCTACAAAATTACACATTGATTTCAAAATCTACCAATTTAAAAAAAAATTCAAAAAGGGTTATAATATTTTCTCTCCGATTTTATGTTACGACCTTTGAATTACTCTCAAAAAATTACTATAAAAGCTATATAATTCTATGGAATATTTAAAAATTATTTTCTTGATATAATTAAAAAAAATATTGGTGTGTACCCTCTCCTTAAAATTCTTTAATTCTTTAAATTAATTATTTATTAATTATTATTTAAATTATTATTAAACACTAATAGTTAATTAATAAAAATTCTTTGGTTTTAATTGTCAATCAATTCAAATTCTTTAAAGTTAATAGTTAACGAATTTAAATTCTTTTAAGTTAAACGTTAACAAATTAAAATTCTTTTAAGATACTAATCACTAATTAATTTACTAATTACTAATTAATTTATCAATTACAAATTACTATTATATAAATCTCTTTCTCTTTTACTAATTACTAATAGTTATTTATTACTAATCACTAATTAATTTACTAATTACTAATTAATTTATCAATTACAAATTACTATTATATAAATCTCTTTCTCTTTTACTAATTACTAATAGTTTGTTATTAGTTAACCAGGTTATTAGTTAACCTTTATAAATTTTATAATCTTTGAAAATTTACTGTTTATTAATTAAAATTCCATGAAATTAATAGTCAATTATTCTAAATTTTTCAAAAGTCAACTAATTATTTTTATTATTTTTGATTTAATTATTGTTAACTTTTTAAATTAATAAACAATTTTTTCATATTATTAAAAAATAAATTATTTGTTATCAATTTCTTAATTTGTTTATTTCTAAATTATTATTGTTATTGCAATTATTATTGTTGTCTACTGTTTATATTATGAAAAACATATTTTGAAAATGCTAGACATAATTATGTAAAATGTTATAATTAAAGAAAAAAGCATTTTTTGTCCTTACAGACAAGTATAATAATAATCTTCCACTATCAATAAATAATTAATTGGGAATGTATCAATTAATTAGTTTATATTTCTCTACATATACTTTTCAAATGTCATAAACACGCCCACTTTTTAATCAATTTTAAATACGTAGTTATCATTGTAATGTCTTTATCTTCATGACGTATTTTACCGCGAGGGATGTCCAGACAATGTGATATCTACTATAAATCATTATTTGTAATTATTAGTCCCAAGAACGTAAGAAATTATGCATTTATGCTTTTCCCTCTTATCAAAAAATATTTGTATATTTTTGTTGTTGCTTTTTTTTATTTTCCTCCCAACAACTCTGTCTGCGAGATATAAAATATATTTCTTAATCAGTTCATGTAGACATAATGCTTTTGAAACTTTGGACTCTGATCATATGAAGACATTATATTACAAAATTTTTTTTCTCTTTTATTTATTGCAAATCACTTTTTTTTCTCGATTAAAAGATTAAAAAACAAAAAGACATTTTTTTGTCTCATAATTAAAAATCGAGATTAATTTAGAATTTTTACTTTTTTTTGCAAGTCATTTTATTTTATTTTTTTTTTTTTGAGACAAATTCTAAATTTAATTAATTGAAATATTAAAAATAAATTAATAAATAGAAACTAGTATATAGGGGGGAAAAGAAACTAAAATTGCGAATTTGGAAGAAAAATAAATAAAAATGAATTTTTTTCCTTTAAATTTAGAAATTGCTGACAAGTATGAAGCATATTGAAAAGGGTGATATTTATCACATGACAATGCCTTGGTTAGGAACTGGATTATTAACGAGCGCAGGTAAATTTTTTAATTATTAATTTTTAATTATTTAATAATCGAGATATTTCGTCCTCACATGAAGTTCAATTCTAAATTTTCTTAAAATTCAATTATTTCCCAAATTTTCAATTAGAATTCATTAAAAATAATATTAAATTACAAAATAATTTTTGAAAGTAAAAAAATAAAATGTATTTCAATAAAATTTGTAAAAATTTGTGATTGTTTCAATTTTTTAAAAATTTTTTCCGGAAATTCAATTATTCTCAAAAAATTTTAATTACATTTCTTCAAACAACTAATTTTTTCGAAATTTCTAAATTAAATCTTATTTGAAACTTTAATAATTTTTGTTAAACAAATATTTAAAAACTTTTTATTTATTTTTGCACAGGAATTATAATTTCAAATAATCTCAATGAAAAATATTTTGAAATTTAATTGTTTTATCATTTATTTTTGTATTTAAAATTTAAATAAATGAATTATTGTAGAACTTTTTGATAAGAATTAATTTGAAAAAGAAAGTTCAAATTTTAGAAATTATTAGAAAAATTGAAATCTATCTATTTTTCAGAAATAATTACATTTCAAATGGTTTTACATTGAAAGTATTTTGAAATTTTAATTCCCGGTGGAAAAATAAAAAACAATAAATATTCAAATATTTATTAAACAAAAATTAATTAAATTTGAAAAATTTTATTCAGCAATTCTCAAACAAATGAAGTTTTTAAAAAATCGTAATTAAAATTTTTTGAAAATATTCAATTCTCGAAAATAATTTTAAAAAATTGAATAAATCGGAAACTTTCTCAAATTTCATTAAATAAATTTTACATTTCAAAGAATTTTATTTTCGTATTTTAAAAAATTATTCTAAAATATTTATTGGAATTTTTTTTTACAATTATTGTAACTAAAAATTTGGAAAATAATTAAATTTTACAAAAAAATTTGTAATTGAATAATTTAATTATTATTGAATTCTGATGAGAATTGATTTGAAAAAAATTTAGATAAATTTTGGAAATTAATTGAATATTAGAAGCGTTATAACAGGAATTATTGAAATCATTTAAAATTTTAATTAATATAAATAACAATAAGTTTTTAAATATTTATTTTAAAAAAAATTATTCAAGTTTTAAATAATTTAATTAATTTTAATTAATTAGTTTTAATTAATTTAGAAATTAAAAAATTCTCATCCAAATAAGAAATCCAATGAAAATTTGAAAATTAGTAATTATTGTTAAAAATTCATATGAGGTCTCAGCTTTTGCTCTCATACTGAATAATTATTCAGTTTTCTTCGAGCTTTTTTTCATCACTGACCTTTCTAAAATATGAAAACATAAAAAACGATTTTCCGTTATTAATAATTTATTTGAAAAAAAATAAAAATTGAATATTTATTTTTGTTTCCTTGGTTTTCCAGAAATTTTTTTTATTGTTATAAGTAATAGATTGTTTGAATACGAGAAATATATAATAGAAACGTTTTAAATTCTAATACCAATTATACAAGAAGAAGTCATTCGAAGTCCATTTGCGTAGACGTCTGATTACAATGGGTCAATGTTTGAAACTTAATTCATTTTATAATAATAAAAAAACGCCATATCATGATTAACATTCTTTTTTGTCAAACAAAAATAAAAATTTGATACTTTTTATATGAAAACAATTTTTTTGTTTGGTATTTTTAAACATTTACCTGAACTTAAAATTAATAAACAGTGAAATTTTAATTAATTTATGATAAAATAAATTAAAACCAGATAATTGAATAAAATAATTTAATAAAGTAATTGAATAAATCAAATGAATATTTTATTCATTTGTTCATATTTTTTCGATTATTTTAATTGAATAATATAATTGAATAAAATTGAATAAAATAATCGAATAAAATAGTTGAATAAAATTTAATAAAATAATCAAATAAAACAAATGAATAAAATAGTTGAATAAAATTTAATAAAATAATCGAATAGAATAGTTGAATAAAAATGAATAAAATAATTGAACAGAATAAATTGAATAAAATAAATTTATGAAATGAATAACGAATTTAGGTAATAAAATAATAAAACACAAAACTTAATGAAAAAATAAATATAGATTTTAAAAAACAAAAGCTAAAATAAAGTAGTTATTAAAATGAAAAAGTGAGTATAATAATTTTTTGTACCTAAATTTCTTTTTAAATTACAAAAAAAAAATTTCTCTTTTTAAGGCTCAAAATGGCAAAAAAGAAGGAAAATGTTGACGCCAGCTTTTCATTTCAATGTACTATTGGATTTTGTTGACATTTTTGTTGAAAATGGAGAAAGTCTTGTGAATTCATTGAAATCCGAAAATGGTCCATTTGTTAAGGATCTCGTGCCTCTTTTGACAAAATACACCCTTAATGCAATATGTGGTAAAAAGAAATTACTTTATTTTTTCTTCTTTCTCTAAAAAATATAAACATATTTAATTGTAAAATATTTTCTGTTTTCTCTTTAAAATTAAATTTTACTATCGAATTAGTTGAACTAGAATTATGAATAATGAAAATTAATTTATTAAATAAATTTATTACGAGATTTATTATTAATTTTCAAAAATTAGTTGAACTATAGTTTAGTGTTGAAACACCGTGAAATTAATTTGATATTAATTATAGAAACTGCAATGGGCACAACACTTCATGATGATGTCAATAGCAGAGATACAGATTATAGGTCAGCTGTAACGCAAATAGGTGACTTGTTTATATACAGGTAGGATTATTTAATAATAATATTTATTGACTATTTAATAGTAATATTTATTAATTATTTAACAAAAATATTTATTAATTATTTAATAATAATATTTTTCAATTATTTAATAATAATATTTATTAATTATTTAATCATTTATTATTTATAGTAATTACTATGATTCATAAACTATCAACAAATAATCTTATTATTTATTTATTTATTGATTTACTTAAAGGAGTTTTCGCATTTTTTGTAGATTCTTTAGACCATGGTTGCATCCGGATAAGATATTTTATTCAACCTCCGTAGGAGTTAAGCAGTCAAAATTACTAAACATTCTCCATGGGTTTTCAAATTCGGTAAAATTAATGATAAAATTATATATATTTAAATATTTTATTCGAAAAAAAAGATTTATTTAAATGTTTAAAGTTGAAAATTAAATTAAATTTTGTTTTAAATAATTAGAGTGAAATTATGTAAATATAATGTCTGACTGAAAAAATGAAATTCTACTTAAGTGATGAAAAAAGGATTTATATCTTTAGTCAGGCAATTATTTTAAAATATAAATAAAAAATTTATTATTGCCAGTAGTATAGAACAATTTTGGTCAGACAAATTTTTTTTCAAACGTCACATTATTTTGCACTAAATTAACTATGACCCTAACTAAATAGTAAATTTATTTTCAGTAGTAAAATCCATATTAGTCAGACGGGATGTTCATTAAGTTCGTAACAGTAGTAAAAGTCGTTATTAGTCAGACAAAATGTTCGTCACGTTCGTATCAATAGTAAAAATCTGTTTTAAGCAGATGGAATGTAGGGCAATTTTGTATCAGTAGTAGAAACCAAATTTAGTCAAACAAGAAAGTTTGATGTCAAATTGTTTTTCTCCATCAGTAGTGCAGTAAATTTTCAGTCAGACACAAAACTTTGTTTTCTTGTAAATTTAGTTTGGAAGATTAACAAATTTTCAAAAGATTTTCAAAAATATTATTTTTAACGATAATTTAAATTTTGATTAGAATTTTTTTAAAATTTTCGAATATAATTAAATTTTTGCTAAGAATTTTATTACTTTTGAAGTTTTAATAGCAAAAAAACACTTCTAAACGGACAAAATGTTGGTAATTTCGTTTGAGTAGTAAAAACCGATTTTAGTCAGACATAAAACTTACCATTAATTTTGCATCAGTAGTAAAAACGAGTTTTAGTCAGGTAAATTATTTAAAACCTTTTATAAAGTTAATTCAAGTAGTAAAATACCATTTTAATCAGACGTATAATGTTTGTTAAGTTCGAAACATTAGTAAGAATTAATTTTAGTCAAACGGAGAGCTTGTTAATTTCCTATCAGTAGTGAAAACCTATTCGAGTAAGGCAAGAAACTTGTATAGCAAAATTTACCTTATCCTTCAGTAGTACAGTATATTTTTAGTCAGACAGAATGTATTATTTTTTCAAAAAAAAATTTATTATTTTAGTAGTACAGTCGATTTATAGTCAGACAGAACTTTCTAAATCTCTGTAAATTGTGTCTAAGTAGTAAAACGAGATTAATGTAATTTATGAAAATATTTTTTTTCAGATAATTTTTGACAGAAAAAAATACTATAATAATGTAGTAGTAAAAAAGAACATTGAAAATCAAAAATCAGAAAAATTGGACAGTGATATGGAATTTGGTAAAGTTATAATATTATTAACTAAAAATACTTACTGTCTTAATTTACAGTTAAAATTATTTTTATATTTTATTATAAGTTATATTTTAAGTAAAAATCTTATTTTTTAGTTAAAAAGAAGAGAATGGCCATGTTGGATACTCTAATTGCTGCACAAAATAACGGTCATCAAATTGATGACGTGGGAATCAGAGAGGAAGTCGATACTTTTATTTTTGAGGTAAATTACACAGTTAATATACCAATAAAAATAATAACAATTATAATTTATAATAATAATAATAATAATAATAATACAGGGTTGCCACGCTTTTGCTCTTTTTAAATTCCCTGACTTTTCTAGGTTTAAAAAAAAATTCCATTAAATTTTTTGTAAAAAATAAATTCTACAGAATTGTTAATTAAAAGTATGAAAAGTTCAAATTTTCTAAAAGATTTTAATTTGAACCATTTTGAACATTCAATTATTTCTAAAATTCCACGCTATAATGCTTTCAATATTCAATTCAAATATATAAAATTTTAACTGAAATTCATTTTTAAATCAATATATTTATTAGAAAATTTTACGAGAATTCAATTATTTAAAGACAAAAATAAATATTTTATTCAAAAATTAAATGTTTCTTCAAATTAAATTTTCATAACGAATTTTATCAACAAAATTTTCTAATAATTTAATTCTCCTGACAAATTTTAATAAAATTTAAAAGAATAATTTCATTTTTCCAGAAATTTGATAAAAATTGTATCATAAAAATAATTGAAATTCTGCCAAGAACTTTATTATAATTTTTGAAAATAATTGAATTTCGGTGAGAAATTTTATTTTTTATAAAAATAATTGAAATTTAGACGAGAATTTTTGTAAATTTTTAAACATAATTGGATTTCTGCGAAGAATTATGATACTTTTGAAAAAAATTGAATTCTTGAGACGAATCATATTAAAATAAGAATTTTAAAATAATTGAAGTTTTGATAAGAAAGTTACAAAAAAATTTAAGGAATAATAGAATTTTTAGAAAAAATTTTATCGAAAAAAAAAATTAAATTTATGCTAAAAATTCGAAATAATTGAAATTTTTACAGAAAATTTATTAAAACTATTTTAATTCGTACGAAAAATTCAAAATAATTGAAATTCCTCAAAAAATGTATCAAAATTTTAAAGAATAATTGAATTCAAATTAAAATTCAAAACATATTGAAAAGAATTGAATTCTTGCAAAGAATTTTAAAATAATTGAAATTTTAATAAAAAAGTTACAAAAAATTTTTAAAAATAATTGAATTCTTTACAGAAATTTTATTAAAAATAATTTACTACGAAAAATTCAAAATAATGGAAACTCTTCAAAAAATGTATTAAAATTTTAAAGAATAATTGAATTCAAATTAAAATTCAAAACATATTGAAAAGAATTTAATTCTTGCATACAATTTTAAAATAATTGAAATTTTGATAAAAAAGTTGCAAAAAATTTTAGGAATAATAGAATTTTTTGAGAAATTTTATTGGAAAAAATTAAATTCATGCTAAACAAATATTTTATTAAATAATTAAATGTTTCTTAAAATTTTAATAAAATTTAAAAGAATATTTTCATTTTTCAAGAAATTTGATGAAAATTGTTTGAAAAATAATTGAAATTCTGACAAGAATTTTATTATAATTTTTGAAAATAGTTGAATTTCGGAGAGGAATTTTATTTTTTATTTTGATGAGAATTTTCGTAAATTTTTAAACATAATTGAATTTCTGCGAAGAATTATAATACTTTTGAAAATAATTGAATTCTTGAGACGAATCTTATTAAAATTTCTTTTTAACTAATTGAATTCTGTTGTGAAATTTGATTGAAATAGTACACATTGAAAATAATTGAATTCTTTCAGGAAATTTAATTAAAAATGTATTGAAAATAAATCTTAAATTGTATTATATAAATTGTAGCAAAATTTTTTAAAGTAATTAAATTTCTTTACTGAATTTTAATTAAAATTTTTAAGAATACTTACATTTTTCGAGGAATTCCATTAAAATTGTATTAAAAATAATTAAAAGTCGGGGATGAGTTTTACTATGTATTTATAAAAATAATTGAATCCCTGTAAAAAAAATGTTATTATTTATGAAAATCATTGAATAATAATTTATGAAAATAATTTGTAAATAAAAAAAATAATAATAATAAAAATATATTAATAATGTTTTTAATAAAAATTTTTCTTTTGAAGGGTCATGACACAACTGCAATGGCTTTGTGCTTTGCCGTTTCACTTTTGGCCGAACATAAAGAAATTCAGGTATAAAAAAATATTCTAAAATTAAAAAATAATTACTTAAAAATAATTTTAAGATTACAATAATATAAGATTAGTGATAATATTTTTTACCTTTAGGAACAAGCACGAAATGAAGTTGACGATGTATTGAGAGAAAGTAATGGAAAAATGGGTATGGCTGAAATACAAAAATTCTTTTACCTTGAACGTTGCGTTAAAGAAGCTTTGAGATTATATCCAAGCGTTCCAATGGTAGCGAGAAATATTCGCGAGGATTTACAACTAAGTAAATTTATTCTCCTTTTTATATAACTTTTAATTTTTTCAATTTTCTTGAATTTTTTTTCATTTATTATTTTTTTCATTAAATTTAATTAAAATGTTTGTAATTTAATGTGGGGTATTATATTAAATATCCACTCTCAAAAAAATACATAAAAAACATACATAATTAAATAAGATTTATTTTTTTATAATTTTTAATAATTTAAACATACATTTAAATATAAAAGATTCAAAAAAGTTCTTTATAAATGACTTTTTTTATAAAAAATTACCAAAATGATTAATAAATATAATAATAAATTATTCTTCCAGAAAATTATGTTGTCCCAGCCGGTTCATGTGTACAACTTTATATTTACGATCTGCATCGGGATCCAAAATTCTGGCCAAATCCAAAAACTTACAATCCAGATAGATTTTTACCCGATCGAATTCAAGGAAGACATCCTTATTCCTACATTCCATTTAGTGCAGGAGCAAGAAATTGCATTGGCAAGTTTACAAATAAAAAAAAAATTAAATTACTTCCCAAAAAAACTAACTTTTTCGAATTCAGAAAAAAATTCGATTTAAAATTAATTTTTCTAATTAACATTATAAAATAAGAAAGTTATTATTAATTAATTTAATTAATTTTCCCCATACAAATAATAATAATTTGCTTAATACTTAAAAATAATATTTAAAAAAATTTACAGGTCAAAAATTCGCCTTACTGGAATTAAAGGCCCTTGTTGCCCATATTCTTCACAATTTTGAATTAGAGGCAATTGATTATGCACATGAAATAAATATTCTCGCCGACTTGGTTATCAGACCAGGTCAACCAATTCGAGTGAAATTTATTCCAAGAGTTAAATAAATTGCCAGTTGGAAAAAAAATTTTTTATATAAAAAAAATGGTAAATAAAAATGATTTTTTAGATATTTTTTTTAATAATTTAGAATAAAACAAAAGATTAAAGTTACAAAAAATTTGATATAATAAATTTTTCACTCAATCGATTTAAATAATAATAATTGTAATAAAAGATAAAAATTATTAATCGGTCAATTCGCATTTATTAATAATAATTGTACTTTTTGAATATTAATTCTAATAGGTATTAATATAAAAAGATATTCTTTTATTTTTTTACTTATATACTTAAGTTTTATATATATTTAAAATAAATATAAAATATTATAAAATAGAAAATAAACTGTACTATACTTACTATTGACTTTCTTCTAATTTTTCACATATAATAATATTTAATAAAGAATAATAGCGACAATAATAATAAAAATAATAAAAAATGAAAAAAAATTATAATAATGAAGCCTCATAGTAATAATAATAATAAATTAATATACATAATTACCGAAAGTGGAAAAATCTTAAAAGCATTTAAATATTTGCCAAAAAAATAAAAGAAAATTGACAACTGGAAATTATAATACAGCAGGATGAAAATCGAAACTAAAATCAGAAAAAAATCTTATTACTATAATAATTAAATAGAAAAATATTGCAAAACTGTAAAATGGTTGTTATAGAAATTTTATTTTTTCCTGATTTAAAATTTTAATTTTATCCCTCTGACACTAAAGAATATTCTGATTCACTATAAAAATGATTATTTATACTAATTACAAAAGAATTTAATTTGTCAAAATGTTTCCAAAAATTAAGTTCTTTAAAATTTCCAATTAAATTCATTCAAGAGTCAAATTTTCTAAAAGTAAAAATTATAGAAATTCTGCAAAGAAATTTATAAAAATTTTTAAGAACAATTGAATTCTAATATTTTATTAAAAATATATTGAAAACAATTGAATTCTTGCAAAGAATTTTAAAATAATTGAAATCTTGCAAAGAATTTTAAAATAATTAAAGTTTTGACAAGAAAGTTACACAAAATTTTAGGAAGAATAACATTTTTTGAGAAATTTTATTGAAAAAAATTAAATTCATGCTGAAAATTCAAAATAATTGAAATTCTACAAAGAAATTTATCAAAATTTTAAAGAATAATTGAATTCTTTAGAGAATTTTTTTTTAAAAACAATTTAATTTGTGCGAAAATTTCAAAATAATTGAAAGTCTTCAAAAATGTATCAAAATTTTAAAGAATAGAATTGAATTTAGATATTGTATTAAAATTTTATTGAAAATAATTGAATTTTTGCATGAGAATTTAAAAAAAAAATTTAATTTTGACAAAAAAGTTATAAAAAATATTAGGAATAATTGAATTTTTTTGTGAAATTTTATTAAAAGTAATTGAAATTCTGCAAAGAAATGTATCAATATTTTTAAGAATAATTGAATTCTTTGGAGAAATTTTATTAAAAATAATTGAATTCATGTGAGTAATATTCAAAATAATTGAAATTCTGCAAAGAAATTTATCAAAATTTTAAAGAATAATTGAATTTTTTAGAGAAATTTTATTAAAAACAATTTAATTCGTGCTAAAAATTCGAAATAATTAAAATTCTATAAAGGAATGTATCAAAATTTTAAAGAATAATTGAATTCTTTAGAGAAATTTTATTAAAAATAATTGAATTCGTGCAAAAAATTCAAAATAATTGAATTTCTTAAAAAAAATGTATTAAAATTTTTAAGAATAATTGAATTTCAATATTTTATTAAAAATATATTGATAAGAATTCAATTCAATTGAATCAAAATTTTAAAGAATAATTGAATTCTTTAGAGAAATTTTATTGAAAATTATTGAATTTATGCGAGTAAAATTGAAAATAATTGAAATTCTACAAATGAATTTATCATTAAAATTTTAAAGAATAATTGAATTCAGATATTTTATTAAAATTGTATTGAAAATAATTGAATTTTTTAATTTTTAAAAAATTTCAATTTTAAAATGAAATTTATAAAAAATAGTAGGAATAATTTAATTCTTTTAAGAAATTTTATTAAAAATAATTGAAATTCTGCAAAGAAATGTATCAACATTTTTACGAATAATTGAATTCTTTGGAGAAATTTTATTAAAAATAATTGAATTCATGTGAGTAATATTCAAAATAATTGAAATTCTGCAAAGAATTTATTAAAATTTTGAAGAATAATTGAATTCAAATATTGTATTAAATTTGTATTGTAAATAATTAAATTCTTGAAAAGAATTTTAAATTAATTGAAACAAAAAAGACACCAGAATTCAGTATTTTCTTATGAATTTTAAAAATTTAATTCTTTTCCAATACTTTTAATAAAATTTCCTGAAATTTCCCTGAATTTCCTGATTTGTTGCATCGTTGTATTGGCTCAGTGGTCAACGTACCGGATTTCTAACAAATGTACAAGGGTTCGATTCCCCACGATTGCGAATTATTTTCACAAGAATAGAAGCAGAATGAACAATAGAAATTTTTTCCCGAATTTTCAATTTCGATTTAAAAGAAAATAAAATATAAATAAAATAATAAATTTTTTTTTCATTGGAAGAAAAGAAAGAAAGAAAGACAGACAAGAACGGAAATAAATCTTTACAACAGAGTTTATATTTCGTAAGATTCTTTCGAACCAGCCAACAACCACTGTTTTTTTTTGTTTTCTTTTCATTTACAAAGCGTCCATTCATAAAAAAACAAATACAATTTGGTGGTTTTCTTTCCGGTTAGTCAAGCTATCATACAACAAAAGCGCTTTTTACAAATAAAGCGCCAAAATAAAACACCCTCGTAACATCCGCTTACTCTTATCTATTTTCTAGCCTATTAAAAAAAAAATTTTTTTTCTTCTGAGAAATAAATTAAGTTGAGAGGGAAAAAAAAATTATTAACAAAATGATTGACAATAAATTAAGAAAAATAGAAGTGGAAGAAGAAGAAGATAAAAAATGGGTCACTAAAGCGGCCGTATCAAAAATAGAGAGCAAACGATCAACAGATTATGTTGCCTTAATAGTTACTTTATCTCAGTGCACTATACTCGTAACACGCGAAAATATAATTACAATATTTGGATACGACGTATAGTCACCTTGAATAGGACGCATCTTTGGTGACGTTTGCACCGTGAATAATAAAATTCAACAAAAAAAAAATCCAATTATTATTTTAATTCACAAAATTCTCTTCTTTTTTTTCTATTTTCGAGAATTTTGAAAATTAATTTTTTTTCAGTTAGATTTTTTCTTTTTATTCACGATGTGCAATTTGGTATTCTTGCATACTACAAAATAAGGTACTGATTTTCACGATTCTAAAGTGTTGCACATTTACTAGTACGAGACTTTTTTTTATATAAAAATATTATTAATTTATCAACTATCATCGCAATGTCGTATTTTCGCAAAAAATTTTCTTGTATCGTATTTTTTAATATAATTTTATTTTTTGTATTCAAACTAATTTTTTTTTCTTTAACAAAATTTTACTAGATAACAAAATTGACATGAAAATTTTTTTTTAAACAAATTTTTCCTATTGTTTTTTTGAAAAAAAATTTTGTCAAACAAAATTTGACTACAAATAAAAAAAATTGACACTACTTGAAAAAGAGGACAAAAACAGTCTTTTGTCTCCGTTCGTAATCACCTTTATATTTAAATATTGTGATATAACAGCCTTTTTGTCACTAAAAATAAATTTTAATTGTAGAAAAATGTACAAAAGAACAAATTTTAAGTACTAAACAAATTTTCGCCTTTTTTCAACATAAAAAAAAAAACTATAAATTATATTTAGTTTCAAATTTCGGAAATTTGTAGAAAACTAAAAAAATCCGCTCGTTTTCCATTAAATTATAAATAAATAAATAAATTCTAAAAATTGTACAAGTTGAGATTTTTTTCCTTAATTTCTAAAAAAAAAAAATTAAAAAGAAATTCTTCCGTCTTTTTATTGTAGAAAGAAAATCTAAAAATTATTCTAACATTTCTAACAAATTTAAAAAAAAAAATACTTTCGGTCTTCTTTCACTAAAAAAACAAAATTATAAAAAAAAATTATTCGATATTTGCAAATTTTTTCCTTTTCCGAAATTTCTGAAAAGTGATACTTTTGAATCTAAATTTTATTTTTATTCGTTTTATTTAAAAATTATTTCACAATTTTCTAAGAAGAATATTGTAAATAAAAGAAATAAAAATAAAAAAGTAAAAATGAAAAATAAAAAAAAGTTGAAGTAAAAAAAGTAGAAATAAAAATAAAGAAAGTGGAATTAAAAAAAATATTTTTAAAGCAAAAAAAAGTAGAGATTTTTCGGAAACGTTTCTAAATTTACAAAATACACTTTCTTCGGATAATTTTTCGAAAAATCAAGCTCCAATAAACGGCTGTTACAACACAACCAAATATAAAGCTGTCATCGTCGGGTAACGCAAGACTTTGGCATTTTTTTTCCTTTTTGCTTCAAGAAAATTAAAATTCAAAAATTTTTAATGCAAGACTATCAATATGATCACCTTAGAACGCATCGTGCACAAACATTATTTATTCTCACATTCATTCATAAGATTAAATTTAAAAAAACAAATTCCAATAATTCAGAACAATTATTTTTCCTTCTTATCATTCCACACATCCTCCGATTGATATCTTACATAAAAAAAAATAAAACCACAAGAAACTCGAAAAAAATCATCGCTCTACTTGTTCTACAAAAATCTAATCTACATCACAATCCAAAAAATTTACTTTTTTTTTAATTACGTCAATCCATCATCATCATCATCATTCACTCTTGTCCCTGTGTATTTGTTGTTTTTTTTATTAATGTGATAAATGACGAAACCAAGAATGACACGAAAGCGCAATTCAATAAATACAATCATTATATTAGACATGATTTGTTATAATAATAATTATAATAATATTAATAATAAAAATAATAATAATAAAAATAATAATAATAATAATAATAATTATAAAAATAATAATAATAGAAATAGCAATGAAAATAATAATCATAATAAAAATGATATTATTCTTATCATTATTATTATTTTCGTTATTATTAATATTAATATTATTATTTTAAAAAAAAAATAGTAATAGTAGTAGTAGGAGTAGTAGTTATTTGTATCATGACAACAGAGAAAAATTGGCGTTGCGTCGATACGCACAGTGCGGCATAAATTAGAAAACAAAAACAAAATAAAAATTTAATTCAATCGTTTCATCATACTTTTTTCTTTTAATTTACTCTTTTTCTTTTAGCTATTCATTCATTCAGTCTTATTTGAAATCTGTACTTTATTTTTTTTTTGGTACAGAAAAGGCGATATTTTTCAAAAAAATTTTCCCAAAAAGTTTACGCGTATACAATATAAAAATTATTTTGATGAATTTTTTTTTAAAAATTCCTTTGCAAAAATTGTTTTCACATTTTTTGTCGAAAATTCTTTCCGAATTTTTTTTTGTACATAAAAAATGCGAGAAAAAGGCGCAATTAAAAATTTTTGTTCTTTTAAAAAAAGTTTCTTTCTATTTTCTGAAAAACTATTTTTGTATATATTGAAAAAATTATTTTCTTTAGAATCTATTTTTCAGTTTAAAAAATTGCTTTTTAGTTTTTACAATTCTCGGGTTCTTACTTTCTTGAGTTTTTTTTTACAAAATTCGGCGATACTTTTTTTTTGAAAAATTTCTTTTTTATAAAAAAAATTTAAGGACACATTACTATCGAACATTGTTCAATTCCTTTTTTTCGTGTTTGTTCGCTTATTTGTAATGATTCCAACAATACTGCCAGGTTTTGAAAAGTTTTTTTTTTTTTGGTTTTTTTTAAATCATGCTAGCATAATAAGATATCCTATCGATTAAACTAAATAATTCCATTTACACAAATAGAAAAATATTTTACAACACAAAGAATTCAAGTACATTTCTCAAATTCTATTTGGACCTCTCTTAAGTAATTTTTTAATATTAATCTTTGGTCCTGCATTTGATGAAAACAAATCGTTTTAAAATATTTTTTTTTTGGAAAAATCTCCTAGAGATTTGACTTTTTTTGCGATTGAGATTCTTAAAAGAAAATTCTTACAATTAACGAGGAAACAAAAATTCAACAGATCCATTGTGAGGGTCTTTTTGCGACAAGTGCTGCATTTTTTTGAAATATTTAAAAATTTTTAATTTAATTCAACTTATTTCGAATTTTTTCATTTGATTCAATTTATTTTGAAATTTGAATTTCATTCAATTTATTTCGAATTTTATTCAGTTCAATTATTTTTGAATTAAAATTAATTCAATTCCAATTAAATTTAAATTAATTCCATTCTTTTCGAATTTAATTCAATTTGTTTTAAAATTGCTTCAATTTTATTCAATTGAATTGTTTTTGACTTCAATTTTATTAATTTTGAATTCAATTTTTCAATTCAATGTGTTAACATTTTCAACTTAATTCAATTGATTTTAAATTCAATTCTGATGAATATGAATTTAATTCAATTTATTTCGAATTTAATTCAATTCGTTTTAAAATTGCTTCAATTTTATTCAATTGAATTGTTTTTGAATTCAATTTTATTAATTTTGAATTCAATTGATCTCATTTTGAATTTAATTCAATTGGTCTAAAATTCAATTCTACTGATTTTGAATTTAATTCAATTTTTTTCGAATTTAATTCAATTCCTTTTAAATTCATTTGAATGTTATTTAAATTTTATTAAATTCAATTCTTTTTAAATTAAATTCAATTAATTTTGGACTCAATTAAATTCATTTTGAATTTAATTCAAATTAGTTTTAAATTCAATTCTATTGAATTTTAATTTAATTCAATTCGTTTTAAAATTACTTCAATTTTATTCAATTGAATTGTTTTTTAATTCAATTTTATTAATTTTTACTTAATTTATCTCATTTTGAATTTAATTCAATTGGTCTAAAATTCAATTCTACTGATTTAGAATTTAAATCAATTTTTTTTCGAATTTAATTCAATTTCTTTTAAATTCACTTGAATTTTATTTGAATTTTATTAAATTCAATTCTTTTTAAATTAAATTCAATTAATTTTGGACTCAATTAAATTCATTTTGAATTTAATTCAAATTGGTTTTAAATACAATTCGTTTTAAAATTACTTCAATTTTATTTGAATTTTATTCAGTTGGATTTTTTTTAATTCAATTTAACTCATTTTGATTTTAATTCAATTGATTTTAAATTTAATTAAATTATATTTTCGAATTTCATCCAATTAAATTCTTTTTGAATTTCGTTCAATTTAATTCTTTTGAATTAAATTAATTAATTAATTAAATTTAATTCTTTTCAATTAAATTTTTTTAAAATTTAATTTAATTCAATTCTCTTTGAATTTAATTTGGTTTTAAATTTAATTCAATTGTATTTGAATTTTATCCAATTGAATTATTTTTGAATTTTGTTCAATTTAATTCTTTTGAACTGAATTCAATTAAATTTTTTTCTTAATTTAATTTAATTCAATTCTTTTTGAATTTAATTCATTTTTAAATTTAATTCATTAATTTTTTATTAAATTAATTAAATTAATTTTGAATTGACTGTAATTAATTTTCAATTTAAATTCAATCAATTCAAAATTAATTTGAATCAAAAATTTCTTTTCATTCGAAAAAATATGGTTTTAGAAAAAAATAACATTGCAAAGAAATTGAAATTGAATTGAAAAAAAAATAAAATTCATCTTTTTTAAATAAATTCAAATTCGAAAATATTTACAAAAGTGACGAACAAATTTTTTATTTCTTTCTAGGCGAAGAGTCGAATTTTTTTTCTGAAACTTTCACCTGGCAGCATTTGTTGATATCAATAAAAAAAAAAGATGGAAAGCAAAATATTTTTTTTTTCTTTTTATAGAATCAGACACTTTTTTGTTTGACGCAAATTCTTTTCTTTTTTTCTTGTAAGCTAATAGGGAACGAGCCTTTAAAGAAATGTACGAGTGACATTTACTGCGCACATGGTAAACGGAAATTTTCGTCCGCACGGAAGTTTACTTTGGTAATGACTAGGTCTTATTAAACGCTATACAATGTACTACGTACTCTCGAATGTCCACGTTGCTTTTTAGTTTTTTCTTTTCTTTTTTTTAACTATTATGGCGCATTTTAAATTCGTGGAACTATCGTATTTTATTAACATGTAATTAAGGAAGCTTACTGTAAGATTATTATGGCTTCAGTTCAAAATAATTCTAAAACATCGCTTTCATTGAAAAAATAATTTTTTTTTTTTTTTTATTCTTAATCTTTGTTAATTCTTTTCTTGTTTTATTCTTATCTTCATTCCTTTTCGTTTAATAACAAAATAACTATATATTTAAATTAATAAAATATGTGAGAGCATTAAAATTCCGATTTTACTTTTTTTGGACCATCCTATTATGGATTCTTTCCAATAAAAGCAGTGTTTTAGAATTATTCCGATTTCTCTAATTCCTAGGCGTTCTCGTAAAAATTAGAACTGGATGCGATAATTAGGTCGCGGTATTGACCTGGCCTTGGTGGGTGGAAGTGATGACGTAGAGGCCTCACTACTGGCAGTGCCACCAGAGTCTCGTCCACTTTTACTGCTGACAGTGCTCCCAGTACTCTGACCCCTGGTGAATCCGGTCTTCCTCAATGACACTTTCCCATCGCCGTCGCTCAATCTCCCGTACTCGCCGATACGACGCGATGGCGGCGGTATCAATGAACGTCCATGTTGCTCACGATGTTTCACCTCGAGTAAAATTTGCTTCTTCTTATCCACATCCCCAAGACGCTCGTATTCACAAACAGGCGACGACGACGACGATCCCTTCTTCTGACCGAAATTCTCCGAAATTGTCGTCTTCTTCCTCCTTGGCGCCCTCGACGACGCACTACTCTCAAACTTACCGTAATCGAGTGTACAATTACCAGAGTCACGCGTTGTTGTTGTTTTCATTCCAGTGTCAATCACTGGTCCAGGATCTGATTTTTTTCTCGCTTCGGAATCACTTAGGCGACAGTAGCGTGAATTTGTTGAGGATTTCAATGATCGTGGTGGACGTGGAAGGGAACTCGGTGGTAGACTACCGGCTCTTCTTGGCTCGCCCTCTTGCATTCTCTGTCGTTGTGAACTGCGACCCTGCTTCTCAAGTAGCATCATCTCCTCGGGCTTCTCCACTGATAATCTTGATACTGTACCTTTAAAGCGTGTCGCCGATGCTGCGGCAAATTCCATGAGACTACCAGTTGCCTCGCCAGTTGAATCGTCCAGTAAACGACTTTTACTTGACGCCGTACTCGAACTACCTGCACTATTTACACTCGCCAGTAATGGCTTGGGTATTTTTCCTTTTCGCGACGCAGTGCCTGGATTAGAGAATCCTGGAAAACAGCAAAGTGCCCGCTGAAAAAAAAGAAGAATACCATCGCGTTGGAGAAGGAGAACCGGGATAAGGGTTAGTGCTCGCCACAACAGCGCATGCGCACTCTTTGGAAGACTGTTTTTTTTTCTCTTTTTGGAATCAGGAAAAGAATCGTGGTCCAGATTGGAAATTATGAACAAAAATTACCGAATGTCTGTGTTTTTATAATTTTTTACCCCCTATACTAAAAGTTGGGATTAATTAATTAATTAATTAAATTTTTTTTAATAATTGAATTCTTTTTCAATTCAAAATTCATTTTCAAATCAATCTTTATTAAAAAATTCTATGAGAATTCAATTATTTAAATACAAAAATAAATAATTAAAGAAAATGCAAGTCTACGAATCCCATAACTGAAAGCGTCAGACTTCCTAACGTCCCCTCTTCTTTCTCTCTCTAGCGACGCATGCGCATAGACGACGTACCCGCGCGCATGCGTTAAATTACTTATTTTTAATAATTTTTGAAAAAATTCTTTGAGAATTTTCAAATTCATTTGTTTACAATTAAATATATTAAATATATTAAATAATTTGTTTTAATTAAATATACATCACAAAATACAAACTTCAAATAATTGTAAAAAAAATTCAATTATACTTTTTAAAAATATGAATTATTCAGATTTGTAAGTTAAAAGTATGAAAAATTCAAATTTTCAAAGATTTAAATTTAAATCTTTTTCAAAATTCAATTATTACTAAAAATTCAATTATTATCCAAAATTTTAATTGAAATTCATTTTCAAATCAATTTTTATTAAAAAATTCTATGAGAATTCAATTATTTAAATACAAAAATAAATAATTTATTGAAAAATTAAATGTTTCTAAAATTTAAATTCCCATAAAAAATTATACCAACAAATTTTTAATTAATTAAATTCCGTCGACGAATTTGACTAAAATTTTTAAGAAAAATTACATTCTTGGAGGAATTTGACTAAAATTATATAAAAAATAATTGAAATTTTGCGATGAATTTTATTATTTATGAAAAACGTTGAATTATTGATTAATTAATAATAATATTTGAATTATCATTCAATTATTATCTAAAATTTTAGCTAAACTTCATTTTTAAATCAATTTTTATTACAAAATTCTACGAGAATTCAATTATTTAAATAAAAAAATAAATAATTTATGAAAAATTAAATTCTGAAAAAGAATTTTACCAACAAATTTTTAATTAATTGAATTTCTTCGACGAGTTTGACTAAAATTTTTAATAAAAATTACATTCTTGGAGGATTTCGATTAAAATTATATTAAAAATAATTGAAATTTTGCGATGGATTTTATTATTTATGAAAAAAATTGAATTATTGATTAATTAATAATAATTCAATTATCATTCAATTATTATCTGAAATTTTAACTGAAATACATTTTTAAGTCAATTTTTATTAGAAAATTCTACGAGAATTCAATTATTTAAATACAAAAATAAATAATTTATTGAAAAAATTAAATATTTCTTAAAATTAAAGTCTCGTAAAGCATTTTACCAACAAATTTTTAATTAATTGAATTCTTTCGACGAATTTGACTAAAATTTTTAAGAAAAATTACATTCTTGGAGGAATTCGATTAAACTTATATTAAAAATAATAATAAATTTTTAAATCAATTTCTATTAGAAAATTCTACGAAAATTGAATGATTTAAATACAAAAATAAATAATTTATTGAAAAATTGAATGTTTCTTAAAATTAAATCCCTGTAAAAAATTAATTATTTATAAAAAAAATTTAACATTTTCGTAGAATTTTAGTAAAATGTTTTTTAAATAATTGAATTCTTTTGTAAAGTTTTATTAAAATAGTAGATTTATTGAAAATCATTGAATTGAGAAAATCTTTTAAAAATATTTGAAATTTTGCAAAGAATTTTTTTTTAAATAATTGAATTTCGGAGAAAAATTTTATTATTTGTAAAGATAATTGAAATTTTGACGTGAATGTTTTTAAATTTATGCAAAGAATTTTATTACTTTGAAAAATAATTGAATTTTTGCAATCATTTGTAACTTCTTAAAAATTCAATTCTTTTTAGTTTTTTTAACCAAAATTCTCCTATAAATCTATTATTTTTAATAATTAATTAATCACATATATATTAAAAAATTTAACTTATTTCCCTGACTTTAATTTTTAAAATTTTTCTTTTCATTATCAAACACCGTAATTTATTAAATTCATACTTTATTAAACTATACCATCAAGAAAATTTCACTGAAAATTCAAATTTTTATAAACTAATAAACTGTTCGTTAATCCCAAAAGATAAACGAAAAAATCGATAAATTCTACTGGGAAAAAATATTTTAATAAAAAAATTATTCAAATGTAATTAAAAATCACATATCCGGACCACATTGTTCTTTTTAGGGGAAAAGGAAATTAGTTGGATCACTCTCGGCAAAAAGAAACAAAATAAGTAAAAATGTTAAAAAACGCCAAAAAAAACCAATTCGTTATGTAAAAAATCCGTTACTGGTTATATTTTGTTTTCTCGATTTTATATCAAACCATGAACATAATAAAACACTTAATAATTATGAAAAAAAAAATTATGTTCCGATTCTAAACATTACAATCGCGTTAAAAATAAAAGTCGTTGTTGTCGGTAACAGTAAAAATTAAACTATGTATCAATTTTTTTTTAATTATGTGAGAAGAGAACTTTTTCGAATTTTTAAGACTAATTTTGTTTGTTATTAGTGTAGAAAAAAAATCGTAATTGAAAAACTACCACACGAGTATTAGGATATTTGAATTTATTCGAACAAAATATCATAATACTTTTTCACAATTTCAAGAGCAGGTATTTTAGTATCAAAACCAATATTTCTTTTTAAGAAAAAAAATAGTATTTTTATTGAGTATTTAGAAGTATAGAAAATATTTTATTTATTTTCTAGTCTCAAAAATGTCATCATTTTTTATTTCTTTAAATAATTCGTATATGTTTTTTAAAATTAATAAAATATTTTCTAAATTCTTTCAATGATTTTAAAATTATCTAAGTACGTTTTTTAAAATTATTTAAATATTTTTATAAATTATGCAAACGTTTTTAAAATTATTCAAATGTTTTTTTAAATTATTTAACTTAATTTTAAAATAATTAAAATAAAGCAAAATCATAATTTTGAATTTAAAGTATTCAAAAATATTCAGGAATAAATTTTTTAACATTGAAAAAAAGTTAATTCTAATTTTCCTTTTTGAAAAAATACTACCTGCCCTCGAGTGAAATTTCAACGTTTTAAATGCTTCAAAAAAACAGAAAAAGAAAACGTAACACAAACACAATGAATACCTTTTGTAGTGTGTGTTCTGTAAATTATTCGTGATCAGCTTTCTTCTACAATAATCACGTGGCACGAAGTGATAAAACTAAATATGACTCAATTTTTCTTTCTTTAAACGATATATTTCTAGTTTATCCGACTCTCAGTGTGAAAGCAACAGAAAAAATATTTTTTCTAATGAAAATTAAATAAAACTTAAAAAAGAAATTAAATAAAAATAAAATTAAAATAAATGTAATTTTTTCTGTACTAAATTAAAACTTAGAAAAAGAATTATTTTCCTTGCGGATTTAATTTCTTGCAGATAAAATTACAAAATAAAGACAAAAAAAAGTAATTTGTATAATAAAATTTTTTTGCTATGAATTAATAATTAAAAATAATGTTGAAAAGAAATAATTTCCCTTTGTATTAATTAAATTAACTTAAAAGTCATATTTTCTCTATTTGTAAAGTAAATTAATTTAGAAGGCATTTTTTTCCATATTTTAATTAATTTAAAAATTTTGTTTTGCGTTGCTAAAAAAAAACTTCGGTTGACTGGGAAGAGGTGATGTGATTCGAGACGCGATTATACAGAGCACTACACTGTGGAGATTCTGCCTACCTTGCTGAGTAGTTGTGAATCCAGCTCCTTCAATTGATCGTCAAGACTCTTATTTGTTTGCTCAAAACTTCCCTGCTTTCTGTATTTATAACTGTCGGACACGCCATAAGATCCCGTGCTTCCGTAACCGCTTCCACCGCCCAGTACACTGCTCACTAAAAAATAATAAACACGTCAAAGAAAAAAATCAAATATTTAATTAATTAGGAAAAGCTAATTAAAAAATAACTTGCAAAAAACCGTTATCAGAGTTACCACAAAAATTTAATTTTGTTTTTCCCTAATTTCCAGTCAAAATTTTGACTTTTTCCCTGACCCTAAAGAATATTTTGATTCACTCTAAAAATTATTAGATACTCAAAAAAATGTCTATTACATTTATTTACAAATTTCTTCAAAAATAAAATTCGAAAACATCAATAACTTCTTTTTAAAAAAATATTTTTAATCATTATTATTTTTCCATGGGAATTATTTAAATATTTCAAATTCAAACCTTTTGAAATTCAACAACTGATAAAAATATTAGGGAATACCAAATATTATTGTAAAACATGAAGACTCGGACTGCTCGATTTCTTCATATTTTATAAAAATTAAAAATGACCGAGTGATAAAATTATTATTTTACATTACAAGAATATTATTACTGTAACTCATTTTCTTCATTTCAATTGAATTATTATTTTTTAATAAAATTCGTCTTTGAATCAATTATTTTTAATAATTTTTTTAAAAAGTTCTTGAGAATTTTCAAATTCTCCATTATTTTCCATTTGTTTACGCAATTCAATTTTAAGTAAAATTTCGATTATTCGAAAATTCTTCAATAATTAAATATACATTTGAAAATAAAAACTTGAAATAATTTTTAAAAATTTTAATTAAACTTTTTGAAGAAAATTAGTTTCATAGAATTTTTAAGTAAAAGTAGGAAAAATTCAGATTTTCAAAGATTTTAATTTGAAATCTTTTTAAAATTCAATTATATCTAAAAATTCACGCTATAAGGCTTTTAATATTCAATTATTATCTGAAATTTTAACTGAAATTCATTTTTAAATTAATTTTTATTAGAAAATTCTACGAGAATGCAATTATTTAAATACAAAAATAAATAATTTATGAAAAATTAAATGTTTCTGAAAATTAAATTCTCAAAAAGAATTTTACTAACAAATTTTTAATTAATTGAATTTCTTCGACGAGTTTGACTAAAATTTGTAATAAAAATTACATTCTTGGAGGAATTTGACTAAAATTATATTAAAAATAATTGAAATTCTGCTAAGAGTTTTATTATTCATGAAAATAATTGAATTATTGCGAAGAATTTTATAAAAAAGTTTCAAACAATTGGTTTTTTTCGAAAAAATTCATGCAATAAATTAGGTATATTTTTAATAGTTTAATTTTTGTGAAATTTTTTTCTTGAAAAATAATTGAATATTCGTGAAGAATTTTATCAAAATTTTTGTTTAGTAATTGAATTCTTTTGGGAAATTTTATTAAAATAGTAGAAGATTGAAAATCAATTAACTAAGAAAAAATTTTGAAAATCATTGAAATTTTGTCTTGAATTTTATTAAAATTCTTGAAAATAATTGAATTTTATTACTTTTCAAAATAATTGAATTCTTGTGATGAATATTGTTGATTATAAAAATAATTGAATTTTACATTGAATTTTATTAAAATTCCTGAAAATAATTGAATTTTGTCGAAGAATTTTGCTATTCATTTATAAAAATAATTGAAATGCTGACAATTTTTTTGTATTAATTTTTGAAAATAATTGAATTCTTGTGATGAATATTGTTATATATGAAAATATGTAATTGAATTTTGTAATGAATTTTATTGAAATTTTTGAATATAATTGAATTTTAGTGCAGAATTTTGCTATTTATAAAGATAATTGAAATGTTGACGAGATTTCTTTTAGATTTTTTGAAAATAATTGAATTCTTGTGATAAATATTGTTATTTATGAAAATAATTGAATTTTGCAATTAATTTTATCAAAATTTCTGAATATAATTGAATTTTTGGGCAGAATTTTGCTATTTATAAAGATAATTGAAATGTTGACGAGATTTTTTGAAAATAATTGAATTTCTGAGAAGAATTTTATTAATTTTCCAAATAATTGAATTCTTGTGATGAATACTATTATTTATGAAAATAATTGAATTTTGCAATGAATTTTGTTAAAATTCCTGAAAATAATTTAATTTTGCAGAAAAATTTTGCTATTTATTTAAAGATAATTGAAATGTTGACAATTTTTTAAATAAATTTTTGAAAATAATTAAATTTCTGGAAAGAATTTTTGATATTTATGAAGATAGTTAAATTCTTTCAAAGAATTACCTTAAAATTTTTAAAAATAAACAATAACAGAATTTTCACACAATTTTTTTTTTTAAAAATATTTTTTGAAAAAATAAAATAAAATAAACTTACCAAGTTCGGGAGTACTCGTTAATACCGTATGATGATGATCTGCCGAAGTACTGGAATGAGACGAGTGTGCAGCTGGATAACTACCAACACCACTACTGCAACTACTATCCTTATCGTAGGTATGTTTTTGAAGAACGCGTATCATTGCGTCCCTCTCGGCCAATTTCGACTCCAGATCTTTCATTCTACAAGAAATAAAAACCAAATTTAAGTTCCACAAATTAATCAAAAAAAAAAAAAGAGAAATTTATTTCTTTCCTATAAGAAAGACATTTCTTCTTTTCTACAAGAAAATAAATTAAATTATCAAAGAATTAAAAAAAATGTTTGAGTTTAATTTCATTCTTTAAAGAAAAAAAACCTGACGAATCTGACATCAGATTATCAAAATTAAAAATGGCGGATACAATATGGCGGATTTTTTTATTTTAATAGTTCGAGTTCGTTTATTACATTCGTAAATTAAATGCAATGAACTGAAATTATTGGGACAAGATTAATAATTTAAATTTGAGTAATGAATTGAATTAAAATTGTTAATAAAATAAAAATACCTGGATTCGAGATCGGCGAGCTTCTTTTGTGCGGCATGAACTTCGTCCATGTGTCGCATTTTTTCTGAGCGTGCCTCCGCTATTAATTTCTCGGCGTCTTGACTCGTTTTCTCCAAAGCGGCAATTTTTGCATCTCTATAAAATAAAAGTGAAAAAAATTGACATTAATTTTCTATTAAAAAAAAATTCTATTTTTAAAATAAACGAAAAATAGAATTTAAAAAAGTACTTTCTTTAAAATGAGAAAAAGAGTTTTAAAACAAAATTTCTTTTAATAAAACAATTTTTTTTTGTCATACTTTGGAAGACTGGCGGCGTCAATAGCGGCCTGCCGCAAAGCGCTCTCCTCGAGGTAGCGTTGCTCCCATTTAGTGACATCGCCCTCGAGTGACATAATTTTTTCATCCCTCTCTCTCAGTCTTCGTTTTAAATCAGCAATTGTTTCGCCATTCGCCGAATGTTCGTTTCCATGTGCACCGCCATTTCCGCCCTCTCGCAATTCCCTCTCCAATTGCCCTCTCAATTGTCTTTCAGTCTCTTCGCGTCGATCGCTCGACGCTTGAAGTGAGGACAACGCTCGTTGCAATTGGGCGACGCGCTCCACGTAAACTTGCTTTTTCCGCGACTGTAAATCGAAATATTCAAGAGAATAAAATATATTTTAAGAACAAGTATTAAAATTATTAAAAAGAAAAAAAGTAAAAAAAAAGTTTCGTACACTCTTTCCCAAAAAAAAAGAAGTAAAAAAAATAAAAGCAAAGAGAAGAGTAAAATAAACGAATAAAAGCAAAATAAGAAAAAAAATGAAGAAATTGACAAATAAAATAAAAATCTGACCTCTTCCTCGAGACGAACAACATTTCCCTGCGCATTTGTAAGAGCAGTGTCCAAAATATCGATATGCGTTCGTTGCTCCTGAAGAGTTGCTCGTTGCGCGGCGAGTTCAATTTCCTGCCTTTCTTTTGCCGCCGCGAGTTCCTTATCTTGAAAAAAAATAAAAACCAATATTAATCAAGTGAAAAAATACCTTCTTTAGTAAAAAAAATAAATCTTCTTTTTAATCAATAAAAAAGACACTTTTTAATTAAGAAAAAATACTCTTTAAAAAAAAATAAATAAATAATTTTTAAGAAAGTTTTTTTTCTTAATTAAAAAGAGTTTTAAATTAAGAATTAGAAAATTTTTTCTGAATTAAAAAGAATCTTTTAAATTAAGAAAAAAAGAATCTTTTTCTTTTTTTTATCAATTTGACATACTTTGAGTGATAAGTTGACCGATGAGTAATTCACGTTGCGTTAATTCTTTCCGCATTGATTCGACAATCGGTGGATTGTCGGTTCGCGATGATAGTAAATCAATTTGATCCCTTAAGGCACGATTTAATTCAGTGAGCCTTCGACAATCACTTTGTAATCTTAGTCTCGCTGCTCTCTCGAGTTTTTCACGTCTTTCACACGATGCGGCTAAATCCTCGTGGGCACGATGCACCTTTGCTATTTCCTGCTCGAGCTTCTGTGATTTCGCCACTTTATTGTAACAACGCTCGAGCTCCAATTTTAAGGCACTATTCTCTTGAATTACTATTTGAACCATTGCCGATGGCGGCCAAATTTCACCGGCCGCCGTCTCAATGTCTTCTCTGCCCTTTGTTTGCGGTCTGTAATTTGAAGGAGGAAAAAATTCAAAAATTTCAATTTAATTTCAAAATAATTATTATTATTTTATCAATTTATTAATTAAAAAATAATAATTACCTAGGAGAAGTTGTTCGTGGATCGTAATTATCCATGTCGACTTTTCCAATTCGGGACAAATCGGGCTGCGAACGGGAGAGAGTTAATTTTTCCGTGGGACCAAGTAATCTGTGTTTACTTTTAAGAGGTAGTAATGTCGTGGTGTACGAAGACGATGAAGGTCTATCTTCATAATCCGTTTGCTTTCCACGATCACTTTCTCTGAGTCTCATATCAATACTACTGTCATTTCCTGACAGTTTACTGTATGAGGGCACCTTAACTTCCTTCGCGAGATGTTTCAGGACCTTAGGAGCAAAATCAAAAAATTTACACTTACAATTTACAATTTGTTATCATTTTCATTATTTCGTAAAATTATTTGGTCAATTTTGTAAAAATATTATTTTCTTAATTCTTTCAAAATTAATTGGTTCATTTTGTAAAATTCTTTTTTATTTTTCTTTAAAATTATTTGGTTCATTTTGTAAAAATAAAAAAAAATTACCTGCGACTGGCTGAGATAATCGTCAGGGATGTCGGTGATTTCTTGACAGCCACCATTTCCAGATTGCTCGTAGAGATGATCGTCGTGTGGTAAACTTGACAATGATTGCATTGTAGGGCTGTTTGAATGCCCTTTTCCTCCACCTTCGCAATATAAATACCCCATATCGCCATGGTCTCTCACGAGACCTGACAATCTGCAAAAAAAAATTATTTACAGTAATTAACAATGAATTATAATATACAATAAAGCTCAAGTCAATTAAAAATCAATCTCCATAAAAAAATTAGGTTTTCAAAAAAGCATTGAAAAATTTAAAATTAGATTTAGTAAAGCTCAGTGCAAGAAAACTTAGTTTTTAAAAAAGCTTAGGTCAAACAGAAGTTCCTTTTTAGTTAATCGTAGATCAAATAAATTTAGGTTTCAAAGACAGATTTAATAAAATTTAGTGAATGTAAAAATTAAAAAATAATATTTAATAGAACTTAGGTCAACCAAAACCAACTTGAATAAAGTTGAAGTGAAATAAAAAATTAGTTTTAATAAAACTGAGAACAAGTAAAAATCAAAAGTAGCAGCAAAGTTGCCACAAAAATTTAACTTCGTTTTTCCCTGACTTTTCCCTGACTTTTCCCTGATTTACAAACAGAATTTTGACCTTTTCCCTGACACTAAAAAATATTCTGATTCACTCTAAAAATTATTAGAAACTCAAAAGTTTTCGAATATTTGCGAATTTCTTTAATTATTGTAAAATTATTCGAAAACAATTGTTTTGTTTATCATAATTATTTAATCATTAGGTATTATTTTTCCATTGAAATGAAGATTTTCAAAAATTTCAAATTCAAATCTTTAAATCAATTATTATTTAAAACAACAAAAAATTTAAATTTCCAAAGATTTGAATTTGAAACCTTTTCAAAAATCAATTATTTCTAAAAATCCATGCTATGTTTTGAATATTCAATTATCTAAAATTTTAACCGAAATTCATTTTCATTTCATTTAAATCAATTTTTATTAGAAAATTCTACGAGAATTCAATTATTTAAATAAAAAATAAATAATTAATTCAATAATTGAATTTTATAACAATTTTTGAAAATAATTGAAAACTTTTTGAAGAATTTTATTAAAATTTAGAAAAATAATTGAATTTCTGAGAAGAATTTAAATAATAATTTATGAAAATAATTGAATTCATGCGATGAATTTTATTAAATTTTTGTTTAAATAATTGAAATTTTGACAAGAAGTTTATTAAAATTTTTGCCAATAATTTAATTCTTGAGAAAAATTTCGCTACCTATTTATAAAGATAATTTAATTATTAACGAGAATTTTAAAAAAATTTTGAAAATAATTTAATTTCTGCAAAGTATTTTATTACTTTTCAAAAAAATTGAGTACTAGTGATAAATTTTGATATTTATGAAAAAAATTGAATTTTGGAAAAGAATTTTATTAAAATTCCTTTAAATAATTGATTTTATGGGGAGAATTTTGTTGTTTAACAAAGATAATTGAATTCTTTTGCAGAATAACTTAAAAATATTTTTGAAAATAATTGATTTCCTGAGACGAATTAAAAGTTATTTATAAAAATAATTGAATCATTCTTTCGTCAAGTTTTAATAAAATTTTTAAGAATAACTGTATTTTTCGAGGAATTTATTTAAAATTGTATTAAAAATATTTTAAATTCTGTCGAGAAAATAATTGAATTCCTAAATGAAATTTTATTATTTATGAAAAAATTGAATGTTTTCGTAGAATTCTATAAAAAATTTTTTTCAATAATTAAATTTTTTGATAAATTTTATGAAAATAGTGAATATTGAAAATTATTGAAATGCGAAAAACTTTTTAAAATAATTGAAATTTTTGCAAAGAATTTTATTTAAATTTTTTGAAAATAATTGAATTTTTGACGAAAAATTTTGTTATTTATAAAGAAAATTGAATTCTTAGCGAAATATTCGTTAAAATTTGAAAAAATAATTGAATTTCTTCGAAGAATTTTATTATTTTTGAAAATAATTGAATTCTTGTGATAAATGTTGTTATTTATGAAAATAGTTGAATTTTGGAAAAGAATTTTATTAAAATTCCTTTAAACTATTGATTTTATGGGGAGAATTTTGTTGTTTAACAAAGATAATTGAATTCTTTTGCAGAATTACTTAAAAATGTTTTTAAAAATAATTGATTTTCTAAGACGAATTAAAAGTTATTTGTAAAAATAATTGATTGATTGCAACGAATTTTATTATTTTATTGAATAATTGAATGTTTCTTAAATTTGAATTCGTCAAGTTTAAATAAAATTTCTAAGAGTAACTGCATTTTTCGAGAAATTTATTTTAAATTATGTTAAAAATATTTAAAATTTTCTCGTGAAAGTAATTCAATTCCTATAAGAAATTTTATTATTTATGAAAATAATGGAATGTTTTCGTAGAATTTTAACAGAAATTTTTTTCAAAAATTAAATAAATAAATAAATAAATAAAATAAATTTTTTGATAAATTTTATGGAAATAGTGAATATGGAAAATTATTAAAATGCAAAAAACTTTTAAAAATAATTGAAATTTTTGCAAAGAATTTTATTTAAATTTTTTGAAAATAATTGAATTTTTGGCGAACAAATTTTTTTATTTATAAAGACAATTGAATTCTTAACGAAATATTCGTTAAAATTTTTAAAAATAATTGAATTTCTTCGAAGAATTTTATTATTTTTGAAAATAATTGAATTCTTGTGGATAAATGTTGTTATTTATAAAAATAATTGAATTTTGCAAAGATTTTTTTTTAAATTCCTAAAAATAATTGAATCTTTGTGAAGAATCTTGTTATTTATCAAGATAATTGCATTAAATTTTTTGAAATAATTAAATAATATTAAAAAATTAATTCAGGTCAGAAATAGAAAAAAATTTTGAAGGTTTTATATTAGAATTCGTGGTAGTTTGATAGTTTATGAGGCAAACAAAAAAGACACTAAAAATTCAGAAGTTTCTTATGAATTTAAAAAATTAAATTTTTTCCAGTACTTTTAATAAAACATTTTTTCTTTTTTTGCTTTTAAATTTAGAAATAAAAGAAAGAAATTAATTACCTTCCTGAAGGCGCCCAAGATGATTCCTCATTTGCATTGTGAATAATAAGTGTATTATATGAACTTGTAGAGACATCGAGACTACTTCTATTAGAACCAACGCTCGTTCGATTACTTAAATTATCCTTTAAACTGTTGCGATTCGATCCGTTTATACTGTCCTTAAGACTATTGCGATTCGAGCCATTTAAACTCTCCTTTAAACTGTTTCGATTCGATCCGTTTAAACTATCTTTTAAACTATTTCTATTCAAGAGATTACCCTATAGATTAGAATAGAATATTGTTAAAACTTATATAATAGTTTTGTTTTCCTAACAATGAAATGTTTACTGAATGGGACAAAACGATTGAAAAAAAACATACATACGTAGGTATATTTAAAAATGACAAATCTGACCTTACAGGCAGACTGTGATTTTTAATAGCAAAAAAATTATGTAATTCAAAATTTGTAAAAATTTTTTTGTGAAAAAGGAAAAATTATTTTTTTTTATTTCTTTTTTGAAAAAATGGTCTTTACTTGGATATTTGGTATGTTCTCCTTGTGACTGGAAGATCTAGAGGGACTTTGTTGCTGATTCTCTTGACCTTGAGGCTCCTGACGAGCTGTGTGTCTTATCACATAGCGCTCCTCGTTACTTAAATTTTCGTTTGAAGTCGAAACATCGGTATCGCTACCGCTCAAACTTTGAGGTAAACCACCTGTTAAATTAAAAACGATTAGTTAGAAATATCTTCAAAAGAAAAATTACTTTTGATTATTAACTAGACTAGTAAAACTTTAAAATTTAACGCCCATTGTTAGTTACAAAAACTTTTTTTTTCATGAAAATTTATTATTTTTTACAAAATATAATTTTTTGAAATAATTATACGTTCGAAATATTCGTTAAAAAAACCACTATGTTTTAAAACAATTTTTAAAAGTAGTAAAATTAAAATTCTTTTAAATAAAAAATTTATTTCAATGAAATTTGACAATTCTTTTAATTGTTTCAATTTTAAATTATTTTCGGGAATTCAAATATTTTGAAAAGAATTTTAATTATAATTTTTCAAAAAACTACTTTTTTTTAAGAATTTCTACATTAAATTATTCAAATTAAAATATTTTTGTTAAACAAATATTTAAAAACTTATTGTTATTTATCTTCATTGTAATTTCAAATAATTTCAATGTAAAAACTTCTAAAATTTAATTATTTCTAAAAATTATTAAAAAAAAATATTTCGAAATTTTAACTTTTTTTTTAATTTGAATTTTTTTAAAATCAATTCTTATTAAAATTTAACGATAATTGAAATATTTAAATACAAAATTTTTTGTAAAATTCAATTATTTTCCAAATTTTTTGTTACAATTCTGCAAAAAATATAAAAGTATTAAAAAATAATTTTTAAAGTTATTATTTTAAAATTCTTTTCGAGAAATTCAACTATTTTCAAAAAATTGTAATTACGATTTTTTAAAAACCTCATTTTTCAGAATTTTTAAATGAAATTTTTCAAAATTCGTTAATTTTTGTTTCGCAAATATTTCAAAACTTATTGTTATTTATTTTTCCATCAGGAATTAAAATTTTTAAAATACTTTCAATGTTAAACCTTCTGAAATTAAATTATTTCTAAAAATTACAACTGTAATTTTTCGAAAAAAAATTTTTCAATTATTTTTTTAAAGAACTTTAATAAAATTTTTCAAAACTTTTATAATTTTTGAAAGAAATTAATATATTAATAATTCCTGTTATAACGCTCCTAAAATTAAATTATTTTTCAAAATTTGAACTTAAGTTATAATATAGATATTATTATTAATAATTTTTTATAATAATAATATATAATAATAATATTATAATAATAATATTATTAATATATATTATTATTATTCTTCCAAAAATGCAATAATATTTCAAAACAATTTTTTAAAGTGAGAAAATAAAATACTTTGAAATATGAAATTTATTTTAATGAAATTTCAGAAAATTTCCTATTTTTCAATTTATTTGTAAAATTATTTTGGAGAATTCAAATATTTTAAAAAAATTTTATGATTTTTTTAAAACCTTATTTTTTTAGAATTTTTAAATTAAACTTTTTCAAATTTCAATAATTTTTGTAAAATAAATATTTGAATAGATACTTATCATTTATTTGTCCACATGAATTAAAATTTCAAAATACTTAGGTCTGTGAAGCTGGCCGAACCACTTTTATAAAAATGAATTTAAATTATACCATTAATTAGTGCTCAATTAGTGCTATTTTTGTACCATATTGCCGAATTTAGTGCTCAATGTTTATTTAAAAAAAACAATGGTTCTGCTGAGTGAACGTTCCGCTGGCCGGACCATAACGAAAAACGCTTTAAAAACGCCAACAGAATATTTATAAATAGCCTATTATTTAGTGCTCAATTAGTGCTCAAAGATTAACAAAATAAAAAATTTTTTTATTAATTATTTATTTAAAAAAAAAAAATTTTTTGAATGAGTGAGTAATCCGTTAGCCAGACCATAACGAAAAACGCAATAAAAACACCAACAAAATATTTATCGATAGCCTATTATTTAGTGCTCAATTAGTGCTCAAAGATTAACAAAATAAAAAATTTTTTAATTAATTATTTATTTAAAAAAAATTTTTTTTCGATTGAGTGACTAATCCGCCAACCGCACCATTACGACAGACACGTCAAAAATCACAACAAAATATTTATCAATACCCTAAAATTTAGTGCTCAATTAGTGCTTAAATATTAACACAATAAAAAATTGTTTATTAATTATTTATTTATAAAAAACATTTCTTCGAAAGAGTGAACACGTTAAAAATGTTTTAAATTCGTTTTATAATTCGTTTTCTTAGCCTATAATTTAGTGCTCAAATAGTGTTCGCAGATTAAGAAAATAAAAAATTTTTTTTATTAATTATTTATTTAAAAGAAAAACTTATTCAAATGAGTGAGCGAACCGCTATCCGCACCATTACGAAAAACACATTAAAAACGCCAACAAAATAGTTATCAATAGCATATTATTTAGTGCTCAATTAGTGCTGAAAGATTAACACAATTCAAAATTTGTTTATTAATTATTTATTTAAAAAACTAACTTATTAGCTTATTACTAACTCAGCGATCCGCTGGCCGGACCATAACGAAAAACACGTTAAAAACGCCAACAGAATATTTACAATTAGCCTATTATTTAGTGCTCAATTAGTGCTCAAAGATTAACACAATTCAAAATTTGTTTATTAATTATTTATTTATAAAAAACATTTCTTCAATAGTTCTAGAGTTCCTGATAGTTTTTAGAAATAGTTCCGGCAATTAAATAGTAAAAAATAAGTTTTTTCATAATAGGGGGCCAACTTCACGCAGTCCCTCACTATTGAAAAAGTGGATTTATAATTAGAGTTTTGAGTTGTTTTAATAGAGTTCTAGAGTTCCCTACATTTTATTCGAATAGTTGAGCCATGTTAAGTTGGCACTACTTTTTTGAAAAATCAAAAATTTTACAAGAGTTCTGAGCACTTTTGCAATAGTTCTAGAGTTCTCTAACGATTATTTAAATAGTTCTGATAATTAACAATAAAAAAAGCGACAATGAAAAATCATAGTGCTAACTTTGCATAGCACTATGATTTTTGCAAAAAAGAGTTCTGACCTAATATTCTGAAAGAGAATAAAGAGTTCTAGAGTTCTTTACTAAAAAAACAAGAGTTCTGCAAAATTTCAAAAGTTATTAACAAATTAAAAAAAGATATGAAAATAATATTTTGTAAGTTCTGAATAGAGTTCTGGCATCGTTGCGAAGAGTTCTATAAGTATGTCTAATGACATTTTGTTCTAAATCCAAAATCAAAAAAGTTACGGGACTATGAAGTTTTCTAAAATTTTCAAAATTTAAAATTCAGAGTTCTGAGAGTTTTGTAAAGAGTTCTGGCATCGTCATAAAGAGTTGTATAAGAATTTCTTGTGACATTTTGTTTTAAATCCAAAATCAAAAAAGTTACAGGACTTTGAAGATTTCAAGAAATTAAAAAAATTAAAAATTCAGAATTCTGAGGATTTAATGTTTAATAATTTTGGGACAATCATGTTGCACTTTCCTCAAACAGTTAAGTCCTGTAACTTTTTTGATTTTGGATTTAAAACAAAATGTCATTAGGAATACTAACTTATAGAACTCTTTATTATGATGCCAGAACTCTAATCATAACTCTGAATTTTTAAATTTTTTGAAATTTTTAAAGTTCTGTAATTTTTTGGATTCTAGATTTAAAACAAAGTGTCATAAGGAATACTTATAGAACTCTTTTTAATGATGCCAGAACTCTTTTCAGAACTTTCAGAACTCTGAATTTAAAAATTTTAAAAATTTATGAAAATTTCAAAGTCCTCTAACTTTTTTGATTTTGGATTTAAAACAAAATGTCATTAAGAATACCTATAGAACTCTTTATGATTATGCCAGAACTCTTTTCAGAACTCTCAGAACTCTGAATTTTCAAATTTTCAAATTTTTTTTAAAATTTCAATGTCCTGTAACTTTTTTGATTTTGGATTTAAAACAAAATGTCATTAGGAATACTTATAGAACTTTTTATGATGATGCCAGAACTCTTTTCAGAACTCTCGGAACTCTGAATTTTAAAATTTTGAAAATTTATGAAAATTTCAAAGTCCTGTAACTTTTTTGATTTTGGATTTAAAACAAAATGTCACTAGAAATACTTATACAACTCTTTATGACGATGCCAGAACTCTTTACAAAACTCTCAGAACTCTGAATTTTAAATTTTGAAAATTTTAAAAAACTTCATAGTCCCGTAACTTTTTTGATTTTGGATTTAGAACAAAATGTCATTAGACATACTTATAGAACTCTTCGCAACGATGCCAGAACTCTATTCAGAACTTGCAAAATATTATTTTCATATGTTTTTTTAATTTGTTAATAACTTTTGAAATTTTGCAGAACTCTTGTTTTTTTAGTAAAGAACTCTAGAACTCTTTATTCTCTTTCAGAATATTAGGTCAGAACTCTTTTTTGCAAAAATCATAGTGCTATGCAAAGTTAGAACTATGATTTTTCATTGTCGCTTTTTTATTGTTAATCATCAGAACTATTTAAATAATCGTTAGAGAACTCTAGAACTATTACCAAAGTGCCTAGAACTCTTGTAAAATTTTTGATTTTTCAAAAAAGTAGTGCCAACTTTACATGACTGAATAGTTCTGATAATCCGAAGTCATAAACAAATAATTGAAAACACGAGAATTTTTCAAAAAATCTAAAATGTTACGTTACAAGAGTTCTAATTAGAGTTCCGTTAGCCCCCCATCTAGATCAATAAAAAACTCTTATAACAATTTTTTCAAAACCTAAAAACTACAAAACTACAAGACTTTTATGTTTTAAAAGACATTTTTTTTTTTTCAATTGAAAGTTCTATGAGTTCTAATCAGATTTCTGTGAGCCCCCAATACTGTTCGATAAAATAACTATAATAGGTAACAATTTTCTTAAGACCCAAAAACTACTGAATTACAAGACTTTAAAGTTTCAAAAAAATTCATTTTTTTGTTAAATTTAGAGTTCTAAGAGTTCTGATGAGAGTTCTGCGAGCCCCCAATAGTGTTCGATAAAAAACCCTGAAACCAATTTTTTCAAAACCTAAAAACTATTAAACTACAAGACTTTTATGTTTCAAAAGAAATTTGGTTTTTTTAAATTGAAAGTTCTATGAGTTCTAATCAGAGTTTTGTGAACCCCAAATCTTCAGACAACTACCAATTGCTTGGTCAATAAGCTTTGTTTTACATATATAATTACGCACCATTATGTATATCAACCTAAAAAGAACAATTAAACACTTTTTTAAAATTTGCAATGGCATTAACAGGATTTTACCGTGCCGTATTATCTCTATAACTATCCTTGCCCCTTGAGCGCATATTTCAGTTTTTTTTAAATTTTAAGGAACGACGTGAATTAATTTGAAAATAAATACAATATTCGTGTTCAGCAGGAAATTCCACTCCGAAAAACACTTACGTAAATAAATATTCTGAAACTCTAATATAGAAAACAATATGATAAACATAACGTTGACATTTTAGCAAAATAGACTATTTTCAAAAATAAACTCCTAACTTCGCAAATGGTGACAGATTGACTTCCAATTTTTACTATCATCTTTTGGTGTTAAAATGCGAATATACCATGAATTACTCGATTTTTGAGCATAAGCAAAAACTTACTATCCTTGCCCCATCCTCCCCTGTATAAAAAAATAAAAGTAAAAAAATATATAAAAATTTTAATAAACTATAAAAATTAAATTCATCAGCTAATGTCAGGGTATTTATTGACATTTGATTTTACCAAAAATTATCATACTGATGTCAGATTAACCCTTTAAGTTGTAGTTAAATAAAAGTCAAATTACACATAGATTATGACGTAACTAAATGAGAGAGTAAAAAATGAAACGTCAAAATTAGGTCAAAATGATAGGTGTAAGAGCAAACACAATTATAAAATTACCTTACATTGTTAGGTCAGATGGCAAACTTCACCTCATCATTAAGTCTGCGCGCGGAAATTGTTTGAGAAATTTTGACGTCTAGGTCAAAACTGCCCTCAAACTTGACCTAAATTTTTAGGGTAGCGGGAATTCTTTGTCAAATTTTGATGCGTAGGTCAAAACTGCCCTCAAAATTGACCTACATTTTGAGGGTAGCGAAAATTGTTTGTCAAATGTTGACGTCTAGGTCAAAACAGTCCTCAAAATTGACCTAAATTTTGAGGGGAAAACTACAGGTCAACTCTCGACCTGTAGGTCAAAAAATCTTGAAACAGCGGCGGCGATATCTTTTTGTAATATAGAGAGATAATATTATATAATATATTATTATATATTATAATCAGCGACCCTAGAAACCTTAAGGTACCAAGTTTCATAAAAATCCATTAAAAATTTTTTCAACAAACTTTTGGCCCGAACAGTGGAAATCTCGTTGATAGCCAAGGGGTTAATTTGTTAATAACTTTCGAAATTTTGCAGAACTCTTGTTCTTTTGGTAGAGAACTGTAGAACTCTTTATTCTCTTTCAGAATATGAGAACAAAACTCTTTTTTGCATAAATAATAGTTCTATGCAAAGTTAACACCAAGTTTTTTCATTGTCGCTTTTTTTGTCAATCATCAGAACTATTTAAATAATAATCGTTATAGAACTCGAGAACTATTGCTAAAGTGCCCAGAACTCTTGTTAAAATTTTGATTTTTTTAAAAAGTAGTGCCAACTTTACATGACTAAGTGTTTGAACTTATTCAATTATTCAAAAACAAATTAATTTCAAACCTTAAAGTCTTGTAATTCAGTAGTTTTTGGGTTTTGAGAAAATTGTTATTAGGGTTTTTTCTCGAACTCCATGGGTGGCTCACAGAACTCTGATCAGAACTACAAGAACTCTTAATTTAAAAAAAACAAATTTTTTTGAATCTTCAATGTCTTGTAGTTTAGTAGTTTTTAGGTTTTGAGAAAATTGTTATTAGGGTTTTTTCTCGAACTCCATGGGTGGCTCACAGAACTCTGATCAGAACTACAAGAACTCTTAATTTAAAAAAAACAAATTTTTTTGAATCTTCAATGTCTTGTAGTTATGTAGTTTTTAGGTTTTGAAAAAATTCTTATTAGGGTTTTTTATCAAACACTATTGGGGGTTCACAAAACTCTGATTAGAACTCATAGAACTTTCAATTTAAAAAAACCAAATTTCTTTTGAAACATAAAAGTCTTGTAGTTTAATAGTTTTTAGGTTTTGAAAAAATTGGTTTCAGGGTTTTTTATCGAACACTATTGGGGGCTCGCAGAACTCTCATCAGAACTCTTAGAACTCTAAATTTAACAAAAAAATGAATTTTTTTGAAACTTTAAGGTCTTGTAATTCAGTAGTTTTTGGGTCTTAAGAAAATTGTTACCTATTATAGTTATTTTATCGAACAGTATTGGGGGCTCACAGAAATCTGATTAGAACTCTTGTAACGTAACATTTTAGATTTTTTGAAAAGGAAGGGAACTCTAGAACTCTATTAAAACAACTCAAAACTCTAATTATAAATCCACTTTTTCAATAGTGAGGGACTGCGTGAAGTTGGCCCCCTATTATGAAAAAACTTATTTTTTACTATTTAATTGCCGGAACTATTTCTAAAAACTATCAGGAACTCTAGAACTATTGAAGAAATGTTTTTTATAAATAAATAATTAATAAACAAATTTTGAATTGTGTTAATCTTTGAGCACTAATTGAGCACTAAATAATAGGCTAATTGTAAATATTCTGTTGGCGTTTTTAACGTGTTTTTCGTTATGGTCCGGCCAGCGGATCGCTGAGTTAGTAATAAGCTAATAAGTTAGTTTTTTAAATAAATAATTAATAAACAAATTTTGAATTGTGTTAATCTTTCAGCACTAATTGAGCACTAAATAATATGCTATTGATAACTATTTTGTTGGCGTTTTTAATGTGTTTTTCGTAATGGTGCGGATAGCGGTTCGCTCACTCATTTGAATAAGTTTTTCTTTTAAATAAATAATTAATAAAAAAAATTTTTTATTTTCTTAATCTGCGAACACTATTTGAGCACTAAATTATAGGCTAAGAAAACGAATTATAAAACGAATTTAAAACATTTTTAACGTGTTCACTCTTTCGAAGAAATGTTTTTTATAAATAAATAATTAATAAACAATTTTTTATTGTGTTAATATTTAAGCACTAATTGAGCACTAAATTTTAGGGTATTGATAAATATTTTGTTGTGATTTTTGACGTGTCTGTCGTAATGGTGCGGTTGGCGGATTAGTCACTCAATCGAAAAAAAATTTTTTTTAAATAAATAATTAATTAAAAAATTTTTTATTTTGTTAATCTTTGAGCACTAATTGAGCACTAAATAATAGGCTATCGATAAATATTTTGTTGGTGTTTTTATTGCGTTTTTCGTTATGGTCTGGCTAACGGATTACTCACTCATTCAAAAAATTTTTTTTTTTTTAAATAAATGATTAATAAAAAAATTTTTTATTTTGTTAATCTTTGAGCACTAATTGAGCACTAAATAATAGGCTATTTATAAATATTCTGTTGGCGTTTTTAAAGCGTTTTTCGTTATGGTCCGGCCAGCGGAACGTTCACTGAGCAGAACCATTGTTTTTTTTAAATAAACATTGAGCACTAAATTCGGCAATATGGTACAAAAATAGCACTAATTGAGCACTAATTAATGGTATAATTTAAATTCATTTTTATAAAAGTGGTTCGGCCAGCTTCACAGACCTAAAATACTTTCAATGTAAAAACAAAAATTAATTTAATTTAAAAAATTTTATTTAGAAATTCAAATTAAATTTAATTTAATTTAAAAAATTTTATTTAGAAATTCAAATTAAATTTAATTTAATTTAAAAAATTGTAATTAAATTTTTTTTTCTAAATTAGTTGAATTCCGGTTCCCGAAAATAATTTTTAAAAAATTGATTAACAGGAAATTTTCGCAAATTCCATTAAAATAAATTTTTACGTTTCAAAGAATTTTATTTTCTCACTGCTTTAAAAAATTATTTTTGAATATTACAGTATTTTTTGAAGAATTGTAACTAAAAATTTGGAAAGCAATTAAATCTTACAAAAAATTTTAATTAAATAATTCTTTTATCGCTGAATTCTAATAAAAATTGATTGAAAAAGAATTTTAATTAAAATTTTGAAAAATATTATAAATTATAATACTTTTTGAAATTTTATTATTTCTAAAAATTTGAATTGCAAAAGTCTTCTAATTCTTGAAATATTTTCTAAAATTTTAACTGAAATTCTTTTTCAAATTATAATTCTTATGACAAATTGTACTAGAATTTATTCAATTATTTTTATACAAAAATAAATAATCAATTATTTCTAAAATTTGTAACTACTTTTGGACTTTTTTGTACTTTAGATAAAAAATTCGTAGACTATTTAAGATTTTAGATAATTTGATATTTCTTTTGGATAAAATTTCCTTACTTTAGTAATTTTATTATTTTAGTAACTATATTTAGTACTACAATTAGTATCATATTTAGTACTACATTTAGTATTATATTTAGTATTATATTTTGTACTATATTTTGTACTATATTTTAGTAAATATTTTAGTAAACATTTTAGAAAAAGTATTTTTATCTGAAATTAGCAAAATTTTGTTACTCAAACTTACCTTGAGTCGTTAGTTGCTTTCTTTGAATGTTACTGTTAGAAAAAGGCAGAAACCGGCTCGTTTGTTGAAGGGAACTCATGACGTTAAACATTCATTTAAGTTAAATATTTTTTGTCTGACCTAAAATTTAAAAACAAAATATTAAAACAATATCACTAAGAAATAAAAATAAATTCAAATATATTGTCAAAATTTAATTATTCATTTCTTTCCATCAGTGAAAATAAATTAAAAATTGTTCGTTTTTACTAAAAAAAAAAATTTTATTCTAGAATTCAGCATCAAATTCGTTAAAAAGAAATAAAAGGAAAGTATAAAAAAGTAAAGAAGAAAAATAAATCTCGAAATAAATTTTAAAAATTAATTTAAATAATTAATACTGAATAATTAATGCAAAAAAATTAAAAAATTAATTAAAAAAACTAAAAAATATGTAAGAAATTAAATTTACAGTCGAAAATTCGAGATGTTTTCTCTTGGAAAAGAAAAATAAATTTTTATTTCCCATTATTGAAAGGCCTTAGTAGTTAAAGCAGAAACGCAAAATAATAATTTGATTTAAAACATGAAAAAGCAGATGTTTTATGAATTGTAATCGTTTCAAAACATATTTACCATATTAGATAAAATACGACTTGCAAGATCAAAGGCCATAAAACCAATAAACATATAAAACAACAACAAAAAAAGCGCTAACCTCCATTCTATTCCATACGTTATGTATTAGTTTTCAAATCAGAAATCTAAAGATAGTTCATTGAAAGAATCGTTTAATTTTATTATAATAATCACTATGCGAAACGTGAATTAATTTAATGACATTTTTCCCCCCTTTCGATAAAAGTATTCATATATAATGAAAAAAAATTATGCTGCATTGATTTAAAGAAAAGGAATTTTGTTCTTTTTATCTAATAATATAAATTTTCATCAAATTTAATCAGTTTTACACCTTTTAATATGATTGATTCATTAAAGAAAATTTTAATTCTGTAGTCGATGTTTTTTTTTTGGTATTAATAATGAATCTTAACGAATTATTATTATTTATTATAATTAGTATTATATTATTATATAATAATTAAAATATTGTTAATTAATAATTAATATATTGCTAAATAAGTAATAATTAATATATTTCTAAATAATAATTATTAGCTTTTCGTCTTTCAACGTATATTTATTTGTAAATTAATTTTATAGCTTTATTAGAGTAATTAATATTTTTCCTTACGTCGAAAATTGTTTTAATTTTTGTCTTAGTGTTCAAAAAAAAAATATTTTGTCATTAATACCGTAAATTATATTTATTTCCATTCTTTAGAAAAAATATCAAGTATTCTTTGTTTCAAAAACAAATTATTAAACAATTAACAATTATTTATTTTTAAATTTTTGAAATTTGATTTTAATCATCAGGAATTTATTTTAAAAGCTGAGAACGAAAATATTTCAAATGAAAAATTAAATATTCGATTACACAATAACATCAAATAAACTGAATATTTTGAGATATTATTACAGAAAAAAAAGGAAAAAAAATGTTACGTTTCTGCTTGTATATAATGAATCTCAATTGGTCAATAAAAATTTTTTAAAAATAATTCTCAACTCTGTCTCTTGTTTATCAAATAAATAATAAATATTTTTAAAAATGTTAAATATTTTAATTTTTACATAATTTATATTTGAATAGTTATTGTACTAGGTTCAAACATAATTTTACACAGTTTAGCAAAATTCTTTTTTTACAACAAAAAGAAAAATTTCTTTTTTTTCTACAAATAAAAAAATTGGGCCTTAAGGGCAGGGTCAAAGTCGTTGCAATAAAAAAATATTAAAAAGACATTTATAAAAGAAAAAGGACAATAAGAAAAGTGAATAAAATTTAATTTTCAAAAACACAATTAAAAATTATTTTTTCTTCAAAAAAATTTTAATTTGGGCCTTAAGGGCATTTCAAAGACGTTGTTATAACAAAATATCAAAAAATGTTTATAACAGACAAAGAAAATAAAGTAAGTGAATAGAATTTAATTTTTAAATTTACAATAAAAGTTTATTTTTCCCCCCAAAAAAAATAAAATTGGGCCCTAAGGGCGTGAAAAAGTTGTTGCGAGCAGTTAAAAAATATTAACAAATGTTTACAAATAAAACAGAGTAAATAAAGTGAATAGAATTAAAATTTTAAATTCATAATGAAAATTATTTTTTCTTTAAAAATAAAGAGGAAATTTTGGGACTTAAGGGCATGTCAAACAAAATATTAAAAAATGCTTTAGAAAACAGCATAAAAATAGGCAATAGAATTAAATTTTTAAATTCATAATAAAAGATTGTCTTTTCTATGAAAAAAAATAAAATTGGGCCTTAAGGGCATGAAAAAGTATGTTTTTTCTATAAAAAAAAATTAATTTGGGCCTTAAGGGCATGAAAAAATCTTTGAAATTAATTAAAAAAACATGCAAAATATTTACAAGAATAATAGAATAAATAGAAGTGAATAGAATTTTATAGTTTTAGATTCACAATGAAAAATTATTATTTTTTTTTCTGTAAAATAAGAAATTTGGGCCTAAAGGGCATGTAAAACTTGTAACGATAACAAAATATAAAAAACACTTTTAAAAAAAACGAAAAAAAGTTATTGAATTAAATTTTGAAATTCACAATAAAAAATTGCTTTTTCTGTAAAAAAAAAACAATAAAATTGGGCCTTAAGGACATGAAAAAGTCATTGGGATCAGTTAAAAAAATTTCAAAAATATTTACGAGGGAAACAGAATAAAAAGAAGGCAATAGAATTATAATTTTAGATTCACAATGAAAAATTAGTATTTTTTTTATAAAAAAGAAAATTTGGGCCTGAAGGGCATGAAAAAATCATTGCTATTAATTAAAAAAATATGAAAAATGTTTACAAGAATAACAGAATAAAAAAAAGGTGAATAGAATTTTATACTTTTTGTCTTACAATGAAATATTATTTTTGTTCTATAAAATAGGAAATTTGGGCCTTATGGGCATATCAAACTTGTAACGATAACAAAATATATAAAAAAAAATTTTAAAAAACAGAAAAAAAGATTATAGAATTAAATTTTCAAATTGACAATAAAAAAAGTGTCTTTAAAAAAAAATAAAATTGGGCCTTAAGGGCATGAAAAAATCATTGTGATGAATTAAAAAAATATCAAAAATGTTTACAAGAAAAACATGATAAAAAGAAGTGAATATAATTATAGTTTTAAATTGACAATGAAAAATAATTTTTTTCTCTAAAAAAAATAATATTTGTGCCTTAAGGGCATACTAAACTTTGTTCCAATAACAAAATATAAAGAAAAATGTTTAAAAAAAACAATAAAGAATTCACAAAAACAAAATTTTTAAATACACAATAAAAATTTATTTTTGCCCCGCACAATAACAAAATAAAGAAAATTGAGTCTTAAGGGCATGCAAAAGTCGAGATTTTTCCATTGAAATTCTATATAAAAATCTAATCGACATTAAAATTCCCTTAAAAAAAAGAATCTATTTAAATTATTTTATACATTTTTTTTTCTCTAATATATACTCAACCTTGTAGTGAACTCCATTCTGAAAACGGTTGAACTGTGAGACAACATAGGCAGCTGCAGATATTCGAGATAAAAAGCACATAACTTCGAATTAAAAGAAAAAAAACCGTTTGTAGGGAAAACTTTTTTTTTCACCAAAAATTGAAATATTTCACCCACAACAAAAAAGAAAGGAGAGAGTAAAAAAAGTAACTTAAAGTAGAAAAAAAAACAAAAGAAATTAACAAGTTGTGTTGAACGCGCCCACTGACAAGGCACAGTGCGCTGACAGAGGTGTCAACACTCAGGAATGTTGATAATCTTAAAAGATATAAAAGATTCGGTCATTAAAGAGCGTCGCAACAAGTCACACACTCAGTCTTTCACTGACAATCGAATTTGCCACTATAACCATAAATATAATACTTTTGGAGTAAATTAGGTAACAAAAACAAAAAATTTACGTTAATGCATTTTTCTTCTCTCTCTCTCTCTCACTTGGTTTCTATTTCTCTCCTTCTCTCTCTCTCTCTCTCTCTCCTTCTATCAAAGTTCTCGTAGCTCCCCAAGAAAAGAATTACACAAATAAACAAAAGGACAACACCGAATGCATATCTGCCAATGAGTCTCACAAATTTTTTTTTCTTCCTTTTCTTTACACCACAAATAAAAATTGTGTAGAAACAAATTGGAAAAAAAAGGAAAATATTATGTTTAACGAGTTAAGTAGAATTTTACTCACACAATAAGAGTTATCCAACAGCTTTTAGAGAATCGCAATTATTTTCAATATTATAAATTGGTACACTTTACTCCTCCGCGCACGAGAAATAAAAATTCATAGTTGTCAAATTCCTCGTATGTGGCGCCACAATTGAAAGGGGGCACTCTCACCATCTTCTTTTTTTTTCACCTTCGAATTCAAGTGATGACGCACGTGTGGGAGTAGTAGAAAAAGAGAGGAAAAAAAAGAAAGAACGAGAAAAGAAAAAGGTGGAAAATTCGAGACTTTCAAAAGGGATTTCTTTGATATTGTACGTGGAACATAAAATTTTTTGTTTAAAGTCTGACGCAAAAATTTTGATTCACTGAAAATTAATTTGCACTTGAAGGCCTTAATCGCCTAAAAGGCCTTAAATCATACAAATATAACAGGTGTTTTTTTAATTGCCTTTTTAATATTTTTCTATTCTATTCTATTGTTTTTTTCTCGATGTTTTCCTAATATTTCTTCGATGTTCTTCACAAACTGAATTAATTTATTATTTATAATAAATGAGGTAGAATTTAAGGTTATGTTGAACTTTACCCCCTGCAATATTTCTGCCTTTTTTTCTCTGGCGTTTGCCTTTTGGAAATTAATTTTTGAAAATCTATTTTTCTAGAAAATATTTTCGCGCTTAATTTTCAAATGGGACATAAACATGAAATCGATTTTGATTGGTCGAGATAAAATCACGTGCGTTGTTTGGAAATTGCAAACAAAAAACAACATTTTTCTCCTCCTGCATTAGACTCTAGACTCGAATAAGATTATAAAAATTGACAAGTAATTTAATGGACCAGAAAATTTAAATTGAAAATTAAATCATTAGGGAAAAATTCGAAAACTAAAAGAAGAAGAGAAAAAATTAAATGAGACGAAATTTTTTATCGAACTGCTTTTTCTCGTTTTTATGATGCAGATGTCAAAGGTCATGATGAATTGTCATAAAACTCGTTTTCTTCAACGGATTATTACACTGCCATTGTTTCTAAAAACTGCACCATCATTGAAAATTATTCATTCACATATTTTGAGGCAACATTTTGCAAATAATTTTCCTGGTAACAAAATTTTCCTGATAGAAAATGTTTTTTTTATCTTTCAAGACAATTTTTTGTCTAAAAATTAATTTTTCGAAATTTGACATTTAAACTAATTAATTTTTATTTTCGTACAGGTACCACAGGTACAAATAGATTATTTTCAAGTACAAGTTTCTTGAGAGCAGAAATGGCGAATTGTGGCGGAGGCGATTCCAATGAATTCGACATGAATTACGATCAACTTTTGGAGGCTCAAAAAAATTGCGATATTTTGATAATTGACGTACGTGAACATGCGGAAATTGATAAAACCGGAGCACTGCCGGGGAGCATTCACATTCCAAGTAGGAAATAATTTATTCTAGAAACAAAAAAATAAAGTAAATAAAACGAGAAAAATGAGACGTAAAATAAAATCGGAAAAAGCAGAAAACGAAAAATAAAAAAGAAAGAAAAGGAAAATAATAAATTTACAATTAAGAATAAAATTTCTTTCAGTGTGCAACGTTGCCGATGAATTGACAAATCTTTCTGGCGACACATTTTGCGAGAAATATAGTCGTGATTTACCCTCGAAGGAAACGAAATTGGTTTTCTCCTGTATGTCCGGAAGGAGAAGCAGTATTGTCCAAGATCGAATGAAAAAATTGGGATTTACAAAGTAGGTTTTTTTCTCCCTCTTCACAAATATTTAAACCAAGAAAAAAATAAATTAACCTAATTTTTCCTTTTTTTCAGTGTTTACAATTACAAAGGTGGTTGGAGCGAATGGGAACAAAAGCAAAAGTGTCCTTAAGAAACCAAATGCAATGTACAATTCCTTTAGATTCGTGAAAATAATAAACACTCAATTTAAAATTCGTTTTTTGCAATTTAAGACTTATCAATTATCCAGAGTTGCCACAAAAATTTAATTTTGTTTTTCCCTGATTTTCAGACAAAATTTCAATTTTTTTTTCTGACCCTAAAGAATATTCTGATTCACTTTAAATTATTTAATTAAATTATTTTCATCATTATACAATTTAATTATAATTTTCTGAAATTTTAAACTAAAATTCTACTTTAAATCAATTATTTTTAATAATAATTTTTGAAAAACTTCTTTGAGTTTGAAACTATTCAATTAAATGTTTATTAGAAAATAAAAACATCAAATAATTAAAAAAATTCAATTAAACTTTTTCAAAAAAAAATAATTCTACAAAATTTTTAGTTAAAAAGTATATGAAAAATTCAAATTTTCAAAGATTTTAATTTGAAACATTTTCAAAATTCAATTACTTGTAAAAATTCACGCTGTACTACTTTTAATATTCAATTATCTAAAATTTTGACTGAAGTTCATTTTTTAATCAATTTCTATTAGAAAATTCTACGAGAATCCAATTATTTAAAAACGAACACAAATAATTTGTTGAATAATTGAATATTTCTTAAAATTTAATTCTCATAAAGGAAAATTTTTTTTAATTGATTAAAAATCACAATTTATCAGAATTTAATTGGTAAAATTTTCAACTAAAAATAATTGAATTCCTGCGAAGAGTTTTGTTGTTTATGAAGATAACTTAAATAAATTTTTAAAAAATAATTGAATATTTGCGAAGAATTTCATTTAAATTTTTTATAATAATTTGAATTTCTGCTTTGAATTATATTAAAATTCTTGAAAATAATTCAATTCTTCAATGGAATTTTGTTAAAATTGAAACTAATTTAATTCTTTTATAAAGATTTTTATTAAAGTCTTTTGAAAGTAATTGAATTTTACTAAATTTTTTAAAAATAATTGAATCTTGTGGAGAAATTTTATTAAAATTGTATTGAAAATTATTCAATTTTTGCGAAGAATTTTATTAAAAATTATTTTGTTATTTAATAAAATAATTGAATTATTGACAAGAATTTTGTTATTTAATAAAATAATTGAATTTTTGACAAGAATTTTAATCAAATTTTGGAATTTCTGAATTATATTAAAAATTTTGAAAATAATTCGATACTTAAATGGAATTTGGTTAAAATTGTTTTGCAAATAAATTAATTTTGTCAGAGAATTAAAAAAATGTTTTTAAATAATTGTATCTTGAGGAGAAATTTTAATAAAATTGTATTGAAAAAATTGAATTCACAAGTAGAATTTTTTCATTGAAAAATAAATGAATTCTTGCAACGAATTTTGTTTAAATTTTTAAAAATAATTGAACTCCTGACTATTATATTATTATTTATAAAAATAATTGAATTCCTATGAAATTTTTATTATTTATGGAAATAATTAAATGTTTGTGTAGAATTTTATCAAAATGTTTTTTAAAATAATGCAAGTCCTTTGGAATTGCCTTCAGGGAAGGTTAATTTTAATTTTTTAGACAAATTTTAATTTGAATTTAACAAAAACTATTTTTCCTTAGCAATGGCAATATTTTTGAGCAAAAACAGATTTTTTTGAGAAAAACTATCACAATTTTTCGTTTTAGAAAAAAACCTAAATTTATTTTTTTAAATTAAATTTTCTCTAATTTATAACTTACTATCAGTCATAGATTATACAATTTAAACTTTATGTACAAAACGTGAGAAGAAATTAAAATCGAAAAAAATTGCTATGTACATTAAAAAAATTCATTTTTTTTGCCTCATTTTTTCGTTTGGTCTTGCGCTAATTTTTGCCTGACCATTTCACGAAATTGACCGAGAATTAAATTTTCTCTTTTCTGTCTCTCCTCCTTACTGAACATTGCAAGGGCTCTCTTCTCATCGGCCGAATAAATTTGGTTCTCCTTTCTTATACGCACAGCCTCCATTCGTCGATGTCTAGAATGTGAAAAAGCAGGAAAAATCAGAACACGAAAAAATTAAATTCAAAAAATTCAAATGCAAATGCATTCAATTTCAAAATTGAAAAAAAAGAAGAATTGAAAGAAAAGAAATTAATAGAAAAAATTAAAATAAAAGAACTGAAAGAAAAGAAATTAATAGAAAAAAATTTAAATAAAAGAAGAATTAAAAGAAAAAACAAATGAAAAAAAAGAAAAATTAATAGGAAAGAGAAATTAAAATAGAAAGAAATTAAAATAACAAGAAATTGAATTAAAAAATTAGTTTTTCTGCCGTAAAAATAAAATACCTGCTGCCACTCATCACATAACCAACTGATTCATATGAAGCAATTTCATCAGAAGTGAGTCCAATTTCACCTCTCCTGGGAATTCTTTTACCCTCGGCAACATAAGCCGCCATTGCAGCACCTTCACCAGGTAATAGAGCTTTGCCAAATTCTTTCGCTGACAATGTTATCTGTTGTTTTTGCAATGGACCAATAATCTCCTCTGCATTCTCATCGGAACTCGAATTATTTCTAGCTTTTGTCTTCGATTTCTTTGTCGACGTCGATTCTTCATTCCATTCATCATCCGAACAACTGTCCTCCGATGATAAATCGGAATATTTCTTCTTCTTTTTCTTCTTACTCTTCTTTTCCTTCTTCATTTTCTTCTCCTTCTTGTGCTTTTTGCTTTTCTGTATAAACATTAATTTTTATATATAAATATTTCAGTATTTTTCCAGCTAAAAAAATTAAAATTCTATTTTACCTTCTTTTTGTCCTTTTTCTTTCTCTTCCGATCGCTGGAGACTGATTCGTCCACTTTTTTATGCAACACTTCTTCCTCATCTTCGGAACTGAAGATTAAATACAATAAAATTTTTAAAAAAATTAAATGGTTAAATAAAAGGTTCCAATTATCGAAAGTGCAGAACCGAAAGATTCAAATTATCGAAAGTTCAGAATCAAAAAGTTCAAATTACCAAAAGATTAAATTAAGAAAAAAAAATAGAAATTAAAAAAAATTTATACTTACTCATCGATTCTAGTTGGCGATTTTCCCCAAACACCGTCAACTCCACGTAAACCAATTTCCTCCCTGAGTTTTAATCTCCTAGTGTCGTCCATTTTTTAAAAATTTAATTTTCAAACCTCACGGTTAATGTTTATAAAACCTAGAAAATTGACAATTTTGACATTAAGGCAAATCAACGTCAACAAACTGATTGCTCCGAACCAGAGAACATAACCTCTCTATTCGTTAATAATCCGTATTTCTAAAATCTGTCTCTTACATCTGCGCAAGCGTAGAAAACTTATTCCTATTTTTCAAAGAAATTAAAAACTATTCTAAATATTTACTCGTTTGAAAAACAAAAACTAATTAACAGCTTCTTTTCATAATTTCCATCAGATTTCCATCCTAAAAATCTAGTTATTTACTTTAAATAAACAAAAAAAGAACTTAGAGGTTAAAAATACGCGGGAAAATAAGCCAATGAACATGATTTTCCTGACGCATGCGCAAAATGAAGGAAAGATTTTGGAAACACGTCAACTGAAGACGACTTGATCATTAATTTAGTATCAATTCACGACTAAAGAGGCGCTTTAGTAGAAAATTCAAAAATTAACAAATTTATTTAATAATTAAAAAATAAACTAACAAATTTAATAATTAAAAAATAAACTAATTAATTTAATAATTAGAAAATAAATTAAATTATTTAAACATTTCAAAGTGAATTAATTAACAAATAAATTCTTTGATAGAAATATTCAATCTGCAATAAATATTAAAATATTTTCAATATTAAAATTCCTTCCTAAAAGGAAAAAAAATAAAAATCTTTTCGCCAATTTAAAAACTAAAAAAATAAAATTAAAAAAGTAAACAATGTCATTTAATTACTTTTTATATATAAACAATGTAAAAACAAATTCTATATAAATATAATACAAAAAATATTTCCTTTTGTGTTTTTGTAAATAAAAAAAAAAATTAGAATTCCAAGTTATATTAAATATTTCTAGATTAATTACTTGATTATAATAAAATACAGAATAAAAACAATAAATTCAATATACTGAATTTTATTACAAAACGTCTGTAATTAGGCTACAACATGTAATATAATAATTGCGTTTGGTCTAGACCCTTACTGAGCAAAAAAAAATAAGAACAAAATGAAAAAAAAATGTGACAATTATTTTTTGCTTTTAACCAAATGAGAAATTTTTTTCTTCTCTCTACAATTTTTTTCTGCGTACGTAATTTTTTTTTTTTGAAATGAATTAAAAACATTCTTTCGATTAAAAACATTTTTTTCATTGAAATTTGTTCAATTAATAAAAAATGCCGAATAATAAAAATTAGCAAACACTAAAAATACGAAGACAAAAAATAAATAGAAAAAATTAATATAAAAAAATTGTTTATACTCCAACTGGAATAATTTAAATTTGAATCGATTTTCATTAATTCAGACATAGAGTGTATATTTTCAAAGACATTTTTTAAGAAAAATATTAAAATTAAAGAATTAAATTAAATTAGACAAAAATTTTAAATTAAAAAATTCGACACGTAAATATTAAACGGAAAACGATAAAATTAAATCTATAACTGGATAACTGCTCTTAATTGTTGAAAATGAAACGAGCGTAATTTTTTTAAAATAAAATAAATAATTAAAATTGAATAATAATAAATTTAGAAAAAAATAATTTATTTAATTAAAATTAAAAATAAAATTAACAAATAAAAAGAAACATTCAGGATAAAAAACGAGAATTAGAAACGAACGCAGAAAAAATATTGTTAGAATAAGATATATAGTCATATATTTGTATTAAAATTTTGTCGAAAAAGGATTTTTGTTTTATGAGAAAAAAAATGAATAAAAATTAGTGATTAACTTTTCGATTACATTTGTTTTTATGTTCAAAAATTGAAATGTCATTTTTTTGTTGTTTAAACATTGAAATTGTCGTGCCATGAATAACGTTCGAAGTAAAGGAAACTATCCCAAGCTACTAATCCTAAGATAATGTAATATCTTTCGTTTATTCATATAATTTCTATTTATATTAGGTATGCATTTACTCGTGATAACTAAACAGTTTTTTTTTCATTTCTGTTACGCATCACCCACTAGGCTTGCAGACGTCGAAGATCAAGAGATTGCTTTTTTACCCAAAAATACAGAGAAAAAAAAAAATTTCCCAATTTCACTTATTTACCTATTATTCACTTTCTCGAGAATTTAAATTTTTCCAAATTTTTTTTTTTACTACCTGTCGATAAGAAAAAAAACACATTTTCTACAATTTCTATTACAAAAGAAATTTTTTACAAAATTTTTTAATAAAAAAAAAAAGGGAAAATTTGGAAAAAGTTAAAATCTAATTAACTGAAATTGAGAAAATTTTCTAAAATTTACATTGAAAATTACATGAAAAGGAAATAAAATCAAAATTTCCCTTCGATTTTATTTCTTTTGTTTTGACAAAAGAAAAAATAAATTCAATGTAAATTTTATAACAAAACATAAAAAAACGTTGCTCACCCATTTATTCACTTATCATAAAATAAAATTTGTCGAAGATTTAAATGAAAATTTACAAAGGAAAAAAATTCTCAATAATCGTGGAAATTGTCTCGAGAGGAAAAAACAAATTTGTTTTTTTGATTTTAATGTACAATTTTACAATAATATTTGTCTTTAATTAATAATTAATTCCACTACAAGAAATTAATAATTAATTCTTTTTCAATTAATGAATATTTAATTATATTAGTCAATAATTAAGTATTAATTAAAAATTCGAGTTTGAAACGAATTTCGTTTATAAAAACGAGACGAAAAAAATTCCTCGATTATTACAATAAAAAATAAACATTTGATAATTTGCTATCGCCCAAAAAAGAAAGAATAATATATAATATTATATAAAAATAAAAATTCTCGTTTTTAAGCAAATGAAAATTCTGTATTGCACATCGAAGAAACTTGAGGACAAAAGAAAAGAAAAAATTTCAATTTTGTCAAATTCAGCAGCCTCGTGCTCTTCGACTCACTCCAGTAAGCATACTGGTTTCATCTTTTTTCATATAATCATAATAATCGTAATAATTATAATAATAATCATTATCAAGTAAAATTTGTAAAATACAATATGCTGCCTATTATAAATTCTTAATCTTTTCTTTATAAATAATTATAGTAGTAGTCTTCACACCATTTTTTTTTTGTTTTTTTTTGTTTGTTAATTTATTATAATCGGATGACGTTCCTTTCCACTTTTTTTTTTGTTTTTAATTTAAATATTACATTTGTGATCTGCTTGACTGTGTATATAATACATATACAATATAATAATCTAAAGGATTCGTATTATTTACATATGTACAAGTAACAACGGCTTTTATTTAATGATTTATCCGTTCGTTGAGAAAAAAATATAAAAAAAAATAATAACTTTGATGTAGAGGCCATTGGGACTCGAATAAAAAAAAATTATTATAATAAAACACTTGTTTTCAAAAAATTCAATTATCATTTTCTTTCTTTCTTTTTTTTTTGCAAAACATGTGTTTTCTTTTCTACCTGAGCTGAAAAATCTGTGTAAAGGAGCGCATCAGATCTATCGTCAATTTCTCATTTCCAGCTCTTGTCTTTCGTACATTTACTTTGCGTTATGTCATCTTTTCTTTAATATATATATATATTTATAATATATAAAAGATTTTTTAATTCAAAAAATTTTTTTCTTAATTCGAAAATTATTTTTAAACTCCATTTTGTTTAAATTCAAATTTTACTGAATTCAAAAATTATTTTTGAACTTCAATTTCTTTAAATTCAAATTTTACTGAATTCGAAAATTATTTTTAAATTTCATTTTCTTTAAATTCAAATTTTATTCTATTCGAAAATTATTTCTAAACTTATTTTCTTTAAATTCAAATTTTATTCAATTTGAAAATTATTTATAAACTTTATTTTCTTTAAATTCAAATTTTATTCAATTTGAAAATTATTTACAAATTCCATTTTATTGAATTTGAATTCTAATTTAAAAATTAAAATAACTTTTGAATTCAATAAAATTTGTGAATTTAAATAAAAAATCAACTTTAAAACTAATTTTTGAATTCCTTAAAATTTTAATTCAATAAAATGAAATTTAAAATTAATTTTCGAATTCAATAACATAGAATTTAAAAATAATTTTTGAATTGTATAAAATTTGAATTTAAAGAAATTGAAATTTAAAAATAATTTTTTAAATTCAATGGAATTTTAATTCAATAAAATGAAATTTAAAATTAATTTTCGAATTCAAATTTTATTCAATTCGAAAATTATTTACAAATTTTATTTTATTGAATTTAAAAATTATTTTTAAATTTCAATTTCTTTAAATTCAAATTTTATAGAATTCAAACATTATTTTTAAATTCCATGTTATTGAATTGAAAAATTAATTTTAAATTTCATTTTATTGAATTAAAATTTTAAGGAATTCAAAAATTAGTTTTAAATTCGATTTTTTCTTTAAATTCACAAATTTTATTGAATTCAAAGTTTAGTTTTAAAATCCATTTTTAAATTTAAAAATAAATTTTAATTTCCATGTTATTGAATTCAAAAATTAAATTTAAATTCCATTTTATTGAATTAAAATTTTAAGGAATTCAAAAATTAGTTTTAAATTTGATTTTTTATTTAAATTCACAAATTTTATTGAATTCAAAAGTTATTTTTAATTTCAATTCCATTTTGAATTTAAAAATTTTTTTGAATTAAGAAAAAAATTTTTATCTGTAAAAAATCTTATTGATAAATAATCTGCAAGAAACCTTTTTTTTTGATAAATTTTTTTGTAAAGGTTCTTTATAAATTTTATAATAATTTTTCTTAATATAATCTTGGTGATTTTTAAATTCGTAAGCACCTTTTTTCTTTTGTTCATAAATAGTCAATATGAATTTTGTCAATTATTTACCAATTTTCGTTGATTATTTATCAATTTTTTGTTAATTATTTATCCATATTGTTGATTGAGAATGCTTTAAATTATTACAATAATTAATAATTATTAATTTATCAATTTTATTAATGCAAATCTTGTCAATTTTTGTCAATTTGTCAAAATTAAAATCTCAATTGTTCATCTGTGTTAATCATTTATTAATAATTTTATTTGATTGATTATTACTTTACTAATTATTTTCCAAGAATTTATTATTTTAAAATTACTATTTTTCAATGATTTATTATTTTTTAATAATTGTCCATTAATTTGTTTATTATTTATCAATAATATTCATACGATTTATCAATTTTATTAATTTAACATTCATATTAATTTTTCCATTAATTTTATTAATTATTTTCTTATTTATAAAAAAAATACTCTTATTGAGAAACAAGTAATAAAAATTCTATTACATTTAATAACGAACATAATTAAAAAATTAGGGATATTTACTATAGTAAATAATATTTATTTTCGATAAATATATACTTTCGATAAATATTCTGTACCTTGACAAAACAATTTACATTTTCTGATATAAAATCTATATCTTAATAAATTTATGATAATTAATTAATATTTTGATCAATAATTCATGAGTAATTAATATTTTTGACAAATAATTCACGAGTAATTAATATTTTGATAATTAATTCATGAGTAGTTAATATTTTGATAAATAATTCACGAGTAATTAATGTTTCGATAATTAATTCATTGTCAAGTAATTAATATCTTGATAAACAATTAAAAAATACCAAAAAAATAAAAAACGAAAAGAAAAAAAATTTTCTTTGTCAAAAATTGATGAATAACAATTTGGATAAATAATCAAATAATTGATTGAAACTAGCTTATTATTATTGGCAGCGAAACCAATTAATTAATTAATTAAACTTGACCAACAAGGGAAAAGAATTAATTAAATTTTGAGACTGGAGTCAGAGAGAAGGCGTCGTCACAATTGTCCTAATAATATAATAAAGTCCAAATTATCGGATTTGACAATAAATTGTTTTAAAAAAAAATTCTTTCGCGTCATTTTAACATTTTTATCTTTACTAGCACACATTCATACATGCACACAAAAACTAGTAGTCTTCGTTTATAAAAGCGTCATTTTGACAACACTGAGGGGTTGGGGGGACAAACTACACGTCACACTTTCGACTCTCAGTTTTCTTTTTTCTCATCACACATAATGAGAAATTCTTCAATATGAAAGTAGAAAGAATTGGTATACAAAGATTGGAAAAAGAAGAAAAATTCCCTTTTTTTTTCTTAAAAGGGGAATTAAAGTTGGCCAAGATTTCACTCTTGCTACGATTCAAGATCGTCCTCACGTTGACTGCTGAAGTATGAGACGAGACCGCCAAATTCACCGGAGCCCTCCTCGTCGTTTGGGTGTTGTTGGGGATGAGGTGGTTGTGTTTGTTGTTGTTGCTGTTGTGGTGGTGGTTGTTGTTGTTGTTGCTGGGGCTGAGGAGCCGTTGGTGGTTGGATTGGTGGTTGATTGTCGGAGGAGGTTGAGAAATGTTCGGCGGGATATGGGGAGCCTTGATAGGCGGCGGCGTCGTCGGCGGTGGTCATTGGCGGCGGGGGTGGGTAGGCACCGTAATGATAGTTGGGCGGCGGGGGTGGATGATAGGGGGAGAAGTTGCCAGGTGGTCGACTGGGCGGTGGCGATGGTTGTTGGAGCGAATGACTTCCGGGCGATGCGCCAGCGAATGGTGGCAGTTGGTGGCGAACGCCGAGAGTGTTCTCGGGGAACCTCGACATTGGCGGTCCACGAACGTAAGGCGGTGGGGGTGGGGTTGGATCGCCTTTAGCCAGGGGACTGCCGGAGGTGGGCGGAATCATTCCCGGCACGTGGCCAAGTGGCGAACTGCGGTCGCGATTGTTTATTGATATTGGACCGCCGCCCGATGGTGAGGGATCCATTGGATGGTGTGACGAGTGGTACATCTGGGGACCGGGACCTCGGAGTCGCATTGGAGGCGCTCCTGAGCGAACCGCGGCGAAATGGGGAGGCATCGCTGGTGGCGGTTGTCGATATGGTGATGGAATTCTACCTCGTGGTTGCATGTCGTAATTTGGTCGGGGACCGCCAATTAATTGTCCACCGGGACCGCCAAAGTACTTGTGACCCATTGCCGTTGCGGCCGCGGTGAATGATTGCGGACTGCCTGGAACCGGTTGCGACTGGAGCATTCGCGTTATCACGGAAGACTGCTGACCGGGCTGTGGATAACCCTGAAAAATCAATAAACATTTTTAGACACATTGAAACCAAATACAAAACCATTACAGGATTGCCAGAAAAATTTAATTTTGTTGATCTCTAGCTCTTCCCTGATTTTCAGACTTTCGACTTTTTCCCTTAACCCTAAACAATATTCTGATTAACTCTAAAAATTATTACTTAGATACTCAAAAAAATGTCAATTTTTTTTAGTACTTTTAATAAAAATCCCTAATTAATTTTACTTTTCTCTAAATTACCTGTCTTCCCTGACCTATGGCAACCCTGCGATTAGCATTATTTTTCTAAAATTTTTCTACATACCTGTGAAGAATTGGAAGCCTGGGTTGACGGGGATCCTTGAATATTTGGAGCTGGAGGTGTTGACGGCGCTGAACCGGAAGTACTGCTACCAGGAGTGGGAAGAATATTTGGCATCTCGTCATACTTTGACGATGGATTCGAATCGGTGCCCATGCCCATCATACTAGTGTCCATAGGATTTTTGCCGACAGCCTCAGCAGCTCGTGCAGCCTCTAAAGCTAGTGTTTTCTTACCTTTACCCCGACCGCGTCGTTTCGGCTTCATGGGCGAGCCCTCTGGACTGAAAAGTTGTCCATCTCCGGGCATCATGGTCATGTGGGCCTCAACAACATCCGGCGTCATCATTCCAGGCATGACGGACATATTCGGAGCTGCTAAATTGGGAGTCATCAAATTTGGTGACGACAGATTTGGTGACGTCATATTTGGCGACGTCATATTGGAAGATAACCCCGGCGTCATTTGTTGTCCGGACAATGGCAGAGGCATCGCCGAAAGGGCGTTAATGTCTGTCGTTCCGTCCCTTCTCATTTGTTCGGCGAGTATTTCAGCCTTGCTGCGTCGTCCTCTCTTCTTCTTCTTCGGCACTTCGCCATCCATGCCCTCGGGAGCGTTTTCACGTTCTCGTTCAGCGGCCAAAATCTCCAGTGCCTTCAGTCGAGCCTTCTCCATTTTTTTCGCCTCACGTTCCTCCTTCTTACGTTTGGCAATTTCAATTGCTGCCAATTCCAATTGTCGTTTACCATACTCCTCGTCCTCCATCATCATTTGAGTGAATTGCTCGTCGTCAATGTCGGCCAATTCACCAGGACCAAGTCCAGCGAGAGATCCCTCGCCAACTTCACTTGACACTAGACCGCTGCCGGAAATATTTGGATCATGCATCGAGACATTGTCAACCTTATCCATTACCATTGGATTTGCCATTGCCTCAACATCCACGCCCTTCAGCATCTCCTCATCGTCCATTAATGGATGCATTGATAATTTTGACATTCTTGGCTTATTTTTACTGCCTGGCTTTGGTCCCGGCTTTTTCCTCTGTCTCATTGTACCATCGTCATCCAGCAATTTTCTCGTTGGACTTTTACTCTTCCTTGGCTTCTTGATTTTTGGCGATTTCAATTTTATTTTCGTTCCATCTTTCTTCGGCGAGTACGTATCACCTGAAATTTTTTATATTCTTCATATTGATTTTCTTCTTTCAATTATTCAAGGTTTGTGAAGAAATAAAAAAACCTAATAAGAGAAATTAATTAATTCTTTATTACCTGAATCGTTTTCAGCATCTTCATTAACTTCCTCATTGTCATTGACAACGAATTCATCTTCGCTCTCTTCTGTTTTCCTCAAAGCTTTCTTCAGTTCCTGTGAGAACAGGGAATACTTTTTATTTTTATTATCGTGTTATAATTGCAAAAAAAGAGATTAAAGGGAAATTATTTTTATTACAAAAAGAATTCTTACCTCCTCACTGTCGGACGCCATCGCCTCTTGATAATTAATTTTCCTTCCTCGCGTTCGTCTTCCAAGGATTTCTTCCTCACGCTCTGCTCGTTCATCAGGTAGACCACCATAAATGATCTGTCAAAAACGAAATTAATAGTTTGCTAAACTAATTCAAAATACTTTTAAACCAGGGTTGCCACAAAAATTTAATTTTGTTTTCCCTGACTTTCCCTGATTTCTAGACAAAATTTTAACACTTTTCCTGACTCTCAAGAATATTCTGATTAACTGATAAAAATAATTATATAAAAAAATGTCCTATTGTATTCATTTACAAATCTCTTTAACTGTACAATTTAAAACATCAATAACTTATTTTTTAAATAAATATTTAATCATTATTATTTTTCCATAGAAATTAAGATTTTCAAAAATTTCAAATTCAAACCTTTTTTGAAATTCAACAACTTAAAAGAATATTAAAACATATATTAGAAAAAAACTTCAAATAATTACAAAGAAAATTCAATTAAACCTTTTTTAAAAAATTTTTTCTACAGAATTGTTATTTAAAAGTATGAAAAATTTAAATTTTCATAGATTTTAATTTAAAACATTTTCAAAATTCAATTATTTCTAAAAAAAATTCACACTATAATGCTTTTAATATTAAATTATTCTCTAAAATTTCAACTAAAATTTATTTTGAAATCAATTTTTATAAGAAAATTAAACAAGAATTCAATTATTTAAATACAAAAATAAATAATGTATTGAATAATTGAATTTTCAAAAAGAATTTTATCAAATTTTTAAATAATTAAATTCTTTTGACGAATTTTAATAACATTTTTAAGAATAATTACATTTTTCGAGGAATTCGATTAAAATTGTATTTAAAAAAAATTTAAATTCTGGGATGAGTTTTATTATTTATGACAATAATTGAATTCCCGAAAAAGAATTTTATTATTTATGAAAATAATTGAATTCCTATAAAAAAAACTTGATTATTTATGAAAATAATTGAATTCTTAAAAAGAATTTTATTATTTATAAAAATAATTGAATCCCTATAAAAAATTTTATTATTTATGATAATAATTTAATTATTGCGAAGAAAATTATTAAAAAATTTGTAAATAACTGAATTCCTGTGAAATTTTTATTATTTATGAAAATAATTAAATGTTTGCGTAGAATTTTATTAAATTTTTCTTATAAATAATTGAGATCTTTTTGAAAATTTTATTAAAATAGTTATTAAAATATTAAAATAGATTGTATTGAAAAACATTGTGAAAAATATTTAAAAATAATTGAAATTTTGCCAAGAATTTTACTAAAATTGTTAAAAATAATTGAATTTCTGTGAAGAATTTTAATATTTGAAAAGAAATCATTGTGAGAAATAGAAAAAAATTGAAGGTTTTGTATTAGAATTCATGGTAATTTCAGTTTATGAGGTAAACAGAAAATACACAAAAATTCAGAATTTTCTTATGAGTTCTAAAAATTTAATTTTTTCCAGTATTTTTAATAAAAATTCTTGACTTTTCCCTGACCTGTGACAACCCTGTACATGGAAAAAAAATTTGTTTTAAATTTTACCTTTCGCCGAATTTTCTTCTCCTTTGGCATGAGAATTTCCCTCCTTCGCTTTTTGGAATACTCCTCCAATAGAGGATGAATGGGAATTTTAACGAGTTCGTCAATTTTCTCATCTTCCTCCTCCTCTTCCTCTTCTTCCTCTTCTTCATCCTCCTCCTCTTCCTCTTCCCCCTCTTCTTCTTCCTGATTCGAAATTTCACTCTGTGGAGGAATAACTTCCTGTGGTTGAGCAGAAATTGTAGCTTCCACATTCGGTTGTGGTTCAATTTGTGGTTCAGCTTCTGGTTCCGGTTGTTGAGGTTCAGGTTCGGCTTCAGGTTCAGGTTCAGGTTGCTGTTCCTCTTCATCTTCATTTTCCTCTTCTTCTTCCTCATCTTCCTCTTCTTCCTCCTCGTCCTCATTATCCTCCTCGTCCTCTTCATCCTCCTCATCATCATTATCCTCCTCAACCGGAACATTATCCAATGGTTCGGTGGTATCCATTGTCTCGGGATTATCCACAATTTTCGCTGTTTCATCAATTTCTGGTGAATTCTCCGATGGTGGTGTATTACTAACCGATGGAGTTTCTTCGGTTTGCAATTGATTTTCTTGTTGATTTACTTCAGGAGCGGGATGTACTTCTTCTGTTTCTTGTTCGTTTTCTTTATTTTCTACACTCTCGCTAACTGCTCTAATTTGCTCTTCCTCTTCATTATCGCTTTGATTGTCGGAATGCTCGATAATGCGTCTTCTCTTCTTTTTCTTTTTCGATTTTGTTTTCATTATCCAGCGTGGTTTCGATGGTATCGTCTTACTTCTGCAAAAAAAAAGAGTTAATAATTTAAAACACCCTAGATTAGGAAAAAAAGAATTTTTTTTATAGAAATTAAATTATTACCGCTTTTTTCTTTGTCTCCATGAACTGTCACTTTCCTCGCTTTCTGATTCTTTGCCCCAGCCGCGATTCTTTTTTCTCTTTGGACGATCGCTTTCATCACTGTCGTCATTAACTGAAAGGAAGAAAAAAGGAAAAATTGTAAAAAGAGAATTTAGAAAAAATGTATTATTTTAAATTTTAACTGAAATAAATTTTTAAATCAATTTTTATTCGAAACTTCAACGAGAATTTTCAATTATTCAAATAATTGAATACAAAAATAAATAAGTCACTAAATAGTTAAATGTTTCTTAAAATTGAATTCTCATAAAAAATGATATAAAAAAAACTTAAAATAATTTTAAAAAAATTCAATTAAACTTAAAAAAAAGAATTCTACACTATTGTTAGATAAAAGTATGAAAAATTCAAATTTTCAAAGATTTTAATTTGAAATAATTTCAAAATTCAATTATATCTAAAAATTCACGCTATAATGCTTTTAATATTCAATTATTATCTCAAATTTTAACTTGAAATTAATTTTTAAATCAAATTTTATTACAAAATTATACTAGAATTTAATTATTTAAATAAAAAAACTAATTTCTTGAATAATTGAATATGTTTCTTCAAATTGAATTTTTTCGTCAAATTTTAATAAAATTTTTAAGAATAATTACATTTTTCGAAGGAATTCGATTAGAATTGTATTAAAAATAATTGAAATTCTGTGATTTATTTTATTATTTATAAAAATAATTGAATTTCTAAAAAAAATTTTTATTTTTAATAAAAATAATTGAATTATTGCGAAGAAAATTGTAAAAAAAATTTGTAAATAATTGAATTCCTATGAAATTTTGATTATTTATGAAGATAATTAAATGTTTGCATAGAATTTTAGTATAATTTTTTTCTTAATAATTGAATTTATGAAAATAATTGAATTCCTACAAAATTTTTTTATTTTTAATAAAAATAATTGAAATATTGCGAAGAAAATTGTAAAAAAATTTGTAAATAATTGAATTCCTGTGAAATTTTCATTATTTATGAAAAAAATTAAATGTTTGCATAGAATTTTAGTAAATTTTTTTTTTCAAAAATTGAATTTATTAAAAGAACTGTATTCCTAAAGAGAATTTTATTCATGAGGATAATTGAATCTCTGTGAAAATGTTTATTTACAAAAATAATTGAATTATAGAAGTTTTATCGAGAATTTTATTAAAATTTTTCAAAATGATTGAATTTCAGAGAAGAATTTCATTATTTATAAAGATAATTGAAATTTTTACAAGAATTTTTAAAAAATTTCGAACATAATTGAATTTTTGTGAAGAATTTTATTACTTTTGAAAATAATTGAATTTCTGCGATCATTTGTAACTTCTCCAAAATTCAATTTTTTACTGTTTTTATTTAAAATTCTTCTATAAATCCATTAGTTTTAATAATTAATTAAATATCCATTAAATAATTTCAGAAGAATTTGGATTATTCATTTTTTTCAAATAACTAAGTTCTTAAAAATGTTAATGAAATTAATTCAAAATTGTAATTTTCCAAAATGTTAAATTGAAATCTTTTGAAGTTCATCAATTTATGAAAATATAGACGCAACTGTTTAAAATTCAATTTTTAATTTTGAAATTTTTAAGCAAAATTATTCATTAAATAATTTATAAGTAATAATTTTATGACTGTTCTTCAAGAATTGAGTTAATAAAGAGAAATTATTGTCATAGAAATAGAAAAAATTGAAGGTTTTGTATTAGAATTCGTGGTAATTTCATAGTTTGTGAGGCAAACAGAAAGAAACCAAAATTCAGAATTTTCCCATGAATTCTAAAAATTTAATTTTTTCCAGCACTTTTATTAAAAATCCCTGATTTTTTCCGATTTTCCTGATCAATTTTACTTTCCTCGATTTTTCCCTGAATTCCCTGAAAATTTTCCGATTTTCCTGATCAATTTTACTTTCCTCGATTTTCCCCTGAATTCCCTGACTTGTTGCAACCATTAATTAATTAATTAATTAATTAATACTTCTAAGAAGTAAAAATTGAAGTTGTACTCACTGAATTCTTCATCGTAGCGAGTGGTTCTAGCCCTGGTGGATCTTCTCACAGGTCTCTTGTTGCCTTTCCTTCCTCTTCGTCTAGTAGAGGAGAAGGACTCATCAGTGGAACTATTCCGATCGTCGAAATCTTCTTCATCATCGGAACTCGAACCCTTGAAGTCCTCATCACTGATACGATCATCCTCCTCACTGCTCACGTCCAGACTATTCAGTTTTCGATGCTTTTTCCTAGCCAATTGTTTTCTGACAACAATTCTCTTTTTCTCCTCCTCATCATCGTCCTCCTCCTCCTCTTCATCGTCGTCCTTGTCTTCCTTGTACTCCTCATCGCTCTCCTTCTCCGACTTATCCTCATTGTCATCCTCCTCCTCCATTTGCTTCTTCAGAGCCTCCGCTTCCGCTTCCTCCTTCTCCGCATTCACAATCGTCGTAATATCCTTTCCTCTTCCCTGATTACCAGCACCTTGCACAGCCTCAACCTCCTCCTGAATCGCCGCATTGATCATATCGTCATATTCATTAAATTTATACGTATTAGCACATCGACGCTCCCTGAGTTGATAGACAGGTTCACTTTCGTCACTACTCGAATTATCGGAACTCGACTCCGAACTCGATGACGACGACGACGTCTCGTCGGATTGACTCGAACCTCCCTCTTTCTCACCGTCTTTTTTGATGACATTCTCAAGACTAATTCCAACGTAGGCCAATCGCTTTTTCCTGAGTAATTCACTCTCGAGTTTCTTCGATTGATTATCGAAGTCTCTGAGTTTCTGTTGGAGTTTCAGCACCAGGGAAGTGTGCTGACACGGTGGACAGAACCAATCGCCCTCGGGAATAATCATCAGAGCCGGTCGGAGGCAGGAGCAATGCCAACCCTTATCACAACTATCACAGAGTAAAATCCATTCCGGATGATCGGCCTTCTCACACTTTTGACAAGCGTACTCGTCATCAACTTCCTCCACGTCACTTTGCGATTTTTTCGCCGTTCTCGCTCGTCTCATTGGCTCCGCCTCTTCATCCTTCTCCAAATCACTTTCAGGCGAGAATTCATGATCGCTCTTCAATTCCAGAGAGACGTCACTTTCGATTTCTTCCTCCTCTTCGACTTCGTTCTCCTCATCGCTACTCGAATCTGTCGAACTCTCCCAGGGCTTTGATTCATTGAACTTCTTCTCCTTTCGTTTCCTCTTCTTTTTCTTCTTCTTCTTTGACTTTACCTCTTTTTCCACTTCCTTTACAACGACGATTTCCTCCTCACTCTCCGGCTTGTACTTCTTTCTCTTCTTTTTGTCGGGCGAGTCCTCTGGTTTTCGACCCTTAACCTCTTCTTCGATTCGCCTCTTGTCCGCCTCTTCTTTTATCTTCAATTGCGCAATTCTCCTCGAGGCCCTCACTGGCATTTCTGAATTCGACTGCGATTCGGGCATGTCTCGTCCGACCATTAAACCTAGAACCATTTTTCGTTTCTTTCGCTTCTTTTTCGAGTCGGGCGTGTCATCCAAAGACGCCGCATCCGGTGGATCGATCGATTGATCTTCTGGTTCTTGTGCTTCCGGTTCTTGTGATTCCGGTTCTTGTGATTCTGCTTCTTGGGATTCTGGTTCTTGTGCTTCTGGTTCTTGAACCTCTTCGACTTCGCTTTTCTCAACTTCGGATTTTGGCTCCTGCGAATGGGTGTCTTCGATAATCTCCGGTTCTTGGTCCTCTGACTCCGGTTCAGGTGTTTCTGTCGACTGTCCTCCTCCTCCTCCTCCTGGTTTTTGTTTCTTCGGTCCTCGGAAGCCGCCTCTTCGTTTACGTCCCCTAGGTCTGCCTCGTGGTTTCTTGGACGCGATTTCATTCTCGATGACGACATCATCATCATCATCATTTTTGTTCTCCTCCGCAGGTATCGCAACGGGAGTTATAGTCTTTCCCGCCTCGTCTTCGGAACTGATCGCAATTACTCGACTCTCCTCGACCGATTTTCTCAACTGAAGATCGACCCTCCGGCCCCGAAGTCTCATTCTCTTGCCACCTTGATCCTCCTCGACGATTTTTATACTTTCGGGAGTGATTTCAATCTCTGCCTTTCGGCGCTTGCGGGTTGGTTTCGGCAACTCGGGACTCTCCGGCTTTCGACCGGTGAGTTCCGTGAAGGACTTGACACGAATACTCATTCTATGAACCGGTGGTGGCGGTGGTTCCTCGGGCACTGTTTTCGATGACTCGTCATCGGCCAGGGGATCCGTCTCCTCTGGGGGATTGAAAGTTGTGTCCGAATCGAGTGGCATCGAGTCGTCTGAATCAATTACTATCGACTCAGCCGGTTGGGGTTTTGTTTCAATGACTTGCGGTTTTTCCTCAATTATCGGAGGTTTCACCTCAATTATCGGAGATTTCACGATACCGAGATCTTGTCGTACGCGTAAACTCCTGGTGACTCGGACGTTTTCCACCACTTTTGACTCTTCGACAACTTTCTTCTCTTTCGTCGACTCTTCGGATATTTTCACCTCTTCTTGAACTTTGGAACTTCTGGTGTTCTTCTTTCCTTTCTTCTCCACTTTCTCTTCTTTTTTACCAGACACTTTTTCAGCGGAAGTCGACTCTGGAGCGGAAGCGATTTTTTCCTCCGAATTCGCCTCGATCGGAACATTTTCATTCTTCTCGGCAATTGCTTCACTGACACTTTCATTTAGATTCTTCGTTTCACTGTTTCCTTGTTCGTTATTGCCTTCGATTTGTTCGCTTTCCTTCGAAGAATCAACGATCGTGACAACATTTTTCTCCGGGGCGTCAAGAATTTCTTCTTCTTCTTTCTTCTCCGAATTCTCGATTATCGCCACATCTTCTTCGTCCGAACTTTCGATAATCGCCACGTCTTCATATCTACCGCCCGAATCCGGACTATCCGATCTTTCAGAAATCCGATCCTTATTTTCCGTCTCAGAAGATTCATTGATCTCAAGTTCAGAAGTAGTATTCGTCGGTAATTTCTGACTTTGATCGCCAGGAGGTTTTACTTTAGCAGGTGGACACTCTTCGCTATCGAAATTAACACCCGATCGTTTGGCATCTTTCTTAAATTCTTTGATTTCGGGAACATTTTTAGTTTCGCTACAAGCTCCAGGATTATCAATTAGATTATCAATTCTGCTCTTTTCACTGATATAATTTTCCAGTTCTTGTGTCTCTTGTTCTGTAAATATAATAGTATTTTCATCAAGTTTTGCTCTCTCGTAAGGGGAATTATTTTTAAGATTCATAATAGGCACTTCTTTTGGAATTTTTATTGTTTCTTGGGTTAAAGTCCTTTCCTCGTATGATTTATCATCGCAGTCTTCTTTTCTTCTTTTCGAAGGCTGAATAATTAGCGATGGATCGTCAAGTGGATCACTCTCGTCACTGTGTAATGTAAACGATTTTCTACTTGGTGATTTCTGATTTAGTTTATTAATAACTAATTCATCAGTTTTCACACTCTCTTCTTTTTCAATATCTATATTAACAGGCACTGAATCGAAACATTCCCTATTTTTTGGAATTTCAGTCTCGGTGGGCTTAATAATTTCTAGTTCAGGAACTTCATTATTTTCCGTGTCTCCTTTCACTTTTTCATCAATTTTCTTCTTGGAATTTTCATTTTCGGAAATTTTATCGAGATTTTTAATATTTTCCGTACTGGCAATTGGAAATTGTTTTAAATTTGTGTCGGTATTGGCGATTATTGAGAAAGTTTCCGACTTTCTGGCGAATTGGAATTCTTCGTTATTATCGGAATCACTTTTTTCATTGAGAGTACTGTCGATTTGATTGCAGAGATCGTCAACTTTTCCGGATTCGATAAATGCCTCTTGATCTTCGGAATCGTCAACCATATCCATACTGTCCGTAACAATATGCTGAACTCGATTGCAAATTTCCACTGTTTTTTTCGTCTCCATTAAAGTTTCTTCGTCCTCTACGTTGAAATTCGTTAAAATTCCCGTGGAAATTGGTTTTTCTTTTGCAAATTCTTGAATATCCTTCTTCAATATTTCAGGATCTTCGATGAAATTTGTAGCTTTTGGTTCATTAGATAAAATATTTTCATTGGCGATATTAAGTTGTTTTTTCGTTTCTAATTCCGTTGGGGAATCAACAATTTTCGGATTTTTAATTTCGACGGTTGATTCAATTTCTCTTTTGTCCTCAAGTGGAGATTTGAATTCTTTTTTGTCCTCAATTTCGGTCGGTGGTTCAACTTCTTTTTTCTCAATTTCAATTGGCGTTGGAACTTCTTTTTTGTCTTCAATTTCAGTTGGTGATGGAACTTCCTTTTTGTCTTCAATTTCAGTTGGTACTTCGACTTCCTTCTTGTCCTCAACTTCGGTCGACGAGGGAACTTCTTTGTCATCAATTTCGATCGATGAGGAAACTTCTTGTTTGTCATCAATTTCTACCGAAGAGGAAACTTCCTTTTTGTCTTCAGTTTCGATCGATGAGGAAACTTCTTTGTCATCAATTTCAATCGATGAGGAAATTTCTTTTTTATCATCAATTTCGATCGATGAGGAAACTTCCTTTTTGTCTTCAATTTCACTCGCTGATGGAACTTCTTGGTCATCAATTTCAATCGATGAGGAAACTTCCTTTTTGTCTTCAATTTCACTCGCTGATGGAACTTCTTTGTCATCAATTTCAATAGATGAGGAAACTTCCTTTTTGTCATCAATTTCACTCGCTGATGGAACTTCTTTGTCATCAATTTCACTCGGTGATTCGAATTCCATTTTTTCTTCAATTTCACTCGGTGCTTCGACTTCTTTTCTGTCCTCAATTTCGGTTGGTACTTCGACTTCTTTCTTGTCCTCAATTTCAGCTAATACTTCGACTTCGTTCTTATCCTCAATTTCGTCTTCAATTTCACTCGCTGATGGAACTTCTTTGTCATCAATTTCAATAGATGAGGAAACTTCCTTTTTGTCATCAATTTCACTCGCTGATGGAACTTCTTTGTCATCAATTTCACTCGGTGATTCGAATTCCATTTTTTCTTCAATTTCACTCGGTGCTTCGACTTCTTTTCTGTCCTCAATTTCGGTTGGTACTTCGACTTCTTTCTTGTCCTCAATTTCAGCTAATACTTCGACTTCGTTCTTATCCTCAATTTCGGCCGTTGATTTCTCAATTTCCTCAATTTCAATCGACGATTCAACTTCACCGACATCAATTTTCGTTGGAGATTCAAAATTCGTTGCTGATTGTATGTCTTCAGTCTTGTTTGCATTATCATTGCCGTTATCAAATTCCTTACTACTATTCGATTCCGATAGATTAATTACATCTTTGGTATTAATTTTCGCAATGTTTGACAGAATGTTGACATCATTACACAATTCTTTATCGACTTTGAGATTATCTTGGTCGTTATCACTTGCGTTGTCATTCATTTGAAGGGGATGATTAGAAGTTTCGTTATTATCATTGTCAATGCAACTTTCATCACTCCCGTAATCGCCAACAAGAGATTTTGATTCTTGAATTGTTTCCATTGGCAATTTTTCTCCCATTTCTTGTTCACTATTTGAAGGTGGATTCATTTCTTGAGCGTTGTCTAAATTATTGTCCAACGATTCGGTTGTTGCTTGTGGGAGTTTCGATTCGATGGATTCAATCGGAAGAATTGATTCTTGAGAAACTTGGGGTTCTTGACTCGATTCGTTTGTTGTTTCTAATTGTTGGATAGGATTTTGGAAGTCAGGAAGATTTTCAGAAATTGTGTCGGGAATGTTCGAAGCCTCTTTTGATTCTTCTATCATTTCGAGAGAAGTTGTTTCTGGTTTCTCACTTTCTGAAATAATTGCTTCTTTCGTTTCTTCAGGAGAATCAATTTTCTCTTCTTGATTCGCTTCTTCCATTTTTTCTGAAGGATTTAAATCTTCTAATTTGGAAACAATCGTTTCTTCCTTTTCTTCAGGAGAATCAAATTCCTCCTCCTGATTCGCTTCTGAAGAATTTAGATCTTCGATTTTGGAAACAATTTTTTCTTCCTTTTCTTCGGGAGAATCAAATTTCTCTTCTTCCATTGTTTCTTTTTCGCTTTTGGAAATAATCGCTTCCTCTTCGGGAGAAATTAGCATTTCTTCTTGATTCGTTTTGGAAATATTTTGAATTTTCTCACTTTCTGGAACACTCGATTCCTCTTCTTCTTTTTCTTCTGGGGAATTCAATTTTTCTTGATTCGATTCTTCAGGAAGATTTAAAATTTTCTCTCCTGGAATATTCGGCTCCACTTTCTCTTCGGTAGGATTTAATTTCTCTGATTGATTCGATTCTTCGGATTGATTCGAAACTTCTGCCATTTCAATTTGTGATTCTTCTTCTGGATTTTGTGAAATTTCACCAGTCTCTAAAACACTTGATTCCTCCTTCGAACTCAACTCCTCTGGAATATTCGAACTGGTTGTGAAATTTGTTTCGATTTTTGCTACCAAATTTGAATTTTGTTCCGTTTCAGAAATATTCAATGTTTCTGCTTGAGAAATTGATTTTGTTTCACACTCATCTTCTTCTTCTTCTCTCGTTTCGATGGGACTGGAAACTTTCTCTTCAGAAACCATTGAAATTACTTCCTTCTCTGCTTTGGATTCAAGAATTTCGGCGTCAAAATTTTCCTCCAGGCAATTTACTTCTATCGTGTCTTGAGAAGTAAAAGGTAATTCCGTTCTTGCTTTAGGAACATCCACACTTTTTGATTTTTCACTTTCCATTGAAGGTTTTTCGACTGGAGAATCAAATAAATTTGAGTCATCTTCATTTTCACTTGGCCCTTTGCCCAAATTTTGACAAGTTTCCCCAAAATCTTCAACACTTTCGGGAGAAATTTCCGATTTTTCGTTTGGAAGTTCTTCGTCGAAATTTTTATTGCTATTGTCCTCGAAGTTCGTGAGATTTTCCTTGTTTGGTGATAAATCTTCTGTGGATTTTTCTTCCAAAAGTGACTCTTCCATTTTATCTTCCAAAACAGAATTTTCTTCTTCTTCTTCTTCTGCTTCTAAAAGTAAATCCTCGGTAACTGCTGTTTCTGGATTCGGAAATTCGGTGTTTTTCTCTTCTAGAATCGAATCCTCGTCGTATTTTCCCTCTAGAATCGAATCTTCGATGTTTTTCTCTTCTAGAATCGAATCCTCGGTGTCTTTCTCTTCCAGAATTGAATCCTCGGAATTTTTCGCTTCTAGAATCGAATCCTCGGTGTTTTTCACTTCTAGAATTGAATCCTCGGAATTTTTCGCTTCTAGAATTGAATCTTCGGCAATTTTTCCTTCTGAAATCGAATCTTCGATGCTTTTCTCTTCTAGAATTAAATCGTCGGTGTTTTTCTCTTCTACATTCGAATCTTTAATGCTTTCGGCTTCTAAAATCGAATCATCGACACTTTTCGCTTCTAGAATCGTATCCTCGGTGTTCTTCGTTTCTAGAATCAAATCCTCGGTATTTTTGTCTTCTAGAATCGAATCTTCGGTATTATTTTCTTCTAGAATCGAATCCTCGATGTTTTTCTCTTCTAGAATCGAATCCTCTGTATCTTTCTCTTCTAGAATTAAATCCTCGGAATTTTTCGCCTCTAGAATCGAATCTTCGGGGTTATTTCCTTCAAAAATCGAATCTCCAGTGTTTTCTTCTTCTAGAATCGAATCTTCAGTGTTTTTTTCTTCCAGCATCGAATTCTCGGTATTTTTCTCATCTAAAATCGAATCTACAGTATTTTTCTCTTCCATAATCGAAGTCTCGGTGTTTTTCGCTTCTAAACTCGAATCTTCAACGGTTTCTTCTTCCAAAATCGAATCCTCGACGCTTTTTGCCTCTAAAATCGAATCTTCGACACCTTTTGCTCCCAAAATCGAATCTTCAGCGTTTTCTTCTTCTAGAATCAAATCCTCGACGCTTTTTGCTTCTAAAATCGAATCTTCAGCGTTTCCTCCTTCTGGAGTCGAATCCTCATCGTTTTTCTCCTCCAAAAGCGAATCTTCAATTTTTTCCTCCAAAAGTAAATCTTCTTCCATTGCTTCCGAAACTGGATCTTCAATTTTCGAAACTGCCTCTGCAATCGAATCTCCAGCGTTGGCTTCCAAATCTGAATTTGTTTTTTCACAAACTGTCGCCGATTTTTCCTCCGTTACCAAATTCTTCTCATTGGGAATTGAACAATTTTCATCTGGAGTTGTATCTTCCGGGCAATTTTCCGCTTGTTCCTCAGAAAAATCGTCTTCTTCCATTTTCGAAGCACTTGGCGAAACTCCTTCGTCCGTTGGTTCCAAATTTTTAATTTCCTCCTCGACTTTTCTCAATTCTTGCTCGAAATTATCCTCGGAAGGTTCCTTGCTCTCTTGTCGAGTAACTTCACTGTTAAAATCTAGACAATCCGGAATTTTCTTCTCCTCTTTCTCTATTTGCGTACTTTCGACTTGATTCTCGCAAATCGATTCACTTTGATTATCAATTTCCCTGTTTTTTGATTCCATCTTCTCACTCTTTTGATTATGTTCCGCATTTTCAGCTGTTTCATTATTTTCTTCAATTATTATTTCACTTCTTTCTTCTAAATTTGATTTCTCACTCAAAGTCTCAGATTTGTCGACTTCAATTTTCGAATTCTCGGATTCTTCCGTTTCGTTCTCCCCTAGTTGCGAAGTACTTGATTTTTCAATTACAATTTTTGAAAATTCACTTTTCGGATCGGAATTTTCGATAGACGGTAAAATTTCACTGTCTTGGGATTCATTACTCGCAAGAGGTTTGAGATTATTATTGTCCTTTGAGACCTGAAAATTCTCGGTTGTGTCATTTTCCATGACACGATCAACTTCGTCTCTTTGTCCAAAGGAGACGCAATTGGGTCCGAAAAAGAATCTCGGTGGTGATAGTCGATTCTCCGCTTCGTCGCAATCCTTTGATATGTTATCGTCGTCGTCCTTCTTCTCCGGTCCGCCGACGTCCCACCTCGATATCCTCTTCAATGGGGATGTGGAAGATTTTGCAATTACTTGAATTCCAAGAGTGGGTTTGAATTTCGGTTGGAAATTCTCCTCCTCTGGCTGGGAGCAATTTCGGGAAATTTTCGAATTCGAAATAATGTTATTCGGCGGAAGAGTGTTTGTGGTGGTTTCGTCGATTTTCGTGTCCTTCTCTTGACTGTCGCTGGAAGTGTCATCGCCGGGATTGCCGGTATCACAATCGGCACCGGAACCTTCGCCGTAGAAAAAGAGGACATCCTCGACAATTTCCTCGCCGACGAGGAATCCGACTGGATTTGGAGCGTCGCAATCGCTGCCCGAGCCTTCGCCCTGGACCATCATTAGAGGTTCCTCGATGGCCTCGCCAACACCGTCTCGCCACTCGGGATTGAAGACTGGTCGCTTGTCAGTGGGTCGAATTGGAATCACGTCGGGCCTGTGTCTCTTGACAATTTCACTTTGCACCATTTCCTGCTCGAGATTTCGTTTCAATGGTCCAACGCCCATGCGAAGGGCAGCGAGTTTACTCGGATCGGGAACAATGCTGTAACTTGGTAAACGATGCTCGTCCTTGGTGGGCGTTCGTCCCGATTGATGATAAGACGGTAAATCATAATTAGTGAAGGACATTTGTCGTTTACTGAGATCGGCGACCATTGCATGATTCCTCATCATAACGGCCCTAGCATCGTACGCTAATGGAGCGTCCTGTTTGTTCGTCTTTTTTGTGCTCAAATCCATTTCCTTGTGCTGAATATTGTCCGTATAATTATGAACATTTTTGTTTGTTTTCTTACTAGAGAGATCAATACCTGAGAAATCTACTGGTCTATTGTGATCGTTAGCACTCTCCCAACTGCGCGGCGACGTTGAAAGATCAATTCCTCGACGATTTTTTAATGTTTTCTCAGTACCGCGTAAATCTTGGGGGAAATCATCGTTATTCAATATTGCCTGATGATTTGTTTTTGCCAAATTCTCGGCTATCTTCTCAAGTGACTTAATTGGCTTCTCAAGTTTCTCGGATTGTATCCTAACGAGATTGGCGGCTAATTTATCGATTGGCTTGATCGAATGTTTATTGTGAAGAATCGATGATGTCTCGAGAACGTTGCTACTACTACTACTGCTACTAATTTTACCAGAAAGTTTCTCCAGAGTTTTCATTAACGAATCTGGTGTCTCCTCTACTTGTTTCGTTAATTTTTGGTCCAATTTTTTCACCTCGATGTTTAATTTCAATGGTGATGTTGTTATTACAGGAGTTTCTATTGATTTCACTTCTTCGGTGGTTTTACTGTTTTCGAATTTTCTTCGACTTTCATCTGTTTTCTTTTTACTTGGAATTTCAATTGGATTTTCAATTGGAATTTCAATTGGTTTTTCAATTTTGTCAGCTTCTTTTAAATTCGCTATTTCGGAAGGTTTTGTTTCTTCGATTTTTGTGGTTTCTTTTAATTGTGGAGTTTCGGTTTTTTCTTCTTTTGGTGACTCCTTCACTTCGATGGAAATTTCATTTAGTGTTTTTGGAATTTCAATCGATTTTGGTAATTTTTCTTGATCTTTTAAATTTATTTCCTCCTCGACTTTCTCGACCTGGGGAAGTTTTTCCGGTTCGGAATTTACTTGTTCATCGGGTGCTGTTTCCTGTCCTGTGTCAATTGTGGGTTTCTCTAGAGTTTCCAAACTACTGCTGTCTTCATTTAGAGGAATTATTTCTCCATTTGACAAGGAACTTATGAGATTAACCATTCCTTCACGATCCCTAAAAACAAAATTAAAATTAATAATCAATTTAATTAATTTAATTAATTTCGAATGAACAAAATTTTGGAAAAACTGATTTTTCTGGGTTGCCACAAAAATTTAATTTTGCTTTTCCCTGATTTACAAACAAAATTTTAAATTTTTCCCTGACTCTAAAGAATATTCTGATTCACTCTAAAAATTATTAGATAAAAAAAAATTTCCATTAAATTTATTTAATTGTAAAATTATTCGAAAACATCAATAACTTCTTTTATAAATTAAAATCATTTAATCATTATTATATTCCATAGGAATCAAATTTTCAAAATCTCAAATTCAAATCTTTTGAAACTCAATAATTTATAAGAATATTTATTGTAAAACATAAAGAAATCGATCACTCCGAGTCTTCGACTCGGAGTAATCAGTTTCTTCATGTTTTATAATAAATAAAAACGACTGAGTGATAAAATCATATTATTTTATATAATAAGAAAATTTTTTATTGTAACTTCTTCAAAAATATTTCCATTATTTCAATTCTATTATTATTTTCTAGAATTATTTTTAACTAAAATTCTTCTTTATATCAATTACTTTTCATAATTTTTGAAAAAGTTCTTTGAGAATTTTCAAATCCGTTTGTTTAAAATTCAATGTTACGAAATTTCATCGATTATTCGGAAATTCTTCAATTAAATAGTACATATTAGAAAAATAAACTTAAAATAATTTTTAAAAAAATCCAATAATTAAACTTTTTCAAAAAAATTAATTTTACAGAATTTTTAGTTAAAAGTATGAAAAATGTAGATTTTCAAAGATTTTAATTTAAAAACCTTTCAAAATTTAGTTATTTATAAAAATTCACGCTATAATACTTTTAAAATTCAATGTTTTTCAAAAAATTTCACCAAGACTTTTTATCAACAAATTTTTAAATAATTGATTTCTTTGGACGAGTTTTAATAAAAAAATTTAAAACAATTACATTTTTTAAAAAATTCAAATAAAAATTGTATTAAAAGTAATTGAATTTCCGCGATTAGTTTTAATATTTATGAAAATATAATTGAATTAATTGCGAAGAATTTAATTATTAATGAAAATAATTGAACCCTTGTAAAAAATTTTATTATTTATAAAAAATAATTGAATTATTGCGAAGAATTTTATTAAAATTCCTAAAAATAATTGAATTTCTGGAATAATTATATTTTAGATTAGTTTTGAAGATAATTCAATTCTTTCGAAGAATTGCATTAAACTTTTGAAATAGTTAAAAATATATTAAAAAATTCCACTAATTCCAACAGAATTGAAATTAACAATTTAAAAAAAATTAGTTCTACCGAATTGTTGATTATAAATGAAATATGAAAAATACATATTTTCAAAAACTTTAATTTTTGAAACCTTTTCAAAATTCAATTATTTCTAAGATTTCATGCTATAGATAATGCTTTTAATATTCAATTGTTTAAAATTTTAACTGAAATTCATTTTTAAATACAAAAACAAATTATTTTATTGAATAATTGAATGTTTCTCAAAAATTTAACTCTCAAAGATTTTTATCAACAAATTTTTAAATAATAGAATTTAATTATTAATTTTAGAATTTATCAAATTTTTGAATAATTGAATTCTTTAGACGAATTTTAATAAAATTTTCAAGAATTTTTATTTTTTGAGGAATTCGATTAAAATTGTATTAGAAATAATTGAAATTCAGCGATGAGTTTTATTATTCATGAAAATAATTGAATTTCTAAAATAAATTTTAATGCAAATAATGGAATTATATTAAAATCCCTGAAAATAATTAAATTCCTGTGAAATTTTTATTATTTTTTGTGAAAATAATTAAATATATACGCGCAAAATCTTATCAAAATTATTTTTAAATAATTGAATTCTTTGGGAAAATTTTATTAAAATTGCAGATATTGAAAATCGTTGAATTGAGGAAATTTTTTTTTTAATAATTGAAATTTTGACAAGAATTTTATTAAAATTTTTTGAAAATAATTGAATTTTGGAGAAGAATATTTTATTATTTATAAAGATAATTGAAATTTTGAAGAGGATTTGTTTCAAAATTTTTTAACATAATTGAATTTTTGCAAAGAATTTTATTACTTCTGAAAATAATTGAATTTCTGCAATCATTTTGTAACTTCTTCATAATTCAATTTTTTAAAGGGTTTTCAACTAAAATTCTTCTACAAATCCTTTAGTTTTAATAATTATTAATTAAATAATATATATTCAAAAATTGAACTAATTTCAGAGGAATTTGAATTATTAAAATTTTCTGATTTTTCCCTGATTTCCCAGATCAATTCTACTTTCCCTGAATTTTCTGACCTGTAGCAACCCTGTTTTTAATGGTAAAAAAATAAATGAAACCTACTGGGCGACAAGTTCCCAATTTTCATCCTCTAAATCTTCGCGATAAACTCTTATGTTACATTCCTCATCGAGTTGACACCAGTAAGATAATCCAGTTTTGTCTCTTCCCAAAGGTTCCAATCTCAATTCACTTCCAGTTTGTTTATTCAATTCGTTTTTGAATTTTTGATTAAAGTCGAATTGCGCCTCGAGAAGAACCTAAAATTGATTTTTTTTTGTCTTTATATAATCCATTATTAAATAAAACGAGAAATATAACTTTGATTTTTTCCCATACCTTTAGAATTCGTAATTTGACAGCAACACGTGACTTTTTGTATCCAAAACGCTCCAATTCCCAACCATCCTGATTAGAATAGGTGTGACAGAACTTTACCAAAGCTCTCTCCCATTTGTCAGCAGTGACAGATTTTCTCGTTTTTCGCATCAATTTTATGTGTAAATCAATTAAAGGTTGTGGCACTGCAAAAAAAAAAATTCTTCAGTTAAATTCGAATTTGCTTTCGAATATTCCCGCGTCGTTCTCGGAATTGACAAAAAAAAACCTTTTTTTTAAATCAACGATTTAGAAGAAAAAGTAAATTTCAATTCAAATGTTTAAGATTTTTCGATCAACAAATCAAACAGGAAAAATTTGTAAACGTAAAGTTTTTTTTTGAGAAAAGAATTGTTTTCTTCAAATCGTTGATGTTAAACGTCGAAATTAAACGTTGATTTAAAATTTTAAATTATTTTAACTTAAACGTGTTATTTTAACGATTCACAAGTTTTTAACGTCCAAATGAACAAAATATTTTTTACTACAACAAATATTTTCATAAATATTGCCAATTGCAATAAAAATTTCAATCAAAACTCAAATTTTATATTTTGAAGCTTTGTGATTAATTTTTGTGACAAGTGACGTAAATAATTATTGTAGTAAAAATTTAATTTCAGAAAGAAATAATTATAAACTTCGTTCAGTTGAACGTTCGGAACTTTGGGAGCATTTTTTAATTTTTTTCCCACAATGTTTATTTGGGTTAAAAATTTCTCGAAATTTTCTCTTCTTTAGACTTTTTCGTCTTTAAGTAAAGATTTTAGTTTTCTACTATTTTTTTTTTTGAGGAACTTTACTTAATATTTAATTTACAATTGAATATTTCGACAATATTTTTATTTAATTTGAAAGTAGGCAAATTTTTGGAGTAATTGAAATATTCAAAATTTCAAACATTTTCGCGAAAGAAAATATTTTTCCAAAAAACCTGGAATTTTCTCCTCTAAACATCTTTTTGCAGTGGGTGATAAAAAAAATAAATAAATCGACAAGTCAAATAGACTCAACGACAGTGAAATGAAAGCGCTATTGTGCTTAGAAGTAAAAAAAAAAGGGTTGGCTCGCCTATAGAATCTTCATTTTAAACAAAAATCCAATAGAAATGTGTGGTGGATATTCGAAAAAAAATCACGTGGATGAAATAACAAACTCGCGGTGGTCAAGGAGAGAAGAGGGATAATGTAAAACCTCGGAAGGAAAACGTGGAACAAAATAATAACAAGAAAACAAATACGAATCTATCCGTCAATATCAGGCGGCAATCACTAAATTTTGCTCTCGACTCTCGAAAAACATACAAGTGGAGTTATTTTTTTTTGGTTAGAAAAAAGAGAATTTATAATTCTAATTCGATTCTTTGGAAATATTAAAAAATTTTCTTGCTGCAAAGAAAGAAAAACTAAATTAACCCGGAAGGAAAAATGAATTGGGAAAGGTGCGGGAAAGGAGCGCCCGTTTTCAATTCAATGAAAATTTCCACTCACCATCTTGTGTATTTTCAATCATTTCCTGAAGCTGTGCAATATCAGGATATTCAATGCCACATTTTTTGCCAAAACATTCAAGAAATGAGCAAATCACAGCGAAATTTGGGTCACTCACGCAGGAGGCTTCGTTATCGGACGCCATTTTTCCGCCGCTCTTGCCCGTCGTCGTCGGTCGTCGCGCCTCGCACACACTTGTGTCTCTAATTGAGAGAGAGAGAGAGAGGGGCCTTTACCGACTCATCACAAAAGTACCATTTTTTTTTTTTTAATCTTCTTTCAATACATAAAACAATAAAAATTCCTTTGAATATTTCACTAGTTGAAAATTAGTATATAAAATATTAAAAATGACGCCTTTAGGATGTCGAGGGGGCCAAACTAGAACGAGACGCTTCCTGGACGATACACCGCTCCGAAAACGTAACACGCACACCGCACCACAACATACACTGACCCCTCCCCACCCACCCCCCGGCCAGGGTGTCTAACAAAAATTGCAGACACCTCTGGCTGTTTTTTCTACTTCTTAATTTTCCTCTATTCGCCAGCGATTTTTTGTTTTACGATGCACCAAAAAGAAAAAAAAAAGGAAGAGTAAAAAAAAACACTAAACTTGTCACTTTCTCTCTCACATTGTACGTAACTTGGCAAATTTACAAAGAATAGCGTTGCCGTTGTTCAATTGCCACACCATTCAATATTCCTGGGTGTTTTTTTTTTTCCTCACTATTTCGGTTTTCTTTTTATGCGAGCGCAAAAAATTTATTCGCTCCTTGAACGAAACACCGCGAAATTAGCACTGAATAACTCCGAACGATGCCTATTTCGCCTTCCTTTCGGGCTCTCTCGGTCTCTCGGTTCTTCGGCATCGACAACAGATCATAAATCGTCCCAACTGAATGATCACCACTGTCCTACAGGTGCGTAACAATAGAATTCAAACACCATCACCCCCCTCTTTCATAATTATAAACAAAGTTTTTTTTTTTTTTTTTTTTTTAATTTCTCTTTTACTTCGTAATTTCTATTCAAAATTTAAAGAATAATTTCGAAATAAAAAAAATTATTATTTTAAAAAGAAATTTTTTGATATTAAAAATATTTTTAATGATTCAATAGGAGTAATTTTCTTTTTTGGAAAAAGTATAGCCGTTCGACATGGACAAATAGAAACACTTCTTTTCTATAAATTAATTTTTTGGGGGGTTTTTTTTTTAATAAAATAGAATTGATAGGGTTTTAATGGTCTTTTTTTTGGAGAATTTGAGAGATTGTGAGGGAAGTGTGAGGAGGGAGGGAGGGGGGATTATTACAAAGTAACCAGGGGCGAAAAGGTCAAAAGTTGTGCCCTTCACTTTAAAAGTTGGCATTATACAACACACAACCCCCTTCTCTTAACTTTCATGCTCGACGTGTTCAGTTTACATGAGTTTTACCATTCACCTTCAAAGAAATAAATGTTGGAGGCAAAGAGTTTTTTTTTTTTTTTTTTTTGAAACAATTGCACTATGGTTAGTTTTCTAAGAAATGCGAGTATACACCTCGTGTGGACATAAATTCTGATAATAAAACCCGAACAAAAAATGTGTCTTCAAAATTGTAGAAATAGATTTTTTTTTTTCAATACCTTTTTTCTCCCAATCTTGTTATTTATTGTTCCTATCAATTTTGATATTCACGTGCTAATCATTCAAATAATTCTTTTTCTTAGAGGGAAATTCAAAAAAAACGAAAATTTACCTTCGTTGCATAAATTTTATTTGCAGTACTAAACTGTTTGTTCTTTGTTTATAACTTTTTGAACTATATTAATAACTTTGAAAAGTAAAAAGTTTGTCGAGGGAGTTGAAAAACTCTTCTTTAGTTTCTTGTATTGTAATTGTTGTAATTTTCTGTTTTTCTACTTTGGAATTCTTTTTTTAAAAAAAAGGCTTTCTAGCTAGAAGCCGCAATCGATCGACGACCACGGAGTCAAAAGAGGGTGTTTCCTTACTTGCTCTAACGATCAAAGCTGATTTCGTAGAACTAGAGATAGTTGAATTGGAAGAATTTGAAAAAAAAGAATTACTTAACATGAGGATTGATTGTTGAAATTAGAAATTAATTGTTTTTATTACTACTGAGTAGATCAATATTTAAATTAGAAGAGGAAACGAAATTGATTGGAATTTAAAAGTTTTTGTGTAAACTTCAATAAATCAAAGTTTACTTTTTACGAGAGAAATGAATATTCACTTGAGGAAAGTGAATATATTAGGGTCGGGTGGAAATTTACTTATTGAAAGTGAAAATTTACCTAATTGTTGATAATTCAACACAAAGATTCGCTTACAACAAGTTATTGTAAGCGAAAATATTCATTTTTTGAGAGTTAATAGAGTCGCTTATTAAAAAGGCAATAATCACTTTGAATATGTGAATTTTCGCTTTCCATAATATACGAATATTTGGTTTCCAAAAGTGAATATTCACATATTCAATAAGTGAATATTCATTTATAAAAAATAAATGTTCACTTGGTAAAAGTCAATATTCACTTATTAAATGTGTAAAATTATTTACATAAATTGTATAGAGTGAAAATTCACTTTGTTAATATTCACTCCTTGGAAGTGAATATTCACTTGGTTAATATTCACTAATTAAAAGTGAATATTCAGTCACTTAATATTCACTAATTAAAAGTGAATATTCAGTCACTTAATATTCACTTATTAAATATATAAAATTACTTATGTAAATTGCAAAGTGAAAATTTACTTATTAAAATTAAATATTCACTCACTCAATATTCACTTATTGTATAGTAAAACTTTACTAATTACACACTAAAAAAAAAGTTTTACTTTTAGCCTGTTTTCGAGGCTGAATTTAAGGTGTAAACGGAGTCAGCCCCATTAAACAAGGACAGACTTATGTGAAATACATGGGCTGAATTTAAGGTGTAAACGGAGTCAGACTTTTTTTTTCTTGTGTAAAAGTGAATTTTCGCTTAATTAATATTCACTTCTTGAAAATAAATATTCATTTTATAATATTCACTACTTGAAAGTGAATATTTTGTTATTAAAAATGAATATTCACTTAGAATAAGTGAATTTTCACTTTACATATACGAATATTTAGATTCCAAGAAGTGAACAATTAAAAATGAATATTCACATTCAGTTAAGTGAATGTTCATTTTTGAAAAAAATAATGTTCACTTACTATAAGTCAAGACATTGACTAATTAAATGTGTAAAATTATTTATGTAAATCGTAATGTGCACTTATTAAAAGTGACTATTCACTTTTAATGAATTCTCATTTGGAAGTGAATATTCATTTACGGTTAATATTCACTCATTGAAAGTAAATATTCACTTATTAAATGTGTAAAATTATTTATGGAAATTGTACAGTGAAAATTCACTAATTAAAAGTGAATATTCACTTTAAATAAGTGAAATAAAAAAAATTATTAAAATGAATTATTGTAAAGTAAAAATTTACTTATTAAGAGTGAATATTCACTCACTTAATATACACTTATTAAATGTATAAAATTATTTATGCAAAGTAAAAATCCCCTAATTAAAAGTGAATCTTCTCTTAATTAATATTCACTCCTTGAAAATAAATATTCATTTTATAATATTCACCACTTGAAAGTGAATATTCTCTTATTAAAAAATCAATATTCACTTTGAATAACTAAATTTTCACTTTACATATACGAATATTTAGTTTCCAAAAAGTGAATATTTATTCATTGAAAATGAATAATCACATTCAATAAGTGAATGTAAATTTTTGAAAAAAATGTCCACTCAGTATACATTGACTAATTGAATGTGTAAAATTTACTTTATGTAAATCGTAAACTAAAGATTCACTTATTAAAGGTGAATATTCAATTTTTTTAAGTGAATATTCACTTCCAAGTGAAAATTTACTTATTAAAATTGAATATACACCTTTAATAAGTGAATCTTCACTTTACGATTTAAATAAAGTAAATTATAAGTGAATTTTCATTTGGAAGTGAAAATTCACTTTAAAAAATTGAATATTCACTTTCAAGTGAAAATTTACTTTTAAAAATTGAATATTCACTTTTAATAAGTGAATCTTCACTATACGATTTACATAAAGTAAATTTTAAGTGAATTTTTATTTGGAAGTGAATATTCACTTTTAATAAGTGAATCTTCACTATACGATTTACATAAAGTAAATTTTAAGTGAATTTTTATTTGGAAGTGAAAATTCACTTAAAAAATTGAATATTCACTTTCAAGTGAAAATTCACTTTTAAAAATTGAATATTCACTTTTAATAAGTGAATCTTCACTATACGATTTACATAAAGTAAATTTTAAGTGAATTTTTATTTGGAAGTGAATATTCACTTTTAATAAGTGAATTTTTATTTGCGATTAATGTTCACTCATTGAAAGTGAATATTCACTTATTAATTGTGTAAAGTTATTTATGGAACTTGTACAGAGAAAATTCACTAATTAAAAGTAAATAAATATATTCACTTAATTATAGTATTCATTCCTTGAAAAGTGAATATTCACTTGGTTGTTAATATTCACTCCTTGAACAAGTGAATATTCACTTATTAAAAGTAAATATTCATTTATTAAATATGTAAAATTATTTATGTAAATTATAAAGTGAAAATTCACTTATTAAAGTGAATGTTCACTTATTTCTGAAGTGGAAGAATTTTGAAACATAAATATTTGAATATGCACTTATTCATAGATTTAGAGAGGAATAAGTGAATATTCACTTATTGAAAATAAATATTTACTTCACTTAACATTAAAAAAATATTCGTCTTATTACAATGAGAAGTATAAGTAGAATAAGTAGAATAAGTAGATAAGTTAATAAGTGGAATAAGTGATTATAAGTAGAATAAGTCAATAAGTGGAATAAGTAGATAATAAGTTAATAAGTGGAACAAGTGAGATTAAGGATGATAAGTGAATATAAGTGAAAATTTAGTCTTATTTCCAGTAAATGTTCCTTTCTTATAAACTAAGTTTTAAAACTAAAAAATAAATATAAAAGAAATTTGGTTCAAGTTTCATAAAAATTTGTTTTGAAAGTTTCTTTTTAAAGGCAGTAGAGTATTGGATTTTGTTTCTCGAGTAATGAGAATTTATTGACTGTATATATATAGGGTAGATATTGATAAGCAAAGAAATGAATAAATGAATGAATCCTCAACCACGAGTTTTCCTCCATGTAGAAAAGAGGAGGAGAGAGAGAGAGAGAGAGGGCGAGAACTCAATGAAAATACCTTCGCGATATTCGAATTTAACTTTCAGCAACTGTTGCATCCCCCTGGCTAAAGCCCAACTAATGTAATACAATTAATAACCGGCAATTAACAATATCCATTTTTTTTTTTTTATAAAAACAGGAATTATGGAAAAAAAATTTTATCTCTTTACGAATAGTGTATTTATGGAAATTTTGAAAGAAAAGTTTTATTTTTCTTTCAAAATTTCCTAGAAACTTTTCCGCACGCTTTCCAAACTTTCGATGAAAAGCAGCCGCTTTAGTGACATTTTTTCCTCTCCCTACTAAAAAAAATTCCCCAATTTCACATATGTAAAAAAATATTCTCTCATTTAAATTTTTTTCAAAAATAAAGAAATACAAAAAAATACCCCCCAACCCCCCCGTCATTGGTTATTCAATAATAACACGTTTTCTGCATCAATATGAAGCATGTAAAATATATTTTTTTTTCATTCTTTCTTTTTTTAACAAAAATAATCTCCACGAGAGTGTATCGTACGTAAGATTAAACTTACGACCTTAATACAATATCGTAAAGCACAAAGATGGACACTCTTCTCATGAGTCACTTTTTCAAAATAATATTGAAATTTGTTTTTCTTTTTTTTATATAAGTAATATTTTTTTTACATTCTCTAATTTAAACTTAAATTAGTAACATTTGTAGTATTTTTTCTATACATATATGTATATATAAATACATATATATGTATGTAAAATACCTCACACTTTTTTTTCTATACAAAAGTATTAAACTAAATTATATTCATATTTTTTTTTCTCTTTTAACATTTCTGGAATCCAAGATATCGAGTAAGTTTACGATTATTTATATATATATTTATATATTTATATATTACAATAACGTTCAAGTTTTATGAACAAGTCAGCCGTCAGTCGTTTTATGCTTTAAAATGAAGATATTCTTCTAAAAGAAGTTGTGTAGAAAATTTGCAAAAAAAAAACAAAAAAACAAAAAATTCTAATTGTATTTAGAAAAATTAGAAATTTTGTACAAAGTTTAAGTATAATTTTAAGTTAGAAATTTCAATGTTGTATTTTTTAAATAGTATTTTAATTAAATTCATTTAGATTTAAATATTTTTTAAAATAAATATTTTGTTTTTTTAATTTTTATATATGCGAAGTTACAATTTTAATGAAAATTTTACTATTAAATGAAATTCAATATTCGAATTAAAAATTTGAAATTGAATTAAAATTTCCAAAAACTAAAACTTTCATTTTCAATATTTTTCTAAATTTAAATTCATTTTGAATTAAATGTTTTTTAAAAAAATTTTAATTGTTTTTTTTATTTTTTTTTAATTTCTACAATATAATTACAATTTTAATAAGAATTTTCTATTAAATAAAATTCAAAATTTTAATTACAAATTTTTATTTTTATTAAAAATTTACCAAAGACTAAAATTTTGAATTTTAATATTTTTCTCAATTTAAATTCATTTAGATTTATTAAATATATTTTTTAAAAATTTTAACTTATTTTCTTTATGTGGAATATTTGAATTAAAATTCTAATCAGAACTTTCTATTAAATAAATTTAAAAATTTTATTTTGAATTAAAATTTCTCTAAAAATTAAAATTGAAAATTTTAATATTTTTCTAAATTTAAATTCATTTAGATTTAAATATTTTTCTAAAAAAAAATCTAATTTTGAATTTTAAAAAATTGTTATAAAAAATAAATTTTTCAATTTAATATGAAAGAAAATAAATATTTTTCAAATTGTAATTATATAAAAATGAAAATATCCACGACATATAAATTATAAAGAGGAATTTTTGCAAATGTTTTTTAATTTTAATTCGAAAAATTAGTATTTTTGCAAAAAAAATTAAATAGCAAAAATAAAATATAACACGTAAGTTGTGTACAGAGTTTACAAAAAAAAATTTTCAATTTCAATTAGAAAAATTAAAATTAAATTTCCAATATTAGTTTTTAAAAATTATTTTACAAAGAAATGGAGAGTAATTTTAATTTTTCTAATAATTCCCAAAGAAAATGAAGATGTAAAAGCGAAATTTAAAAATCTTTTTTTTTTAAACAAGAAAAATTGTTTTTTTTTCCTACTTTTCGCGTTCACTTCTTCATTGAATAAAGAAAACTGAGTAGAAAAAAATTTCCATTTTTCAGAGGAGAGAAATTATTTTTCATAATCAGAATTCTTGGAAAAAATAATTGAAAATAAATAATCTTGATAAAAATTCACTGATTCGTTTTTTGAGCTGTAAAATTTTTTATCTGCTGCTTATACACTTCGGCTTCCTCGACTTTTTTCTGAAATCGCTTTTTGTACACTGCTATTTCCCTTCTTGCTTCCGCTAATTGTCTGCTGAGCTCGGCAACATCGGTTATTGGTTCGGAATTATCCTCCGAAAAATTATTATCATCTTCTACCTCTTCTATTTCGTCTTCTAATTGTAATATCACTGGTTCTGGCACTTTTATTGGTGATGCTGCTTTTGTTTTTTGCTATTTTGTCAAAAAAAAAAAAAAAAAAAAAAAAAAAAATGAAGAGAAAAGGATAATTTTATTAGTAAGAAAATTTTGTAGTGAAAAATATTTTTTAATATTTACCTTGGGGGTTGTATTTTTCGGCGGCGTGAGCGTCGGAACGGTCGTTGAATTCGTAACTGGATTAATAAAAACCTTTCCCGATTTTGACTCAATGGCGTTCCTTTTCAAAATATTTGGCGCTCGTGCAGTTATTCCGGATTGATTGTGGGCTAAAAATTGATCAGTCCGAATGGCAATTAATTTCTTTGACGATCCCTTTTTCGCACCGAATTGTAATCGTTTTATGCTCAGTGGCGGCGATCTTGTTAAGTTTAATGCCAATTTTCCCGCTTCTGTAAAAAGAAAAAATTATTTTTCCCTATTTTTTGGTTTTTAGCTCGAAATTCTTCACCACGAGCAGCAAAAATGTTTAATTTCTTGTTCAAGAAGCAAAAATCATTTATTTGTCAATTCTTTTTCGATCAGCCAAAATTATTTATTTGCCTCTTCAAACAGAATTATTTACTTGTAATTTCTTTTTCGAAGAGCAAAGCTTATTTGAATCAGGTCTCGGATTGACTTTAATGAATCAAAAAAGTCGCTTTAGTCGATTACAAATAGAAAAAAATGTCGAAAAAGTCGTTTATTTAATTCAGTGTTGTCAGAAAAGAATTTATTTTGAATTTCTCTGATTTTTCACTGATTTCTAAATTCAATTAATTAAAACTTCAATAATTTTGCTAAATAAATATTTATAAATCCTTCTTATTTCTTTTTCATGGGAAATAAATTTAAAAAAATTCCAACTTCTAAAATTAAATAATTTCTAATAATCACAACTATAACCCTTCCAAAATTCAATTATTTTCTACAACTTTTAACTAAACTAAAATTTATTAAAAAATAATTGAAATTTGGTAAAATCCTTAAAAAATAATTGAAATTTGACCAAATTTTTAAAAAAATAATTGAAATTTGGTAAAAACCTTAAAAAATAATTAAAATTTGGTAAAATCTTTGAAAAATAATTGAAATTTGATAAAATTTATTAAAAAATAATTGAAATTTGGTAAAATCCTTAAAGAATAATTGAAATTTGATCAAACTTTTTAAAAAATAATTGAAATTTGATAAAATTTATTAAAAAATAATTGAAATTTGGTAAAATCCTTCAAAAATAATTGAAATTTCATCAAATTTTTTTAAAAATTATATTGAAATTTGGTAAAATCTTTGAAAAATAATTGAAATTTGATAAATTTGTTAAAATCTTGAAAAATAATTGAGTTTTTAAAAAATATAAAAAAATAATCAAATATTTGAAGAATTTTAATTAAAAATTTTGAACATGATTTTTTTCCAAAATATATTAGAAATAATTCTAAAATGAAAAAATTCTGAGAATTAGTTTATTCAAAAATATTTTTATATTATTTTTATAACCTAATTTTCATTAATTTTCATTTTTATTAAATTTACACATTGAAGATTTTTCATTAAAATGTTTGAGAATTCAATTATTTCCAAAATTTTCAATTAAAATTCCTTTAAAATTATTTTTTTTTCAAAAATTGATGAAAAAATGATTTCTTTTCAATTAAATTTTACAAAATTTCAATTATTCAAAATCTTTTTAATTATATATTTCAAAAATTTAATTAGAAAAATTATTTAAAAATGACTTTTTAAATATTTGTCTATTATACTTTTCACACTAATAAAAATCGAAATAAGTTGCATTTTATACTAAAAAATATGGTACTTTGTCGCAAAATTTGGAAGAAAAGTCGGAAAAGTCGCAGTATTCAAAAATAGTCGAAAAAAAGTCAAAATAGTCATAATATCAGAGGCCTGTTGATTTTAACATCTGATTCGAGCAAAACAAAAATTATTTATTTGCAATTTTAAACAGAAATTAATTAAAGAAAAAAAGAAAAGTTACAAATAAATAATTTTCGTAATAATTCGAAATATTATTGTATTTAAAGAAAATTAAATTTAATTTACCAGTTAGAACGACAGTTTGTCCGCTTTCCATTGCATTTTCGACAATTGTATCATTGTCCATCATCATTGCAAGTCCGTGCGCTTGTAACAATCTTAAAGGTTGATCAATTTCCACGCTCTCCAGATCTTTGTGCTTTTTACTATTTCCCGGTGATGAATTATTATTCATATTCGTAATACTGCCCAGGTCAAATTCCTGATCCTCATCGCTCGCTGATGAAATTGGTACTTGACGGAAAATTACCCTCTCCTTCTTGGCTGAAAATTTTTTTTTTTATTAGCAAGAAAGCTTAAATTTAAATAAAATAAAATAAATCTCCACTGAGATTTATTCAGGCTATGCAAATAAAAAAATGTAAATTAGAGGAATTGAATGAAATGCAAGTCGAGGCCAGCATTCTTTTTAATCGACATTTTTTTGCGCCATAAAGTCGATCCGAGGATCGAAAAAAAAAAAAAGAAAAAAATATCTGAGGCCTGGCAAATGGTTTTTTCCTCGTTTTGCGACTCACCAGAATTTGGTTTACGTTTAGGTACAGCGTCTGGTAATTGAAATTTGACTTGATGATCCTTTTGCCTCTCGCTTTCCAGATCGACTAAATTTTGTGTAGCAACTTCCAATTCAACAGCACACGATTGCCCATGAAATGTACTGACTCTCTCCTGTTGTAAAAGATCCACCAAATCCAATCTATCCTTCTCCAGGGCAATACTAATTGGCGTTTTATTAAATTTACTGTTTGCGTTCGTATCAGCCCCATTGTCCAATAACACGTGAATTACTTCTAAATTCTGTTTCTCTACCGCCCAATGCAGTGGAGTCATTTTTAGCTGAAACAATCATAATGTTTATTCATTTTATTAATTTCATTTAGGAAAAATAGTTTTCTTTCAAAGAAGAGAGATTCTTTTAGAAAAAATAGTTTTCTTTCAGGGAAAAGAGTTTCTTTAAAAAAAATAGTTTTCTTTCATGGAAAAGAGTTTCTTTAAAAAAAAAATAGTTTTCTTTCATGGAAAAGAGTTTCTTTAGAAAAAATAATTTTCTTTTAGAGAAAATATATTTCTCTCTTCAACTGTTTACCAATTTATCAATTTTTGTCCTTTTGGTATTTTTATTCAATTTTTGAGCCAATTTTTCAAAAATTTCCGTTTTTCACCGATCCACAAAATTTTAACGTTCAAATGAATGAAATATTTCTTATCTAATAAATATTTACAGAAATTACTGACTGCAATAAAAATTAGGAACTCAAATTTTACATTTAGTAATTCAATTACTATTTCCTAGATTTTTTTAACTAAAATTCTTCATTTAATCAATTATTTTAAATAATTTTTAAAAAAGTTCTTTGACAATTTTCAAGTCCATTTGTTTACAATTCCTTTTTACTAGTTACGAAATTTCGATTATTCTATGTCGGAAATTCTTCAATTTATGTTAGAAAATCAAAGACTTCAAATAATTTTTAAAAAATTCAATAAAACCTTTTCAAAAAAAAATTATTTCTACAGAATTATTAGTTAAAAGTGTGAAAAATTCAGATTTTCAAAGATTTTAATTTGAAACCTTTTGAAAATTCAATTATTTCTAAAAATTCACGCTAAAATGATTTTAAAATTCAATTATTATCTAAAATTAAAACTGAAATTCATTTTTAAATCGATATTTATTAGAAAATTCTACGAGAATTCAATTATTTAAAGACGAAAATAAATAATTTATTGAAAAGTTGATTGTTTCTTAAAATTGAATTTTTTTTTACGAATTTTAATAAAATTTTCCAGAATAATTACATTTTTCGTGAAATTCGATTGCAATATTAAAAATAATTATGAAATTCTGCTATGAATTTTATTATTTATAAAAATAATTTAATTTTTAAAACTAATTTTATTATTCTTCAAAATAATTAAATCCTTGTAGTATTGTTGTATTTTTTTAAATAATTAAATCCTTGTAGTATTGTTGTATTTTTTTAAAAATAATTAAATTCTTTTGGAAAATTTTTTTTTAATGATTAAATTTTTTTGGAAAATTTTTTTTTAATATTTGAATTCGTTTGGGAAATTTTATTTTAATACTAGACATTGAAAACAATTGAATTGAGGAAAATTTTTGAAAATAATTGAAATTTTTCCAAGATTTTGTTATTTATATACAGATAATTGAAATTTTGATGAGAATTTAAAAAAAAAATTTTGAACATAATTGAATTTCTGCGAAGAATTTTATTTACTCTTTAAAATAATTGAATTTAAAAAATTCAATTATTTGTAAAAATTCATGGTATAATGATTTTAAAATTCAATTATTATCTAAAATTTTAACTGAAATTCAATTTTAAATGAATTTTAATTAGAAATTCTACTAGAATTCAATTATTTAAATATGTACAAAAAGAAATAATTTATTGAGTAATTAAATGTTTTTTGTAGATTGAATTCTTTTGACGAATTTTAATAATATTTTTCAGAATAATTACATTTTTCGAGGAATTCGATTAAAATTGTATTTTAAACATAATTGAAATTCTTCATTGAATTTTATTATTTATGAAAAGAATTAAATATTTGCGTTGAATTTTATCTAGATTTTTTTTAAATAATTGAATTATTTCCTAAAATTTTATAAAAATAGTAGATATTGAAAATAATTGAATTGAGGAAACTTGAAATTTTGCCATAAATTTTATTAAAATTTTTGAAAATAATTGAATTTCGGAGAAGAATTTCATTATTTATAAAGATAAGTGAAGTTTTGACCGGAATTTAAAAAACTTTTTGAACATAATTGAATTTTAGCGAAGAATTTTATCACTTTTGAAAATAATTGGATTTTTTCAAAAGTCTATGTTCTTTAAAATTTCTAATTAAATTCATTCAAAATTGATATTTTATAAAATTACAAATTGAAACCTCTTGAAGTTCATCTATTCATGAAAATTGTAAAAAAAAATGTAAATTCAATTAATTTTGAAATATTTAAGTAAAAATATTCATTAAATTATTTTGAATAATAATTTTATGATAGATCTTCAAGAATTAAGTTATTTAAAGAGAAATTATTGTCAGAAATAGAAAAAATTGAAGGCTTTGTTTTAGAATTCGTAATAATTTTATAGTTTATGTGACAAAAAAAAAAAAAATTTAATTAAATTAATTAATTTTCATTCAAAATTCAACAAACAAAATCAAAATTCAGAATTTTTTTTTAATTTTAGAAATTTAATTTTTTTTCTAGTATTTTTCAATAAAAATCCCCGACTTTTCTCTGATTTTCCTAATCTTTGGCAACTCAGATCAAATATTTACATAAATTACTGACTGCAACAAAAATTAGAAACCTAAATTTTACATTTAGTAACTTTTTCATTAATTGTTTTGATAGTGACACAAAATTAGTTGTAATATAAATTTAATTTTAAGAAGAAATGAATAAATTTCGTTCGTCTGAATATTCGGAACTTTAGAATCACGTTTTTTTTAAAATTAATTCAGTAATTTTTTTTCAATTACCATATCGCGACTATCGACGTCTGCTCCATATTTAAGGAGTAATTGTGCCATTTGATGATGTCCCTCATAAGCAGCCAAATGTAAAGGTGTACGATCAACTTTAGTTCGTGCATCTCTCGATATTCCAGCTCTAAGCAAAACCTCAGCAGTTTCCGTATGATTTTTCTGAGCTGCCAAATGCAATGCACTCGTTCCCAACTGAAAATAAATATTCCTTTCAATAAAAAGAGAATAAAAATAATAACAAATAATTACAAATAATAAATAAATAACGAATAAAATACTAATTTCGTACTTTACTTTTACTTTTGACACTTTACTATCAAAATTGTTTCAAAATGTTTCATTTACGTTCTTGATTTTCATTCCCAGTGGTTATTTAAAAATATTTTAATTAAAAATTCAGTATTTTGAAAAATAGATTTTTCGAATTTCTCTGGTGGATTATTTTTACTTTTTAGTATTAAAGAACATTTTTTTTTACCCCGTCTGTTGTGAACGGTGCCCCTCGACACATGAGATCTCTAACCAAATCTGTAGCTCCATTTCTTGCACACTCGAGAAGTTGTTTTCCCAATTCAACTATGGACAAGGCATCCTGTGATCGATTTCGCTGTATAATATCACAGGACAAAATATAATTCTCCTCCTGAAAAAAAGAAAAACAATTAAATTCGAGGAAAAAAAAACAAACGCCAGGAGAAAAAAACAACAATAAAACGACAAACATACATTTTACACAAACAATAAATATTTATACACAACAATAAACAGACAAAAAGAATCGAAAAGAACATGAAATTTAATTTAGACATTTAAATAAATAAATAAATAAATAAATTTTTACTAAAAAAAAATTTACTCACTGGAATGAATGTTTCAGCTTCAAATCCATCGATGACGTTTGTACAAATCTCCGCTTGCATTTTCTTTTACTTCTCCAAAAAAAAAAAATTATCAACCTATTTTCCGATGCACTCTAAAAAGAAAATATTTATAAAAATACTTTACATATCTCAATTTAATAAATATTTCCAAATTTAAAAATTCAGAAAACATTTTCAGCTCGGCCTTGAATGACAAAAATTTGTTATAGAGAAAACAGAAAAAAAAAGATGGAATTGAAGTCGAGACGAAATTATTGAATATTAATTTCAATCTTGAATTGATTCTTATTTTATAATTGTGTTTTTTAAGAAATTAATTTTTCGAAATTTCCTTCTGTACAGGATGTTTTTATTTTTGTCATATAAAAGACAAGAGTTGAACTTCCTGTTCCTGTTCGATTGAACGGAAGTCCCTTGCCATAGGCCATGCGCTTCTAGTTCACATCAAAACCATATACACATACACACTAAAAATCGTGTCGACATTGTTTCATTTGTTCTTTTCTTTTACTTACAAGGTATGCATTATTTCTCCATTAAACAACAAAATACGATGGATTTTCAATGGAAATTATTAATGAAAATATGTTGGATGGGGAAAATTTACGGCAACCAGAGTTCAACTTGATTTTAACAGAGAGACACGACACAACACTTTGAGAAAAAAAATGGCGTCCCTATTGGCGCCATCATTCACGCGCATTCTCAATCAAATTTTCATTTTATAACCAACATTTTTTTTACTTAGAGGCAGGTTCTTTCAAATTATTCATTAATGTACAAAATAAATAATGTATTTTTAATCGTTTTTTCACGAAGTGTGGAAAATTTTAAAGGTGAATGGAATTTTTTTTTTTATTGTTGACAATTGCGAACGATTGCAGCGTCACGTTACGGTGAATGGGGAGAAAGTGAATTCTGTTGAATCTCGTTTTCTATTGGTCGAGGGAAAATTGTCCATATTTCAAGTTATTTAAAGAAATAGTTGTTTTAAACCTTTTAAACAAAATAGAAATAGATATTAGGGTAAATAAATTGACAAATAAATTAGAAATTATTGAATAAATAATAAAGTAATTAAGTAATTAAAATTTTTTAAAATTAGAAAATGGATTGAGAAATAATGTCGATTTTTCTCTGGAGTGGGGAGTAGGCTTTTGTCGCTCACGAAGCATTTTGTCGACTCGGGAAATAAATACTTTCAGCCAACGCTCATTTCACTTTGTAGTACACTGGTTCTCGTCCGATCACCAAAGTTAAGCAAATTTGAGCGCGGTTAGTACTTGGATGGGTGACCGCTTGGGAATACCGCGTAGTGTTGGCTTCCTCTTTTTTTTTATTATTACTAATATTTTAAATATTTTTTTACGGAGTTATTAAAATTTTTTATAATTTATTAAAATTTTTTAAAGCCAAAAAATTTTTAGAAATAAGATGTTTTTGGTTAATAATCGAAAATTAATATACAATTTTTATTTTAATAAATGTTATTAAATTATTAAATTTATTTTAATAATAAATAATTTTTTAATAATCCTTAACATTATAACTATTAATATTAATACACTCAGAGAAAAAGTTTATTTCACTTAACCAAACTATTTAATTAACCTATTTTATTTGTTACGATAAAACAATTTCGTTGATTTAAATAAAAATTTATTAAAATTTAAGAAAATATTTGAAGAATTAAAAGAATTGCCGTTCTAATTCTTGGAAATAATTAAATTTCAAGAGGTATTTTTAAATTTTAATTTCTGATGGAAAAATAAACAGCAATAAGTATTCGAATATTTATATTAAATAACAAAAACTAAAGAAATTTTAGAAATTTTATTTAAAAATTATGAAAAAATGAGTTTTTTAAAAAATCGTAATTAACATTTTTTGAAAATAATTGAATTCACGAAAATAAATTTTAAAAATTGAAAAAATAGTTTCTCAAATTTCATTAAAATAAATTTTAAATATTTATTATTGTATTTTTTGAAGAATTTTAACTAAAATTTTGAAGAATAATTAAATTTTACAATAATTTTTGAATTTAAATAATTTTATTATCGTTGATAAAAAGAATTAATTTAAAAAAGAATTTTAGTTAAAAATTTTGAAAAAGAATTGAATATTAGAAGCGTTATATAACAATAAAGTTTAAGAAATGAAAGAAGGAAGTTTAGTAAATAATTACATTTTAAAAAATTATTTTTAAAATTAAAAATTAAAAATAATAATTATCAAAAGTTATTATATTGAAAAGATGTCATTTTGAAATTTTAATTCCTTCATGATAAATAAATAATAATAAGTATTCAAATATTTATTAGACAAAAATTAATAAAATTTGAAAAATTTTATTTAGAAACTCTTAAAAAATGAGTTTTTTTAAAAAAAAATCGTAATTAAAATTCTTTAAAAATAGTTAAAATTAACGAAAAGAATTTTAAAACAATGAAAAATAGGAAATTTTATGAAATTTTATTAAAATAAATTTTATATTTCAGAGGATTTTATTTTCTCACTTTAAAAAATTATTTAGAGATATTATTATATTTTTTGAAGAATTGTAACTAAAAAATTTGGAAAATAATTAAATTTTACAATAATTTTTGAATTTAAATAATTTAATTATTGTAGAATTCTAGTAAGAATTGATTTCAAAAGAATTTCAGTTAAAATTTTAGAATTATTTTATTCAAAAATTCTAAATAGTAATTGACTTTTGGAAAAATTGCTTTTGTAATTTTCAGAAATAATTAAATTTCAAAAGGTTTAACATTGAAATTATTTGAAATTTTAATAAATATATCTAAAAGTATTTATGTAAATATTTGTTTAATAAAAATTATTGGAGTTTTGAATAATTTAATGTAGAAATTCTAAAAAAAATTAGCTTTTTCAAAAATTGTAATTAAAATAATTTTTTTAAATTATTTATTCCCGAGAATAATTTAAAAAATTAAAACAAAAATACGTACTGCGCAGAATTCCTAAATAATTACTAAGAATAATTACTAAATAACTACTTAGGAATTCCGAAATAACTACTAAAGAATTACCAAACAATTATTTAAAAATTAACTACAAAATAATTTCTAAATACTAAAATACAGTAAAAATACCTACTAAATAATTATTAAATCTACTGAATTATAACTAAATAGTTACTAAATAAAACAGTTGAAGTAAAATAACAAAGTGTGAAGAAAGAAAAATCCGACAAGAGAAACGTGTTATATTTTTATAGGGGATTTTCGTTTCCTCTTTAAGAAAACAAAAAGCACATAAAATTTAGGTCAACGTTGCGCCTCTTAAATTCGCATTAGATAAAATTTAAATTATTTCTCCATTCATCCTTAGACTCGTCCTTAGATTATCATCACTCTTCATACTAAAAAAAAAATTAGATCATTTGCAAATTTACGCGATAGTATTTCGACAAGCACAAACAAAAGGCATACTGTCATCAGACTTAATTTCCATTTTAGTCGCAATGAAGCATATATACATATACATATAGGATAGTATATAAATGTAGAGAATGTAGAAACTGAGTTTGATGCAACAGAAGCATATCAAGTATATATATCCGCATCCATACAACGTTCTATATACTGTCATAATCAGATATATATACACATTTAACTATTCCATACTTGATAACAATGAAACTTTAATTATAGACTTTATCATTATTAGATATAGTTCACAAATATGTTTACTTCATTGTTATTATAATTAACTCGTTATAACAAATCACTGTATATATATATGCTCTAAATCATAATATTGTATAATTATAATTGTATTCCAATCATAATGGATTGTTTGGTTTTTCATCACTTTATTAATAATTATCAATAAGGTGATGATAAAATTTATTATAAATCTGAAAAATAATTATTCTAAAATATACTCAGCTCGTCTATTTTAGAATATTTTGTACTTAAATTCAGAAAGTATTCTATTAAAATATGAATAATATTAAATTCTTAGCATTTAGGATATAATCTACTAAACATATAATAATAGTCACTATACAGGGTGTGGCTAAAATATAGAACCCCTTAAATATTTTTTAAAATCTGTATTTTGGGGCAAAATGTTTGGAACAAAAGTTGTTAGGTTTAAAAAAATGTATAAATTTTAATACCTATATTTTTTAAGCCTAACAACTTTTGTTTCAAATATTTTGACCCAAAACACTTTTTCTATAATTATAAGATATAATAAATTAAATTTTAATAATTTAATTTTAAGATGTAAATGGATTCACAGATTTTGCTTTTTCTGTGTAATTTTCTTATATTGTTAACTAAATATATTCATAATTATATATATATATATATACATTTATAATTATATATATTTACAATCACTGTCAACAGTTTTTCGCTCTCCAGTCGCAGAGATAGAGAAAAAGTTTCTTAAAACAATATTGTGCAAATTTTAATAAAGTTATTTACAAACGTAAAGCGCACTTTCTAAAATTTGATTATCAACTAAAAGCATAATATTTGTTATTTTGTGTGTTATTTTCTTCATAACTATATTATATTTGTTTTCTATATTCTTAAAAGTTTATGAAAAAAAACTTATATTATTATTGTGCCATTTTATTAGCGAAATTTCGATAAAAATTCCTTGGGTTTTGAAAAGTATGCAACTTAATAATGTAGATATATAATAATTTCAAATTGTCTTCCCCCTGTGGACAGTTTGTGTCAAAAAATATGCGGGAGAGAAAAAAAAATATATATATATATAGATGGAGATACTGTCCGATAAGGATAACGGGAATTCGAAATGTCACTTCTTATCATTTTCAATAAAAAGCCTTCGAGTCCTTTACCTTTTATATCTGATTCTGAAACTTGCTATCGCCTTCGACAAGGAATAAGAACTGCAGTAGATTTCACTTCACAAATGTCACTCTCGAGAAATGAATTTATTTTTATATGTATCATATATATATAGGTGTATATATATAATTTTTATTATGAGAAAATTTTAAAGAAACATTTAAATATAAAAAAAAGTTGCATCTTAGTAAAATTTAATTTCTATTCAGATGAACGTAAAAAGTTTCACCCTTCGACTAAAAAGATTTAAAAATTTTTAACATTTTACTAATTAAAAATACTAATTTAAATTGGTCTGACTAAAGCTATGTTATACTACTGATTCTATACACAATCAAGGATTAAAAATCCTTTGTCTACAAATATACTTTTGAAACTAACTTTACTAATAAATTCACAAAAAAACGATATTCTAAATTAAGAATATAATCTTGGCTCCTACTTTAGCATATTTTCCATAAGTATTTGATTCGTATTTTTTTACTACTTATATTATATTTACATGAATATAAATCATTTTTGTCTGACTTAAAAAATGTTCTTACTACTGATTTCTAAATTTCCAAAAATATACCCAATGTTTGATTATTGAAGAACTTTTCTACTAACAAAACATTTACAAGAATAAAAATTGTATATGTCTGAGAAAAATTGATTTTCACTACTGACAATAAATTAACAAAGATATTAAAGGTTTCGTCTGACCAAAGCAGTGTTTAACTACTGATAATAAATAATCGAGAATTAAAAATATCGTCTGACTAAAAATGATGTTTACTACTGATTCCAAGTTTTTTCAAAATTTTAAACTTTTGTGGACGATTAAGAATTTTTTTGTACTACACCTGCAGGTACTACATTTTGTCTGATTAAAAACTGTGTTATACTACTGATAACAAATATTCACAAAAATACATTAACAATTTTTGTCTGACTAAACAAGTGCTGCACTACTTAATACCAAATAAATAACTTTAAACGAATTTGTCTGACTAAAT